GTACTTGAGCATTATGGAGGGGGAGGAGGCCAACGGCTTGGTATCGTATGTGTGTGTGTATGCTTGCTTGAGATGGCGGAAAGGAGGGGCTTGGGTGGTTGGTTGGATGTGTTGAAGGCTGGCGGGCTCTACATGTTCTGCGATGCCGCGGCCGAGGTGTGGTTGCCGACAGTCGATCGGGTGTCTGGACGGACTTCTCCAAGGAGGGCGGACGACCGAGGACGAGGAAGTCGATGTGAGTGCACAGTAGGAAAAGCCTGCGCTGCGCTGCGCGGGGACGGCCCGGCCGAGGGTGAGTGAGTGAGTGAGAGTGAGGCGTGGCGAAATTTGAGTTGACCGTCCATCCATCCAGCCAAAAGATTGAGGTGAGGTTGTTGCGGGTGGGTCCAGCATGGACGACGACGGTTTGAAGCGCCATCGGGGAGAGGTACTCGTTAACGCCATGCCGGCGCCGAGGCGCACCATTGCTGATGTAGAGGTACTTCCGTCTTCTCGTCGATAATACTTCACACGTCCACGACGGACGTGCCTGGGGTGTAAAGCATAGTTCTGTCCGGACGCTTCTCAAAGAATTGTCCTTGCGCTGCTTGAGCTTTGTTCTTATTTCCTCTGGCTGATGTCGTGCCTCACATCTCTCATCTCTCACGTGCCTAGGCGTGGCGATCACGGTCTCGCTATGTTCAAGGAGAACGGCAGGAGATGTAATGAAGCTAGGGAGCATAGGCCGACGATCCGATGGCCAGCCTGCAGGTAATAGACTTTGCGGTGATGGCTGTTTGTATTGAACTCTAGGATTAGGAAGAGGGCAATGGTGGGAGCATGCCCGGTCAATGGGCGCGAGCTTGGACATCGTAGCCCAGCGCAGTGAGCATGTACAGCTCTTACAGAGCACGGCTGTATGGCACATTCGCATGAGCATGGCGCTCAACTAGCAGCAGTCACACAGGCGCGGTCTTTGATGTCATTTATTGGGCTGGTATTGCGAATAGAGCTTGGCCGGGGCGTCCACAACCCCAAAGCCCACACGACCCGGGCCCTCTGATACGCCCTGAAGTGAGTCGACTCGACATACCCACACCCCGCAACCGAGCGTGGGGAGCGTGTACGGGCACTTGCGTACTTCGCATGGCTAATTTGCTGCCATTGATCAAGGTCCCGAAGGACCGCCATGGCGACGGGCCTGTGCCGAGACGGGCGGGAACCATCCGTCCTGTGCATAGCCACCGTCATCTACAATCTTCACATCTCACGAACCGCGAAATCTGGGCACAAGACAAGAAAAGGCAAAGAACCACAAATAGACGTACAGGCAGGAAAGGGGCTCAAAACACGAAGAAAACCATGCCTGGCGAGAGGGAAAAGAGCAGGTCATGCATCGTCCCTCGTGACGGGACCCATGCACGTCTGAGGGGAAAAACGACAATGTCGTCCACAAGTGGCCCAAATATAGTGTTCGCAGGGTTTTGGGGGGCTGTGACGACCGGCCCCGTTTCTTCTCCTCAGACCGAGACAAGGGTTGGCCAGGGGCGCAGGAGAAAGGGGGAAGCCAGGGCCTTTTGAGCAGAACGGAAAGACAAACAAGAAAACAGATGCATTGAGCCGGACATCGGCTTCGTCGCGGCACGAAGGGGAGACAAAGCTTTGGTAGAGAAGCATCGCGAAAGATAAGAGACTAAAAGTGCAGGAATCCCTGGGCGGATTCGACCATGTGAAGCCACCAAAGGATCTGGACCTGTAGTGAGACATGCGACGCAAGGGGGGTTGATGGAGATAGGAAGTCAGCTGCGTACACCAAAGACGGATGGAGAGGTTCATTCAATGCTGCGAGAATGACACGATCATCCGCGCCGCCCAGAGGACTATACTGCACGGTGCTTTCGTCGCTAGGCAACCTATTCGCCGATGTCCCGCGACCTTCATTCTGTTGGCCTGTTGTGCTGTTGGACGCGTGCCGGCCATTGCCGTAGGCGAAGCGACCCGGGGCCATAGCACGTTGAGAGAAAGGCACTCGCGTCATTGAACAATACGAGGAGCGATAACCACAAATGAGCAGGCGAGACGAGGTGTGAATTTCGAAAGGAGGGCCGGCTCCATCGCCCCCATCAGTTCGCGATTAGCGTGATTGCAGTGAGATGAGCTGCGGGTCCGGCATTGACGAAGCACGGGCGCCATTTCAAGGTCCGGAACGGGACTTGGGGTTTGCGGTTGCACGAGCTAGCTGTCCTCGTTGATTGGAGTGGTTTCTGGGTTCCGTCGGGGCGTTTGCGAGTTTCTAGAGCGCGCCTCATCGAGGGTGGCAAGTCGGGTATTTTGCAGAAGGTGGCATCGACGCCGAAACTGGCGCAGTTTCACAGCCTCATGCTGTGCCCTGACGATCAGTGGAAAGCAAGGATCCGTCTGCATCCTCGTGGGGGCGGCTGTGGCGGCAGAGGCGACGTGCCAAACGAAAAAGCTACCCACATTGGAACCCGTGTAATCAGAGGAACTTCCGACCATCGCCTCGGCTAAAGTCGCTCCTTTGCCAGACCCGCGGGACGGCCTGTCAATGCGGTGCAACGTGTGGTACTTTGTTGGCGTACAAATGGGGGCCAGCTGCTCGACATGCACGACTTGCTTCTGCAGGGAGGAAGCTGCGTGATGAGACGGCGTGTCTTGGAGTGGGCGGGCGGGATATGTTCGCCTTGATGGCGCCCATCGAGGCCACGGACCACAGACTAGCCGTGATGCTAGTATATCGAGTAGCGCGTCTTGAGGAATGGGAAAGGGCTCGCGGTCCTCTAAGCAATCCGGACGGGGCTCGTCGATGTCGTGCAGCGCCAATTGCATCCGTCCCGCGAGGGGTAATGAGGAGTATCAGGCACTGGCGTGCTGCAGCGGTCGAGGCACGAGCGTGAGGGCGGCCTTTGCTTCTGCCCCTCTAGATGAAACGCGCAACGGTCATGACAGCCAGGCCCGGGCTCCAGATCTGTGCGGATCCGTCGAACGCCAGGCATGCCGTTACTTGTACTATGCCCGCGGGCTGTGCTCCGGGGACACACAGCATCGAGGAGATGTGGCGTGTATTGTGCTGCACCGGGTCCAAGGTTACGGGGCGGTGTCGCCACAGCAGCAGCAGCAGCATCTTGTTATCTGGTTCGCGGAGTGATGGTCGTCGGGATGCATGCCAGCGTTTGACATTGTCGACAGGGGGGTTCATGGATGGAGACGATGTTTGGGGCCGGCACCGGACGACACAGACTGACAGAGGAGCGTACCGGCGCAGTGCACTCTGTACGTACACTGGAAGTTACAGCACTGTGCAGAACAAAGAGATCAACGGCCAGAGAATGCTGGCGATGCTTTTTTGGAGGAGGTGGTTTCAGCAGAGACTGTTTCAGGAACGGGGATGCAGAAAGAACGTGCCGTCCCGCTCGCGACTTCCTCGGCCACGACGGATGGGGATGAGTAAGTCGAGTGCGTTTGCTCGTTTGACCGTCGTGCAACGTCTCAAGCTCCAACGTGCAGCAACAGCTGTTATTATCACCCAGCCGCTTGACTCGATCGCCGTCTTGCAACCAACCACTCTCGGCGCATTCCTCGCGGCACGCGACAGCCGGCATGCCGGGGCGGCCTTCAATCAAAACTTGTACGCACCACGGCCGCCGACAGCGTCGCGTCAGGCCCGTCAAGACCGTCAAGACTGGGGACGAGGGCGTCATCTGGCCAACGATGCGTGGGAGATCTCCGCCGCCATGGCCCGATGCGGCCTCGACGTCGGTCACGCCCGCCTCATTTCCCGTGATTCACAGGCCACGGCGAGCACGGGCAGCGATTTGCGCGGCTTGCAGTGCAGGTTGTTGTTGGCGGCGGCGGCGGCGGCGGCGGCGGGTGTCTGCCGGCCACGCAGCCGGTTGCGACCATGGGATGCTCTACCTGGAGCCGGCGCCGGCTGCTGCTGGTCCTGCAGCGTAGGCACGGAAGCAGGTTGGTAGTGATGGGAGCTCACCCACTTGCAAACCACATCGCCGGACGAGGAGGAGGAGGGGGGGGCGGGGACGCCCTGACGCCACCACGATGGAGCCCTGGAGGCCCCCCCAGAGCCACATCAAAGTGCTGCACCTGCAGCGCATCCATGGATGCCACCTATGGGTCCCGGGTCCGTGGCCTGTCCAGCGCAGCCGGCATCCACTTCCTAGGCGCTCAGGCCAGGTCAGGCCTGGTTCAAGCGCGAGCAGCCGTTGGATGGCCCACGTTCGGAGAGATCTCTCTCTTCAAAGTAAGATGTCACTGATTCATGGCGTTTTCGCAAGCGCTGTTTGTGCTGTAATTGCGCCTGTTCCTGGCTGTTGGATCCCATCGGTCGGTCGAGAGTCCAAGGGGGATATGCGTCTGCACCCGCCCGTGCGCAACCCGGCCGGCCATCGTCGTCGTCCTTGCCGGCGCCCATCTGTGCCATGCCATGCCACCATCCGGCACGCGAGATGGGGTGGCCGACGCAATAGATGACCCCTGCCGGCTAGCCTTGCGCCAGATCGCGCTCGTGCCCGTGTCACCCGTCCGCCGCCTTGCGCTCATCGCCCATCATGCCCATGCCCATGTTAGCGCGGCAGCGGACGGCGGCGCATGCTTGGTGCTACTGGAAACTTTGTTTTTTCACCGGATTTTTTTTTTCTTTCTCGTTCGGGCGCTGCTCGGCAAGCGGCGGCGGCCCAGTGCTTGCTTGCAAGGCGCCCCTAGGTGCCCGTGCTAGTCGTCTCTGTCTCCTGGTCGCTCGTCCATTTGGTGTGCGCGGGCAGCGCCCAAGCACCACCCGCCCACCACTGACCTGCAGCGCCTCTCCGGCGGCGGCGGCACAGGGGGCCCGTCCCCCAGTCCTCTGGGCCTCCCATCTGCACTGCAGCGAGCCACCCGACAGACACCCATGGCGGGCCACAGCGCCGCCGCCGCCGCCGCCGCAAGTGGAGCGCAAGCCCTGGAGGGCCACAGGGGCAGGCCCTGGGCTGGGCTGGGCTGGGCCTGGCTGGGCGATGGACCCCACGCCCCCCAGGCAGCCCACTTCCTCACTGAGAGTGCCTGCATCTGGTCCAATCTGGGTCCTTTTCCTCGAGAGGGTGCGCGGCCTTTCCGTCATCCGAACCGATGACCCAAGAGGCTGCTGTCCCTGCTGCGCTGGATCTGGACTGGACTTTGCCCGGTACTGCGCCGTACGTGTATAGTGCTCTGTTCGTCTAGTACTCCGGACCCCAAGGCGAAGTGTCTCGTCTCCTCTTGCTCTTCCATTCCCCGTCACCTGCTTCGTACTTGAACTCCTCCAACTCCCGGCACCCTCCCGCACGCCTCTCCCGACCGACGCAGCATCGCCACCATCGTTGTCGCCATCGTCGACCGACGCATCGATCGCACGACGGGGCGGCCGGCGAACCTCCCTCCACTCGCCCATCCCCCAGCCCTCGCCCCCGAATTCCGCCCGACGCCGCTTCCTCGACTGGTGACGACGGGCGGCGGCAGAGAGGCGCTTCGTCGCCCACCATGCAGCGCGTCTCTGCTTTCCTCCCGTCCTGGGAAAAGAGGAACTCGGGCACGAAGCCGGGCACGAAGCCGGGCGCCCTCTTCGGTTGGGGTCAGAGAAACAGCGCCCCTGGGTCCAAACCTTCGAAGATCAATGTCGCCGTCGCCAATGGCGGCCGGATCGAGCGCGAGACCTTCTGGCCCGCGAGCCTCGATCTCGAGTGCGACAAGGCCGCCCGCATCCTCAAGTCGTTTTGCAGTGCGTCTCTCGCCCCTGGACTCTGCTCCCTCCCCACGCTGGCCCTTGCGTCGTCGCCAATTGTGGTCGTCATGGTCCCTCGATGCTAACGCACATACTATCTGCAGCCGACGGATACTTGGCGCCTGTAGACGGAGAAGCGGAACCGTCGACGTCATCCAGCGATACGCCCGCGACGCCCGAGTTTCTCACCAAGAAGATCCCTAAGCGAATAATACAGAATGCCGCCGGAATCGCCGTCTTCACGTGCATGCGCAGCGGCCTGTGGATGACGGGCTCCGGCGGCTCCGGCATCCTCATCGCCAGAAAGTCGGACGGGACGTGGTCGCCCCCCTCGGGCATCCTGCTGCACACGCCCACTCTCAGCTTCATCATTGGCGTCGACATTTACGATTGCGTGCTGGTCATCAACAACCTCGCGGCCCTCGAGTCCATCACCCGCCCGCGGGTCACCCTCGGCGAGGATGTCGGGCTCACCAACGGTCCCTCGGTGACACTCGACTCTGACGAGGCCCACATCAAGTGGAAGGAACTTGGCAACACCGTGCTGGCATACATGAAGGCGCGCGGCCAGCACCAGGCCGTCAACCTGAACGGCTGCATTCTCACGGAGCGCACCAACGAGAATGAGCGCTTTTACGGCAGCAGCGTCACGCAAATGGACGTTCTCGCTGGAAACGTTGCCCGTCACGTCGACGAAACCAAGCCTCTCTTCGAGGTCATCAAGATGGCCGAGGGCAGGACAGACTATGAGCCGGCTGTCATTGAGCAGATGGCTGTCCAACCTGCGCCCGGCGACGCCGTCATCGCCACCCCTGGCTCTACCCCGGCATCTCCGCGCGGAGCTTTCGGCGTGCCTAGGGCCGACGACCCTGACCCGTTCGGCGTGCTCGCTCTCGAGATGGCAGGGCTGGAGATTCGAGAGGCTGGAAGTCGCCTGCGGCCTTCCAGCAGCCAGTTCGAGTTCAACCCGACGCCGCTGAGCCCCGCCATGTCCAAGTTCAGCCGCCAAAGCGTTGAAACCTTTACCACCCGAAGCAATCGGGCTAGCGGAATGTCCTCCCGGACTGTCAAAAGTCAAGTCACAGACGCATACACACAGACCGATACTGCGAACACCCCTGACACGACGCCGAGTCCCGGCCAGAGCGACGACGGCCAGGCGCGGGGTTCGATTGACCGTATGCCGGAAGTCAAGGAGCATGAGGAGGTCGATTACACCAGAGTCGATCTGGCGCCTCTGCGCCAACTCAGCCAGGAACACTCCATCGGCGCCGTTCTTGCAGCCGACGCGGCCACAACACCGCGAGAGAGCATTGGCAGCGCCCCATCTGCGCCAGTCGTTGAAGCCCCGGAGGTGGAGAAGGCGGAGAAGGCAGCCAAGGCGTCGAATGTTGATGAAGACGAACAAGGAACCGAGGAGGAGACGAATGACGCAGATGATGAAGACGACTTGGACGAGGATGAGGAGCCGGTCGTTTTTGAGGTGGCAGCGGTCCAGCCTGCGCGGACCCAAGCGATCGCCTCGCGGGTCATCCATGCAAAGGGCAGCGTGGTGACCATCCCGAAGCGCGTGCCTCCGCCGTTGCCTATGCGCAGCGCCCTGAGGAGCTCTCGATCGAGCAAGAGCGATATGGGTGGAGACGTCTCCAGCGTCAAGAGCCCCTTGCGGCAAGCCTTCAGCGAGACAGACTTGCATGCTGAGGAGGACGCGGAGCAAGACGTCCCCGAGGTAGCAAGCATCGGCAAGACGATCAGCGAAGACGGTCACGTCGAGAAGCCGCTCAAGGACGCACAAGCTCTACCCGTCATCGAGGTCCAGACCGAACAGCCGGCGTTCATTGTGCCCAGCGGGGACGATACCGTGACGGAGGACACTCAGACTGAGAAGACTCCGACTCTGGAGGCGTCGCCCGGAGCATTGGATTCGGAGGCGACGTTGCCCCAGTCCACGGCGTCGACAGAAGCCGAAGCTGCGACACACGAAAGCAGCGATGCGGAATTTACCGACGCAATCGAAGCGACAACTGGAGCCGATGAGGCCGAAGGCCAAATTGACCAAATTGACAACTCGGACTCGACAACAAACAAAAAGCACACATCATCCATTTACACAGGCGCGACGGAAGACCGCTGGAGCAACGATGGGTCATCGCTGACAACACCAACGTCAGAGCGGCCGCATTCGATGGCGGAGGATGAGGCGCACGAAGAAATTACACCAAAGAAGTCAGGCCAAGAAACTGACACGGACGTGTCCGACGAGAAGCATGCACACGGTGCCGAGCGCGAGGAGCCAGTCGCAAAGAGTGCGACAGCTGCGTGATGGCGCAGCCACGACATTGACGACGATACATTAGCTACCACACGGCCAGGCAGGATTGCCCAGCCGGCGTACGACTCTTATTTTCCACATGACGATATCAGTTCCTAATTGGGTTGCGGATCTCGGGGAAATGGTTACATTCATGTTGACATATGTAGGTTTGGCGCTGTACATTACGGGAGGGTCTCCTCCACTTGAGTACTGTGGAACGTCTCGGCAGAGGCACAGGCGTTTGGAAACCCTCGGAACTTTTCTGCTTTGACCTTTTTGCGTTGGTGGCCTGCGAGCTGCGTTAATGGAGTCGGCGGAACTGGGCGCCCTGAGAGGCGGCGGCGGCGGCGTCAAGCAGGCCCCGGATGTTACTTTTGCGATTTCAGCGGACACTCTTACGAGGACAGAAGGTGATTTACAGGCCGAATCGACGGGCATGCATTGTGCATTTCGGATTGTGGTTGTCGGGGCGGAGATGGGACGGATGGGGGCAGGTCGTGGGTCAAGACCGGCTTAGACGGCAGCTCTGGAGTTTCGAAGTTGCATATTCTTATCCATGCACCTGTTCACTGTTGAACACAGTGAATGCGCGTCCGTCTCAGTGATTGTGCATTGCCGTACTCGGCTCGACGGGCCGTGGGCCTGTTCAGTCGCTGCCATGGCCGCGTTGCACCTCAGCCTGGTGCGTTTGCTCGTTGAACCTTTGCCCACCTCTGGCACCGCCATTGAGACTCTTGCTTTTCCACGCCGACTCTCCGCAACTCGACCGTTGACCTTAGTGCCAGCCGTGTCCGTTGCCATCGAGCAGCGTGTTCGACTCCATGGCAGTTGCAAAGAGGCTCGTCGATGCGCGCGGCCAGCCGCAGGCCGCGAGGCAGGATCACGTGCGCGACTGGCAGTGGTCGTTCCCCAGCACGGCCAATGCCCTGCAGCAGGCCCCAGCCACACTCGTCCCACCAGCCACGCCAGACACGCGCGCCACGCCACAAGGGCACCGACACGGCCTGCGGTCGCGCAAAGCATCTCGAGCCTCGCCGACCGCAGCACCACACCAAGCCGCAGCACCACCACCGACCACGCCCTCGCGACGCACCGCCAACTCCCACGGCTCCGCGAAAAGGAACCCGCCCAGCCTCGAGGCGCCTCGGAGGACGCCCCGCGCACCGCCCCACGCGCACAGAAACCGCAACAGCAACGCCCCGAACCCGAACAACGGGGTCGCGCCGACTCTGCTCCTGCAGCGGCTCCTCCAGCTCCAGGGCGACGTCGACCATCGGCGACCAGTGGCAGTAGACGGACCTCGACAGGGAGGACCCGCGCAGGCGCAACCATCACCGGCCAAGGCGACGCGCAGCAGCGGTTCGCTGCCCGGCACAACCATGGCGACCTCGGCGGCCAAATGGCGCGAGGAGCAGATCCTCATCGTGTGCCCCGGCAGTCGCACCACCATGGCGCAGCTGGGCTGCAGCGAGCTGACGCCGCCGACCCATCGCTTCCCGACGCGCATGTTCCCCGACGGCGACGAGTGGCGGCCGTATCACACGTACAAGCGCACGAGGGTCGCCGGCGGCGTCGAGACGGAGGAGTGGGTGGAGGACGTCGACTCGGACGAGGGCGCCGTCTTTCCCATTGAAGGTATGCTTGACGATGATGATGACCTTGCGAATGCAACCACGGATGTGTGGGAAGAGCCTGGGCTGACAATTGCATGAATCTAGGCGGCCGCATCGTCAACATGGACGCCTTCCTCGCCTTCCTCGACCACGTCCACGGCATGCTCACCACGACCTACCACAACACCCCAATCATGCTCATGGCCTCGCCGCAGTGGACACGCCCCGACTGCGAGGCCATTGCCCAGTACATCTTCGAGAAGACGCGTACGCCCGCGCTCTGCATGATCCACAGCGGCCTGGCCACCCAGTACGGCCTCAAGTGGCCCAACATGACTGTCATCGATATTGGCTACGAAAAGGTCGACGTCACCGCCATCCACGACGGCCGCGTCGTCAACCACATGGACCTCGGCTCGCCCAACGGGGACCGCCTCATCAGCGGAGGTGAGGTCTTTACGCAGCGCCTGATGAAGATGTTGCAAGGCAAGGGGTTCAGCAGGGACATGGCGGAGCAGCTCAAGAAGAGCACGATATGCGAGGTGCTTCCGTACGCGCCCACGGAGAAGGCCCTGGTTGAGCTGCCTGTAGAGGTCACCGCAGGCGCGCCGCCCAGCTCCGCGCCCGTCGCCGCCGCCGCCGCTCCTGTGCCCGCGCCGAGCGAGGCGCCCAAGCCAGCAGCTGAGTTTGCCGGCGACGAGGACGAGGCCACCGACAAGAATGGCGATGACGACGGCGTGCTCGACGTTGCGGCCATTGTTACGAGCGGCCAGACCAAGGAGTTCCTCGCCAAGAAGGAAAAGGAAAAGGGCAAGCCCGGCAGGAAACCCAAGGGCGGAGAGGGCGATGCCGCACCCGCGAAGCCCACGCGGCTGCCCAACGCGAAGAGGACGCACAACACGTTCTTCTACGAAGAAGTCGTGCAAGAAGAGATTCCGAAGGAGCAGCCGAAGCCGGCTGCGCCGGTGGAGACGAACGGAAACGGCGCGACGGCGGCAGTACCGCCGACCGCCGAGGCAGCTGTTGAGGGTTCGGCAGAGAAGCCGGCGGGAGAGCAGCCAGTCCCGGCTTCTGCACCGGTGGCCACTGCAACTGACGGGAGTAGCGCCGCCGTGCCGCAGACGGAAGACACGCCGATGGCTAATGGGGACGACTCAGCGGCACCGAAGCCCGAGGGCCAGGAGGACAAGCCCGTCGAGTCGAACGGCGCCAGCGCGTCGGCGGCGGCCCCTTCAGAGCCGCAGCAACAAGAAGGACAGCCCAAGGCCGAGCCGGCGGAGCCCGCGCCCGCGACGGTTGCCGCGCCCGCTGCTGCCCCAGTGCCCGACACGTCCAACGACACGCCCGAGTTCCGGCCGAAGCGCATCCGGCGCGACATCGAGATCGGGCTGGAGCGGTTCACGTTTGCGGAGCGGGCCGAGATCGACCGCATCGTGTCGACCATCTACCGCACGATCCAGGGCATCGACGACATGTACATGCGGCCGGCGTGCTGGGACAACCTCGTCTTCGTGGGCAACGGCGCGCGCCTGCGCGGGCTGCGCGACAACATCCTGCAGACGCTCAACGCGCGGCACCTCGTGTCGCCCTCGACGGCCACCATGTTCACCTCGGAGCTGCCCTCCAACGTGGCCACGCCCACCGGCACCGGCAGCCAGACGCCCACGGGCTCCTTCACCGGCGTCCCGCACCAGCTGCCCTCGAGCGGCGTCAACCCGCTCCTGCAGGCGGCCACCACGGCGAGCAGCCTCGGCGCGGCGGCGGCTGCCAACTCTGCCGCCGCTGCTGCCGCTGGCGGTGGTGGTAACTCGGTCGCGACCCCCGCCGCGGGCTCCGACGCCGCGGGCCCGTCCGCCGCCGGGAGCGGCACGCACTACCACTTCCACAGCCAGACGCCCACGAGCATCAAGACGGCCGCCCTGCCGACGTACCTCAGCGAGTGGACCAAGAACGGCTTCGAGGAGGCCATGTTCCTCGGCGCGCAGGTCGCCGCCCGCATCGCCTTTTGCCTGCACTCTAACATGGACGCGCAGAGCATCGAGGCGCAGCGCCTCATGAGCCTGAGCCGCGTCGACTACAAGTAAGCCACCACTCTCTCTCTCTCTCTCTCTCTCTCTCGATACTCTCCTCTCCTCTCCTTTCCTCCCCTTCCCCTTCTCTTCCCCTCTTCTGTCACCTTTTCCCCTTGGCTCCTTTCCCTCACACCATAAGCGAAACTATGGACTCTCAGATCACTGACCCTTCTATCTAGTGAACTCGGCCCCAAGGCCATCCGTACGCACTCCATGCTCAGCTAAAAAAAACACACGCCAAAAGAAACGGGAGGGTACACCGCAAAGGGGGGGGTTCCAAGGTTTTTCCGCAGGGAATGGGAAGCCGGGGAAAAAAGCTTGATACGTAGCTGCTATTGCTGCCGCTGCTGCTTTTATCTCGCAAATCGAAACCTCGAAACCTCGCTCCATCTGGCTTTCTTTTTTTGCCTTTTTTCTTTCCCTCTAACTTTTTGCTGTATAGTTTTTTGCGGGGGAGAGGGGAGAACACACCCCCCACACAGAGACACTGGAGTTCTTACGGGGTGTGCGTGTGCGTGCGTGGCTGGTTTGATCGCAAAGGCAGAGGAAAGACATTTAGAACAGACAAAGTTGAGGAGAGGAGAGGAGAGGGAGAGGCCGTGGAGCTGACTGACTGACTCTCAGCTTGACTTGCTGGCAGCTTGACTGACTGACTGAGAGAAGGCTCCCGTGTGGTCCTGAGGTCGTCCGTCTGGTTTCCTCGCGCGCGCCGCCGGGCTTTCGTGCATGTACAACACAGACAGGCAGTTCAAAAGGAATGGAGTAGGAGTCCGAGAAAAAGACAAAGGCACAATTCTTTTATTTGCACAGAGGGGTAATGCCTCGTCGCTGAACGGCTCCGGGAGCCGGCCAACGCATCGTGATTTGTTATATGCGTACTTGGTAAAGGAATAACACAATGTTCAGTCTTGCGCACACTCATCGCTCGGGTATATCTCGTAACGATCCATCCCGTCCTCGGGCTCTCTCTCCTATCGTCCTCTAACATGGCCGCAGCTGTACTTCGTACTCCAAACACGCTCACTCCCACTCCCACTCAGCAACATGCATACATGCCTTAATCCTGCACATCGAGATGCAAACCCCGAATCCATCATCAACAAAACTCTAAACAGTGAGCGTCCCCTTCACGCCAGGCTCTTTGTCACCGCCGGAACTCATTTTGAACGCCGTGCAAAATGCCCGGAGGGATAACGCCTCACAAATGCTTTATTCACAACGCGGGTAAGATCGAAAGCAAACACACTGTTGTGAGCGCCACGTTCAGCCCGCTTGGTTGCGGGCCTCGGCCTCGGCGGCAGCCTTGTGCCAGTCCGTCTTGAGGAGATATGTGTACTCGATCAGAGATACTCTGTAGCCAGGGCGTTAGCTTTGCCTCTGAATTGGAGTGGCAACATTCATCACTTACACAATGAGTCCAACCGTAACGCCACTCCACAGACCCTCGAGCCGCCAGTCGAGGCCAAAGGTCAGGGCGAGCGAGATTGGCAGAGAAATGACGTAGTAGGCGATGAGGTTGGCCGGCCCGCCAATCGACTGCTTGCCGATGCCGCGTAGCAGGCCGTGTGCTCCGGCGCTAAGGCCGTCGAATACCTGCATGACGGCGACGAGCGGCAGGACCTGGGCGACCAGAGAAATGACCTCGTCGTCGTTGGTGAAGAGAATCGGCAGGTGGTATCGAAGCGTGCTATACAGAACGAGGTTGAGGACGCCGAGGAGGCATGCGGCAACAAAGGTCTATTGCAGGGTCAGCAGGTGCACAGGGAAAGCATCTACTAGGGAGCTGCGGCATGCACATACCACTCTTGCGGTTATCTTGGCCGCATCGACCAGGCCCGCTCCGATGAGATTGGCGACTCGCGTAGACGCGGCAATCGACATGGGGAACGGGATCTGGAACGAAATGGTGGTGAGGGTCGCGAGGATACTCTGGGCCGCGAGATACTGGGTGCCCAGGCGGCTAGAGAGGAGCGTCACGATCTCAAAGGCCATCCACTCGGCCTCAACCATGATCATGCCGGGCAGCGCCAGGCGAATCATGACCCACCAGTTGGTAAAGGCACGCTTGCTGAAGCCTCCCCAGCACTGGCGTCCGTCCACGAACCTGACGTACAGGAACAAAAGGATGGGCAGGAGATTTTCGGTAATGGCGACGGCAGTGGGGGCGCCAACGAACCCAAGGCCCAGCTTCCAGACCAGGAGCCAGTTGATGAAGATGTTGATGGGAGCGGCGACGAGCAGGATGTAAGTCGTGGCTCTAAAGAGGCCTTGGGCTTGCAGGAACCGCTTCCCCGTCTCGAACAGGATGATGCCCGGGATGCCAAAGATCATGACCTTGAGGTAGAGGCTGGCAAGCCGGGCGGACTCGGGGTCAGGCACGATGTGGAGGAGGATGCCCTCCGAGAACAGCCACAGCACGGCCACTGGACCAGAGAGGCACAACAGAAAGGTCGCCATGCGTTGGCATTGCAGGCCGACGAGGTGCTTGTGCCCAGAGCCGTAGGCTTGAGCGCAGAGGGTATCCAGGCTCGTGGCCAGACCTTGGAAGGGTGCTAGACACGAGACGGCCGCGGACATGTTGGCGAGCGAGACGGCTCCTAGCTCTACGGTGCCAATTCTGCCGACGGCGAAGATGCTGGCCACGTTGATGGAGTACTGGAGGAAGAAGGTGGCAATCAGGGGCGCCGAGTACGACACAATGGTCTTGGTCTCGCGCTGCCAGGTGGTACGGAGACGACCAGATGCCACGGCGCCTTCCCACTGCTCCTCGAGCAGCGAGTCCGCGGAACCGGAATCGCCGTCAGCCACATACTCGCGAACGTGAGCGCCGTTCAAGAGAGGCGACGTCTCGGTCGGTCGGCGAGCAGCCGCATCGGCCTCCTCCTCGTCCGTAGGTGGCAGCTTGGTGCTAAAGAGGCGACGATAGATGCGTGCCCCAAGACTGGGCTTCTTCTTAGGATCGAAGGCGTGCTTCGGAGGCAGCACGTGGTTGTCCCTCAGCAAGCTCCTTTCCGCATTGCGAGACTGCTTCCGTTCCAAGGGGGTCAGGATGGGCTCATCATCGATGGGCTGGTTGAAGACGGGCCGGGCGCCTCCGTATGCCACGCCGCTTGGCCTCCGGTACATGCCATGGCCGTGGGTGGGGAAGCCGGCATCGCAAAAGTCGTCGTCCTCCGGGTGGACGGCGTCGTCCTCGGAGCAGGCAGCAATGTCGTCGGCCAGGGCCTGCTCGGCCAGGGGTGAGCTCGACAGCATCTGCTGGTGCGGCCGAGAGGTGGACCTGTGGGCGCGACCCTTGGGCGAAGCAATGGGCCGCCCGCGATCCATGATGACGGTGGTTCGTGAGGCGGGGGAGGGGGTCAAGGGTTGTTAGTGCCCAGGCCGTCGTCTCTGGGTGTGAGGTTGGGCAGGCAGGATGCCTTATGGCCGAGTTGTTTGGCCTCCTGTTGCGGTGAAGAGATGGTTCAAGCGAGATGAGGTGGTACGAGGCGAGGAGTGGCGACACGATCCGTAACGTCCAAAGTAAAAGAGTCGCCCCCCAGTACCAAGTCCAGGCAGGGAAAAAAAAGTCTGAAGTCAAGTGATGCCTAGCCTGTGTCCAACATGACAGAATTATATCATATGTCAAGCCCCAGCGGTAGTCGCTGAACCTGCCAATTGACCGAAATTGGGCGATCAAAAACGAAGTGGCAGGAGGGAGAAAACACCACAGATGTTGTCCCCGGCGCAACAGAGTGAGTGGATGGAGATGGAGAAAAAGAGTCACACAGTACGTAGTGAGTGAGTGGGACGATGAAAGTGGAAGTCGCAAAGAGAGATCTGCCTGCCGTAAACCAAATGCTGGGGTGGCGGCGCCAAACCTCCAAAGGCTTAAAGCCGCCCGACAAACACAGTCGGAGTGGCCGCCACCACCAACAACCACCAGGTGGGTTTTTTCCACTAGGGGTGGTGGGGTGACAGCGTCCGTCCACGGTTGTCAGGCAAGCTAACCTTGTTTCTCCTGTCGTCTGGTGCTTCGTCGTCTAATAATGTGGTTTGCTCTGAACCAGACATGCAGCTGCTTGTTGCCCGACGACATTCACCCCAATGGCTTCGCCGCCGTGGCCTTGAAAGAGAGAGTCGAAACCACGGCCCTCAGCCCTGCAGACAACGTCGATGCTGATTGCCCATGTTCTGGCAACCCATGATCAAGTCGGACCCCGCGGCTCACCGCCCGTGATGCCGCCGTGCCTCTCCGCGCGCCCTATGAAGGCAGCCTTGTCACCATCCATGCAAGCCACCAATCGAGGCGCCTCCCGGAGCGTGTGCCATCCCGACGTCCAAGACGGGCGTGTTCCCGCGTCTCATTTCGCTTTGCCTCGTGAAACCACCAACCTCACGGGGTCGCGACGCCTCTCCAAACTGACTCCCGACTAGGCATTGCATCCGTGTGTAGTCGCCGCCATTGGATGCTTCGTCGAGGTATGCCTGGTAGTACGTAGACTCTGTTGTGCAACGCTGGGCACGAGCGCACGCCACTTCGATCTCGATGCGGCCATCCGGTGACAGATCCTGGAAGCAGGAGCCATTTCCCCGCCATGCGCCGTGTCCCATACAGATGTTGTGCCCGGTACGACGCTGCACGTCACCTCTCCAACATACGAGCCGCTCAGCACCGTCCATCTCACGGTTTCTAGCCGTCCCAGGTGCGCCCAAAGCGGTCGGGTGTCATGTGAGCCATTGTAGGCACCCACGGCTCCTCTTCCGACCCGTAAGGCTGCAACGGCAAGCTGTACGGCACGCGAAGCCCAACGACAGGACCCTTTTCGCGGTGCTCATCATCGCCAATGGTCGGCGTATCCGTCTTAAACGAGCTCACCATGACGCTGCTCTCGCCGTACAACTCTGGCCAGGTCAGCACACCAATCTCCCATGACGCGATGCGCATCTCCCCGCCCGACTTCGCCGCCTCGCCCCAGGCCTGCTTGGAAAGATTCGCAGACGTGAGAATCGCCCAATCAAGTGACCCGCGGCTGTTGTACCGGATATATGTCTTGATGTGCGGCGCTGCTCGGTTTCGACCGCCATCCGACAACTTGAGTTCCGGGGGCAGGCTCCTCCCCCTTTCGCAGTCATTCGCCCAGTGATGCAAGATGGGCCTTAGGTACTGCAACTGCTTGACCTGTTGCTGGGACTGAATCTTGGTGTGGATAGAGCCCCCTGAGGCGTATCCGTCCAGAGATCGCCTGATTTCATCCGCAGTCGGGTAAATGACACTGAACTTTGGTCTCTTGGAGATCTGTTGGCCTTTAGCGCCAGAAAGAGGGTCGAACAACGTCCTCTGAAGCCAGTCATCTTTCCCGCCGAGTGTCGCGATAGATGATACTTGGATCACGATGTTGGAGTCCCCCTCGGCACACGGTATCAGCCGTAGACACTTCTTGAGAGCCGCCCATCCCCATGCAGTTTCGGACTGGTCATGCACGTTGTGCGTGCCAGGGACGCTAGCAACCAGCGCAGCTCTGATCTGGGAGAAGTCATACTCCACAAGCGCTTCTACCAGGGGTTTGCAGGTAGGTATCCGGCGGTCATAGGATGTCAGGTAGCTGAGCAGGTCCCATTTGAACTTCTCGCCTGTCCCCAACGGCGCCGAACGCGAGCCGCGCGAGGCGTTTGGTGGGCCGCCCAGTTTCGGGAGCGGCGGAGACTTCCAAACCCCGTTTGTCATGTTGGTCCAATCCTTGGCGATCATGTTTGCGGTGTGTATGATGACCTGCGCCGTGTCGTCGTGGCGAAACAGAATCATCATCTTGGAGTGATGAGTCCCAAACATCTCGGGCATTGGTGCGACGTGAAGCTGGACGTTGCTGAACTTGGACGCCTCTTGCTGCGGCCATCAGTAAGAGACACCTCCACAGCTCAAGCGGACACTTACAGCAAGTATCAGTCTGTTTGTATCCTCACGTTTCCAGAATCCGTGTACCACGTGGACCTTGACGAGGTGCTTGGTATCGGCGTCGAAGGCACTCATGAGGAAGTCTATGTCATGGAGAAAGTTGAACTCCCAACATTCGCTTATCAACGGGTCACCCAGGAGGTCCTTGAGAGACACCGCATCGCGATTGAGCTCCTCGGGGAGATCGCGGATCCATGTGAGCTGCCATGGTGACGGGAGCACTCGTGGCCCTCGACTCTGCAGCGCTCGCGGGGGTGTGATGGGTCGCGACAGGGACCGTGGCGTAATACGGTCCTTCGGCTCGTCGACACGCTTTCGCTTAGCGGGGCGTTCCATGGCAATTTATCAAGGCTTCTGCACCTAGAGCAGGTGTTGAGTCTTGAGGGGAAGAAGGTGGTGGGACACGGTCAACGTCAGGGCTGCTGCTGAGCAGGAGGGTTTGCCGAGCTGTCAAGCGGCAATCGCCTACCTGAGGCAGGGTGGATGTAGGCCCGTGAATGACGAGGTCAAAACATGGCGAGGCGTGCGAGGATACAACCCGTGCGCGGTGTGGCATGCTGCTCACGTTGGGAGCTTGATGAAGAGAAGCATGGCTGGCTTCATGGGCCGACCGAGCATGGCAGGCAGGCACCTGGGCAGCTCCGTCGCAGCTGCCTGTGCTTGGTCGCACGCACTGTAGTGACGCTTCCAGGTCCTGCGGGACGGGAACCATGGAAGGCAGGCCGGGCAGCTTCGCGCTAAACCCACCGAGTCGTTGCAAGGTTCTCTACAGGCGTTTTAGGGCCCCGGGAGCGTCCGCCAGCGACCTGGGGCTGGGGCCCGCCCAGCCCAGAGGACTGGCATGCAACGCCCCGAGCAGCCTGGGTATTCGATGGAATACCTAGAAAGATTCCATGGCGCATGATAGAGTTCCAAACTTTCTCATGATGCTACTGATGCCTGACCGAGTCGTGCCTTGGCGTCAGGAATACAGTGGTCATTTGCAAGGCTGAGTAATCTTTCATGGAATCTTGTGTCACGCCAACCATCGTGCTGTCCATCAACCCGTGCCATGGCGTTGCTGCACTTCCCTGGCGCTCAGGCGGCACTGGGGCCACCAGCCGGTCTGGCTACCCGTCGCTCTGACTCGGGAGTGCATAGGGCGTTTGGATGAAACGCCGCGATTGATGCAAGCGCTCGTCTATGTGGGAGTCAGCCGCCGTCAACTTGTACACGCAGCTCCAAGTGCTGCGCGGCGCTGCGTGCAGAGAGTGAGTGCCAGAGGACGACGGCCGAGGACAGGCTCATCAAAAGCATTGGAATCAAGCAAACCACGGCCAGGGCACATGTGGCTGAGGAGTGGCTGGTGACATGTTCCAGGCCCCCGTCCTGCCCTGTTTGCCGGTCTCCTCCCTGGCGCAACTGAGCGCTAATCTTAGTTTTGGGCCGCGCGCCCGCCAGGTGTGGCGCAACGCCTCAGCACGGAAAGGTGGCTTCGTCAATGCCGTTGCTTTGCCCTCTGCCTCCTGTTCTCGTCGCAGCCTCTCGTTTCCTCTCCGCCTTGCCTTGCTGTTCATCAACGCCCAACCCCCAGCGCCCATCCCCCTGGCGAACACTCGGAGCCTCGCCTGGCAGCGGGTTTGCGGCCTCTTTCTATTCTTCCATGTCGCCATAGACAGTACCCCTTACCCTTAGCCAGCCCTCGCCTCCTTCGAACGCGAGACGTGTCGCACGTACCACCTCCTGAGCGAAAACCCGTACCGACCGGGCGTGCTCCCATCCGACCTTGTCACAGTGTACGCGTCCATCCGGCCCATCAGCTCGTCCACAAAAGCCGTTGCCCTCTGCGAAACGTTGCGCGCCGTCGTCCCGCCTGCCATACGCCGCCGCATCGCCCTGCTCGACCCGCAAACGACCGTCTACGGGCTGCAGTTCCCTGTTCGCTCCCGTCGTCTCCCTGCACCAGGCGAGGTGCAACATCGCCCACGATGAGGCCACACGTCCTCGCATTCCTCGCCGGGCTCGCGACCCTCGGCCGGGCACAGTCTCTCGGAGAACGTGATCCTGACAAGGAGGGGACCACCTTCAATGGACTCTCTGTCCCGCCGCTGCTGGAGCTGACGCCCGCCAATTGGGACAAGGAGATCAAGCAGTCGCGGTGGATGCTGGTTAAGCACTACAGGTACACCGCGAAGCCTTCCAAGACCGTTGCCTGCCGCCGATGCTAACCCAACGGCAGTCCGTACTGCCCTCACTGCATGGACTTTGCTCCCACGTACCAGACCCTCTACGAGTACTACTACACGTCGAAACCGGCCGAAGACACTACCTTCATCAAGTACTACGACTTCCGCTTCGCTACCATTAACTGTGTCGCCTACTCCGATCTCTGCCAGGAGCACGACGTCCAATCCTACCCGACGACCGTCCTGTACGAGAATGGAGTCAGCAGCGAATTCGTCCGGGGCGCCAAGGACATGCAGGAAGTCAGCCAGATTGTCGAACACGCCCTCGAGAAGACGAAGCCTGGGTCGTGGCCCAAGGACGCCGTTCTGCCCAAGCCCGGCGACACCGTGGCCCCCAAGCCTGGCAGCGGCAAGAAGGCATCGGAGGAGCTGGTTGATCCTGCCAAGAAGCCGTCTGATAAGTCGACCGAAAAGGACGACAAGGCCAAGGCTGCCGGCACCGAAAAGTCGAGCCCGGCCTTTGGCAGCGACTGGAAGGTCTCCACCTCGGGCGACAAGGAGAAGGCCAAGGAGAAGCAACCCAAGAAGCCCGTGGCCACACACAACCCTGACGGCGCCTCGGTGGCTCTGACGGCAGAGAGCTTCCAGAAGCTCGTGACTCTGAGCCAGGACCCGTGGCTCATCAAGTTTTATGCCCCTTGGTGCCCGCATTGCCAAGCCATGGCTCCCACCTGGCAGCAGCTCGCCAAAACTATGCGTGGCAAGCTCAATGTCGGCGAGGTCAACTGCGATAAGGAATCGCGCCTGTGCAAGGATGTCGGAGCGCGAGCGTATCCGACCATCATGTTCTTCAAGGGCGCCGACCGCGCCGAGTACACCGGGCTTCGGGGCCTGGGCGACTTTGTCCAGTACGCCGAGAAGGCGGTTGACCTAGCCAGCGGCGTCCCCGACGTCGATGCCGAGTCGTTCAAGGAGCTCGAGCAAAAGGAAGAAGTCATTTTCGTCTACTTCTACGACCACGCCACGACGAGTGAGGATTTCAGGGCGCTCGAGAGAATGCCCCTGGGCCTCATCGGCCACGCCAAGCTCGTCAAGACCAAGGACCCCAAGATGTACAGCAGGTTCAAGATTACGACCTGGCCCAGACTGCTGGTTTCGCGCGAGGGCCGCCCGACATATTACGCGCCCCTGACACCTAACGAGATGCGAGACGTCAACGGCGTGCTCGACTGGATGAGGTCCGTGTGGCTGCCTCTCGTCCCCGAGCTGACCCCGTCCAACGCGCGCCAAATCATGGACGGCAAGATTGTGGCTCTGGGTATCCTCAACCACAAGGACAAGGACGCCTTTGCGACGTCGCTACGGGAAATGAAGAGCGCGGCGAACGAGTGGATGGACAGGCAGATCCAGGAGTTCCAGCTTGAGAGGAAGAAGCTCCGCGACTCGAAGCAGATGAGGATCGAGGAAGCGGAAGACCGGGGCGACCAACGGGCGTTGCGAGCAGCCAAGGCTATTCGCATCGACATGGGCAGCGCCGGCCGTAAGGAGGTGGCGTTCGCCTGGGTTGACGGCACGTACTGGCAGCGCTGGATCCGCACCACCTATGGCATTGACGTCAAGGATGGCGAGCGCATCATCATCAACGACGAAGACGTAAGTGCCGCCTGGCTGCCTTTCTGATAAATTGAGCTAACACGATGCATAGAACCGGAGATACTGGGACAACACGGTCACGGGCAACTACATTCTCGTCAGCCGGACGTCCATCATGGAGACGCTCGACAAGATCGTCTACGGCCCCCACGTCATCAAGCACAAGCTCACCGTTTCGGCCATTGAAAAGGTCTTTTTCGATATGCGGGTGGCCTTCTCGGAGCACCCCTACCTGTCGTTTGGCTGCGTGGCGGGCATCGCGTTCGGCCTGTACTCTTGGCTGCGGGGCCGTAGCCGCAGACGCGGCGGCCACTTCCGACTGGACGACACCATGGGCATCAAAGAGCTCAAGGACGGCCTGCTGGGAGTCAATGGTAATCAGAAGGCGGATTGAAGGGGCAGTATTTCGAAGAAAGAGTTGGAAGCATGATTCAGCAAAGATCACAGGCAGTCTACGAAAGGGCTACAGCGGACAGGGGCGCTAGACTCGCTTTCGGTTGAAGGACGGGATGGGAGGACATTGAAGCTCTTCCTGGTCTGGGGAAGATGCGTCTCACATTGGGCCTTGACTGTGTGTTGGATTTTTCTCGCGAAAGGAGTCAGCCAGTGCGTGTGCTGGGCCGCGCCACAAGCAAGGCATTTCCGGCGCGTCTGTGGGTGGGCTCTCGCGAAACGAGGGGACACGGAGTTCTGGGGTTCGTTCAAGGTTATGGCTCTTCACGCCTGTATATCGCATTGACGGTGGTGGAAACACGGCTTTGTTTGCATACGTTAATCTACCATTTTTGGTCACGTTGTCTGGCGAGTGTGGGCGCCCAGGTTCAGGTCAATAGGCGCGGCCTCGTCGAGACAGGAGAGGCGGTTCAGGTGGCTCAGCATCCATTTCACTCACAATCTCATCATCTCGCGGCAGCGGCCCGTCGGGCCTACTTTGGGCAAAGCCTCGAGAGAAAGAGACGAGATCCGCATCTTCAGGAACAGCGCGGCCAGATCGTCTGGGATAGGCAAGGTTCCCTGCCCTGCTCTTTGTGATTTGGCACCTTTTTTTTGGTGGTGAGTCAACCTTGGAGAAACGCCTGCACTCTCACTCACTGGTTCTTCTCTGAGAGAAGGGCAGGAGGCGCGTCGCCCGCAAGTCATTTCGACTCATAGTGGCGACACAACCTAAACCGTGGGCGCAGCCAACCGGCGCACCCGTCCGGGGGCACACCATCCACCACCACCCGCATCTTAGCGTCCGACTGTGCCCCGCCAATGCTGTTAGTCGCGGCTGCATGTGGGAAGAAGCATCCCGCTGCATTGAGTTGAAGATCGAGTTGAGTTTGAGATTGCTTCCGTATATTTAGCCGTCGCGCCTGCCGTCCACAGAGCTCGTCTTGTATCCTACCATCAATCAATCAGTCTATCAAGCCCTACCTCCGCCAATGACGACACCAGACCTCACAGGTCTCGACACGCACGACACCACCACCACCCCCACGACGCCCACACTGGGGGAGCAGCAACAACAAACCGGCATGACGGACGTCCAAGTCGCCGCCCCCGCCGAGGGCGTCGCCGTCGACCAGCCGCGCCTCGCCGTTGCGCAGGCCCCATCCTTCTGCCGACTCTGCAACGTCGAGCTGCGCGGCGCGCAGACATGGCGGGCGCACGTCAAGAGCGACGGACAGTGAGTGTGGAATAGCCCCATCGAGACCTGGTTCTTCATGCTGATGCCACTCCGTCCGTAGCGTATATAAGCTCCAACTCAAGGTAGCAGAGCCCGGGAGTGTCGTCGCATCGCCCCCGTCGCCCTCACCAGACACCAAGCAAGAGAAACCGGCACGCGCTCAGAGACGGGTAGAAATCGACGAAGAAGAAGAAGAAGACGATGAGGAGAAGGACGTGGATGTGGAGGACGACGAAGATGAAGACGAAGAGGCGCCAATCCCCGACTTCATCCCCGGCGAATGCCTCTTCTGCATGCACCCCTCCCCCGACCTCGACGCCAACCTCGCACACATGTCCACCGCGCACGGCTTCGCCGTCCCCTTCCAGGACTTCCTCGCCGTCGACCTCGAGACCGTCGTGGGGTACCTGCACTTCGTCATCTGCGGCTACCGCGAGTGCATCAGCTGCGGCGCGCGCAAGGCCTCCGTCGAGGGCGCCCGCCAGCACATGCTCGCCCGCGGCCACTGCCGCTTCGACGTCTCCCCCGACACGGAGGAGTTTTACGAGATGCCCAGCCTGCCTGACACTGTCGAGCAGATGCAGCGCCGGCAGCGCGGCGACGAGTCTGGTGCTGTGCCCGTGCGGTTGCCCTCGGGGAAGCTCGTCGCGCAGCGCCGGAACCCTGACGTGCAGGAACCACGTGCGCCTCGGCGGCAGACGACGCCAGATCGGGAGCGCGACTCGCTGCCCCAGCCCTCGAGAACTTCAGCAGCGACGGCAGCGTCGTCGTCGTCGACAGCAGCAGCACCGTCTGAGAGCCGCGAGGTCGCCCAACGGGGTGGAGCAAGCGGCGGCAACGGCCAGCTCGTGCGCAGCAACGAGGCCATTCTCGCCGCGCAGCTGTCCCGGCTGCGCATAGCGGGCGACCGGGCGCAGCACAAGATCGAGGCGCGGAAGCGGCGCTGGGTCGACCGGAGGAACAACCTCACGAAATCCAAGCACTTTCGCATCGATGCCGGCGACAGCCGCTTCGGCAAGGGGTTTTTTTGCTGATGGTTGCTGCATTTTGCGGCAACATGTGTACTATTGGACCTTTTCATGTACGGACTTTAGACGCGCGGGACTCTAAATGTTGGCAGCGTTGAAGCAAATATGGACATGCCGTTGAGAAAGATCCAAAGTATTAATCGAGAGTAGTGCTATTCGTAGAGCCGACTTTGCTAGTTGTTGCGGGCTCTATAACTAGCAAAGGTCGGCTCTACGAATAGCACCACTCTGTGTAAAACGCTGAGGCTCCTTCCCTTGACCAACAGGACAGCATTTACGAAAAGAACCTACGGACGAAAAGAAAAAAAAGCACATGTCCATCTCAAGGATAATCGGCCAACAGGCACTCATCCAGTGTAGGTTGCTGTTGTGTTGTCGACTGGACCCACGGGCAAATCCACATCCGTCCGCGGAGGCTACGTTATTAGGTCCCTCGCGAGTCCCAACTTCCCACTTCCCCCAACCGGCAGCCCACTGTGACCCGCTATAAACTCGCAACCTGGAAGTCAGGCCAGCCCTGCAGAGGTGAGCCCACCGCCCGGGCGTGGCTTGCTGCACCTCGCGTCCAGTCCGTCCATCCATCCCGTCCCACCCGCCTGTCCATGCATCGTCTCTGCCGTGCTGCAGCAGCAGCAGCAGCAGCAGCAGCCACACACTCACACACACACACACACGGTCCCTGCGTGCATCCGGCCGACGGCAGTCTCAAGCACTCGTCAATTGCCCGGTCCGGTCCGCCCTCTCGTCTCTCACGACAGCGTGACGCACATGTGCCGAGCCGTGGCTTTTGCAAGGTAGCTCGCGGCATACCAATTCGCAACGATCCGAAACTCGCACTGGCAGACCTCAAAGGAGATAGCTCTCACGCGACAGTCGGGGTGAGCTTGTATGTTTTACAGTCCTTTCGCGCAGGGCGTCATGTGCTCGCCCGTCTCATGCCTCTTGTCCATTGAACCGTGGGCCGACGCATGGAATGCATGAGACGAGCAGCACGCACGCTTGCTCGGGTTCTGACCTGGTCGCTGACCTGATGACAGCACGAGATCGACGGGTTGAGACGGAGTCCGGCCGCGCGAGCCTGGACTGACATGCCCGCGGCCATCTTCACCTGCTAGCCACCCCATCCACGGGAGTCGTCTATCCTGTCGCTCTCCTGCAAATCCATACGCTTCTCCCTGTCCGCCGGCGCCCATCATGGCGCAGCCCGGCACCGTCCTGCCCTTTGACCCCAAGGCGCACGCCCACCTCACCCCGTACCTGGCCGCCATCCACGCCTCATGCATAACCCACGACCGCGCCATCGCCACTTTTCTCCCGCCGCTGTCACACGAGAAGCTGCTGTCCTGGTGGAAGGAGCGCATCGCCGAGGTCAACGACGGGAAGCGCCGCATCTGGATCCTCGTCGGCGAGAGCTCGCACGACGCCCCGACCCTCACCGCGACGGCGCCGACGGGCCGCCCCAAGGGGCCCGAGGTCATGGGCGTGGTGATGCTCGCGATGCCCTACTCGGAGACGGGGCCGTTCCGCGGCGCCGTGGAGAAGCTGCTGATACATAAGAGCTGGCGCGGCAAGGGCGGCGCGACAGCGCTCATGGCGGCGCTGGAGGCCGACGCGGCGAAGCTGGGGCGGACGACACTGGTACGCCGTCACTCTCCTCTCTGTCCATCCACTCCCGGGCCAAGAGAATCCCGAGTGCCGTACGCAAGGCTGACTGATACATACAGATGCTTGATACGGAGACGGGTAGCCCGGCAGAGGCATTATTTAAGAAGCTGGGGTACACGGAGCTGGGCAAGATACCAAAGTACGGGCTGAGTCCGACGGGGGAGCTCAAAGACGGAACCTTCTTCTACAAGCAACTATGACGGGTGTCTGGCTGTGGGACGAGTGAGCTTGACGTGGTGAGAGCCAGCGTGTTAAATGTCAAGCCAAGTTGATCTGGGATGACGGCCCTGAGGTGGATGCGAGGGCCGAGTGCTGACTCTGGCTTTAAAGCCTGGAGGGTTAATGGTGTGAAGTACAAGAAAGATGGAAACAAAGCCCAAATAATATCAGCCGAGGCCAAGGTGTTTAAGATACGTGAGTCTAAGTGCATGTCATGAATATGAACTGCGGAGCATGAAGTGTGAATGAGCAAATAGGTAGGCACTTGGTTGCCGACCTGCAAGTGTTGTGGGCAGGAGTGTCTGGCCCCTCCTTCCCACCCGACGCTGGGCTCTGACATCAAATCTCGCCTGCCTCAACCGCGAGGACAAAAACGCACATCTTTCTCCCTACTTCATACCAGACCAATTCGAATGCTCGGAGCACGAATTTGCCGTCGCCCCCATCCGTCGCAATGTTCAACTTGTTTTGCCGCAGCAATAGCGCTGCTGCACCGCCAGCATAAATAGCCGAACGACTAAGGAACCTCGCCCCAAGCTGGTGCTCGTCTTCACCGAAGCTCCTTTCGGAGGGCTCCGCCTGCGGCCCCTGCTCCGGCCAACTCATCGCACCCAAACACAGGGGGGAAAACTGATGAATGACAGGCGGCTGCAGGTCCAGAGCCGCAGAGCCCAGGCACACACGCCCATCCCGCCGCAGTTCCCCAAACATGCCCTCGCCGTCAGCCGAGCAGCGATCGAGCTCTGGCGCGCCCGCTTTACCAGGGCGGGCACTTTATTAGCGGCGCGCCACCCTTTCACAGCGTCACATCGAATTGGCCTACCACAGCGCACCGCTCGGCCACCTGGCCCGGCACGCCAGCACCAAAGTCCCTGGATCGCCGGCTCGCCGTGCTTGCCAGCTACTTATCAGGCCGGCGAGAAGGGGGGCCGCCAAGCTAACGGCGGGACTGTTGCTGCATCTGGCAGGCATGTTTGTCTCCGTGTCGGCTAACAGGCCTGAAAAGCATGGGCACCGGCCCGCCGCGTGTGTCGACACGGACGTCAGACGGAGAATTAAGTTAATAAAAAGGTAGACGGGGGGCGCCGCGCCTGCTTCGTCGTCGCTTGTCAATTGAGTCGTCGTCTGCTGCTTCGTCTGCTCGTCTGTCCGTCCGCTCTACGTTCTCGCAAAGATGTATCGCGGCGCCGTCTTGGTCTCCGTCGCGGGGCTGGCTCAGCTGGCCTCGGCGGGCCTGTATCCTGGCATCACCACCGATAACCATACCTGCGCTCTCGGTACGTCCCGGATCCTTATCCTGGGAAGACGGAGGGCTGTTCTGTATACTGATCGAGGGTGTCTCTCTGTTGCAGTTGACCCCGTCCTGTCCTGCTCCTGCAAGGCCACGCCTGACAAGGTTGCCGACACCTGCTGCACCGAAACGTACGGAGGGCTCCTGGTAAGCCAACCCGCAGCCGACGACGCTTTATTACCCACGAGTTGTGTACTGATCGCCCCTTGACAGGTCGCCACCCAGATCTGGAACACCTTCACTGGCCTCGAGAGCAAGGGCCAAATCTACCCCAAGAACCACTGGACGATTCACGGCCTCTGGCCTGGTAAGTCTCCTGTCACCTCCTGCGTACGTTTTGGCTCAAGCGCTTACACGCACCGCGCAACTAGATTTTTGCAATGGCAAGTCCACACTTCACGTACAATTCTCACTTAGCCAACTTCCGCATCTAACCTCACCTTGTAGGCTCTTACACGCAGTACTGCGACCTGAGGTAATTCGAGGCCACAGCACTCCAGTACATGACCGCAACTAACCCCCAGCAGCCGCCAGTATGACCCCAAGCCCGTGCCCAACACCACCGACGGCACCCCCCACGGTACCCCCGTCCCGCCCTACACCGGCGAGCCCATTGACAAGTGGTTCAAGCCGTACGGCAAGCTCGATCTCCTCGCCTACATGAACAAGTACTGGGTCAGCCAGTACGACCCCAACTGGGTCTTTTGGGCGCACGAGTTCTCCAAGCATGCTACCTGCTACTCCACCTTCCAGACCGAGTGCTATGTACGTTTTTGCCCCTCCGCGCCATGAAGAATCCCGTCGCAGTCGCTAATTAACGTTTTGCTGTTCAGGGCCCCAAGGCGACGGAGCACGGCGACCTCTTCGAGTTCTTCGAGACCGTCATCAAGTTCCAGCGCACCCTCCCCACCTTCAAGTGGCTCTCCAAGGCCGACATCAAGCCCTCCAACAAGACGGCCTACACCCTCTCCAAGATCCAAAAGGCCCTCACCAAGGAGTTCAGCCTCGTCCCCTTCCTCGGCTGCTCCGGCCCCCGGTACAACGAGACCGAGGCCGGCAAAGGCTCCAAGGATAACGGGCGCACCGTCCTCAGCGAGGTGTGGTACTACTACCACGTCTACGGCCGCCCGCAGGAGGCGCAGGCTAAGAAGCTGGCTGCGGATGCGTCCGGCGGTAGCCTGTCGACCTGCGCAAAGGCCAAGGACGCCGTCTGGTACTATGAGCGGTCCAAGGGCAGCGAGCAGTAGATGAGATGTTGCGCAACAACTTAATAACACAAGACGGCCAACGTCTACAACGCCCAATAGCTATATGAAAACTTCATTCTGCTACTGTGAGATGATGCTGTACATGAGAACCCCCTCAGTTGTGACACTCCATGTTTGCTCCGACCCAAACGCCGCCACCCAAGCAACACACATTCTCTCCACTGCCACCGTTTTCTAACTCTTGACACGACGCGCTCTCTCCACTCGCCACGCGGCACTCATTCGTCGTCATCCAGCTCCTCGACCTTGGGCGCAGCGTAGTTGCGCTGGTGTGCGCCGCCCGTCTGGATCTGCGTGTTCGTGCCCGTGGTCGTGGCAGTGGCTCCGACCATACCCGTGGCGGCGGCGAACGCAGGGTTGGCGGTGGCAGCGGCGGAGCTGGTGCCGGCGCCAGAGCCACCGGCCTTGGCCTTTCGCTTGTTCTTCTTCTTGGCCTTTTTCTCCTCGGCAGACTAGACGGAGACAGTTAGCATCGTAGTTCAACGAGAGTGTGTCAAGAAAGGGACAGAGGGTACACGGAATGAACGTACCTCGTGCCAAGCCCAGACGGGCCTGAAGCTGTCCATGAACGAGACATCCTCCCAGAGGTTGGGGTACAGCCAGAGGCCCGGAGGAACGGCAAAGTATGTAATGCAGAAGAGGATGACACGGAAGATGGCCATGACGAAGAAGAGGCCGAGCAGACAGAGGAGACCCCAGCTGAGGTAGTAGACACCCTGGCGCAGCTTGAGGGGCCAGAGCGGGTACAGGACGATGATGAAGATGACGAGGAGGGCGAGGGCGGCGTAGAGCTGGCGCTTGATCTGGCTGCCTTCATAGAGCCAGCAGTAGTACATGTCATCCTGGGCGTCCTGCTGCTGCTCGATGCGGACGTTCCACTGGCCCTTTACGCGCTTGGGCTTCTTGCCGTTTTCCCCGGCCTTGGGCTCGAGCTTGGTGACGCGGAGGGCGAGCATGCTGAGGGGCAGAAGCTTGAAGGTGTTTTCCAGCGAGGCGCGGTCCGTGACCTCGGGGAGAAGAGGGTTCTTCTTGCGGGCCTTTTCGTAGGCGGGGGTCTGAAGGGCGCGCAGAGCACGCTTGACTGCGCGGGGTTAGCATTGTGACGTCGACGAGAGTTGATGCGAGGTGGCTCACCCTTGAACATGTCCTTGCGCTCGCCGTTGAGGATGCAGGTGCGCGGCTTCAGGTCCTGGCCCTTGAGGAACTTGGCGAGGGCGATGGCCTTGGGGTTCGGCGGGCCGGGCTGGATGGGCTGGTGCCCACCCTGCTGGTGGCTATGGTTGTGCCCGTCGTGGTCATGGTCGTGATCGTGGTCGTGGTTGCAGCCGGGGCCGTGCTGGTGGCCGCCCTGCTGCTGGGCCTGCATCATGCGCGCGCGCTGCTGCTCCATGGCCTGCTTCTTGATGTGCTCGATGAACTCGGGCACCGACATGCCTGCCTTTTGCGCATCCTCGGCGACGCGGCGCTGGATCTCGGCGATCTGCTCGGGCGTCGGCCGCTGCATGCCGGGCGGCATCTGGCCCGGCGGGGGGAACAGCTGGGGCTGTTCTTGCTCTGACATTGTGGTGGAGGCTCTCCGGGCGTGGTCAGTCGTCGTCGCCGCTGTTCGTCGTCGTAGGTGTGCGTGCGCGAAAGGGGCCGCGGGGACGTCGCCTGATCCGATTAGAAGAAAGAGAAAATGACGAGGGCCGTCCTAGCAAGGAGTGAAACTGTGCGTCTGCGACACGAGCAGAGACGGGCACAAACAATTGGGGGAGTGCGACGGGCGCAGAAGAGGACGATGGTGTGGAGAGGTCGAGGTGAAGCTGCTTGTTGGCATCATCTCATCCAGAAATAGACGGGCGATAAGGTAAGCAGCCGCGACTGACAACAGGGTGTTCACTTCCAATTCCCGTGCGCCAAGACCCGGGACCTGGCCAACTGGCCTGGGGCTGGCTGGTCCGGGCGCTAGCACAGTAGGCTTTTACGGTGCGCAAACTCTCTTCGCACCTCCGTGGCGTCCAGATTCCACGAACACGCCGAAGCTTCGACTCGCGACGGAGCTTCTACCGGTACAGGCAGATCTGCCCTGCGACACTGACTGCTGCATTGCGCCTGCACGCGACCTCTTCCTTTGCACGATGGGCGACAGACTCACGCAGCTGCAGGATGCTGTCGACCAGGTAGACATTCCACTGGAGCACGGCTCCTGCGATCGCATTCGCGACATGCGCTGACGATGATCCTCCCCGCAGCTCGCGCAGCAGTTCGTCGCGACACTGCACTTTGCCCACAGCCGGCACGACCTCGAGACCCTGAGCCCCGGCGATAAAGTGCGCGACGTTAAGCAGGAACCGCAGCAGAGAGAAGGTAAGCGCGCGCGCCGACGTTTCTTCCCGCGCGACACGCGCCCCGAGGCCACGAGAACTGACCGCGTGCAGTCGACCCGCTCCCCGCCGATGAGTTCCAGGCCGGCCTGCGCGAGCTCTCTCGGGACCTCATCGTCAAGGAGCAGCAGATAGAGTACCTCATCTCGTCCCTACCCGGACTGGACAACAGCGAAAAGGACCAGGAGAGGAACATCAAGGACCTGGAGGAGGACCTCAAGGCGGCGGAGGCGCAGAGGCAGGAGGCGCTCAAGGAGAGGGACGAGATTCTCGCGCAACTGGACGCTGTCATTTGCAGTGTGCGACGCCCTTGATGCGGGGTCTGGAAAAGCCCGACTTGGGCATTGTGTTGATTGCATAGCGAGGAGTTTGGTATGGCATGATTACTTTCGAGGCAGGTCCAGAGCCTAGCGACATCACGACTATTGGGCTCCAGGCCCAATTCAGAACATAATCTATCTATGATTGAAAGGTCTATAACGCCGTCATAATCTACGTTGCTTATCCAATCGTGTCGCCAAAGTGCCCCTCGTCTCCCTCCCTCAAGCCGACTTGGACCTGAAGAACTGGGGGTAAATGTCTCGCAGCTCTTGCAGGTCGCGGATTTGATACTGCGACGCAGGTGTCCTGGGAACAGGCAGCCCGTCCTCAACCAGGTGAGCGGCCGTCCAGCCAAACTCCTTGGCCTTGACGCAGTTTGAGTATGAGTCGTCTGCGCAACAGTTAGTAACGATACTAAGACTTGACCACGTCTTCCAATACGTACCGACAAAGAAGCAGTCTTCGACCCGCTCGACGCCTGCCTCCCGCATGCCCTTCTTGTACATTTCCTCGTGCGGCTTGCAAATCAGGGGCTGCTGGGCGTAGTCGCAAAACGTAAGGCCGTCAAAGAGGTCGTCGATGCCCAGCAGCTTGACGACGCGCTTGCCGTGCGTCACGTAGGCGTTGGTGAAGAGCCACATGGTGACCTTGGACTTGTCAATGTCCTCGAGCAGCCTGCGCAGCTCGGGGTTCGGCTTGATGATGTCCTGCAGGGGGAGCGCGTCGTCGACCTTGGCGTTGTAGTCGAGGGGGTCGATCTGGTGGTGGCGCACGAGGCCCTCGATGGCTAGCCCGTAGTTGGTGTAGTACTCCTTGTGCAGCCTGACCGCCTCATCGAAGGGAATGTCCAGATGCTTGACGAAGTACTGGTCGATGAGCTCCGCCATGATATCGTGAACCCGAGTGCCTGCCCATAAAAGTCAGTGTCTACGCGCGTGAGTCACTTCTCATCGGTGAGCGGCTTACTCCTAGGATACAGGCAGTTGTCGATATCGCTTCAGAGGCACGCGTGTCAGCTCATACACCAGTCTTATGCATACATATGCAACCAGCTGCGACGGCAACATACAAGAAGAGCACCGGCTTGCCGGTCTTCGTCCCGTTAACGACGGCAGCCATGGTTGCGGCGGCACGCGTGCTTGGATGAGGGACAGGGGCGTAAGGGGGAAGCGAGAACGGCTGCGCTCGACGAATGCGCGATAGGCTCGAAGATGCAAACGCACGTCTAGACAGTGCACCAAGAATGCGCGAGGAATATGCCAGATTGACGGCTGCCCGAGTTTGAAATATGTGACTACTGGAGAATGGGGGAAGACTTCGGGGGGGAGGCCGGGGCTAGTGTGGGGGGGCGGTTGAGGAATAGGCTCGCGGCTCTACGGGTTCCCTTGACGGCGGCGGCGGCAGAGGCCGGAGTTTGCGACGGCGGGGCGGTGACTCTTGCGGCGAGCCGGGAAGCTGGCTGGGCGGGCTTGCCTACGGTGCGACGTGGATTGTACGAAGCACGAGACCGCTCCAAAACATGCAGGCTTGCTCTTGGCTTGTCGAATCGATGGGATGGCTATGACTGCACGTCGCGGTGAGCTTATTGGACTGATTTCTGTATTAATATACAAAGTAGCGTACGAAGCAGCGTGCTAACTACGAAGTATGGCCTTGGTCTGTGCCAGGTTGCCAGGTTGGGCGCCAGGCGCCGCGGCGGATCCTGCCACCGCTCACCGCCTCAAGTTGTTGCCCCTTCCTCAAGCTTCCTCGCGCGCACCCGCGGCCAACCTCCCTCGCGACTCTTCGTCAGGCACCACGCAGAGCCAACATCGCCACACGCGTGTCGCTGGAGCTTGCTTCCTCATGGCTGAGCTCAAGGGCATTTGGTGCTGAGCAGTTCATGTCCCGGCGCCTTTGATCTTTCCAAGCGCGCGGCCTCACGAGTGCATCAAGTGACGCGAACGACCGCGTGGGCAGCGCCCCTCCTCTCCGCAGTCATGGCGCGAGGTCGAGCTCCCAAACCGCCGGTGCGCGGCGTAGGTCCCTTGGACGGGACCGTGGACAAGGACAGAGAAGCATTCGAGATGCGACAGTACGAACTGATCCTGCAACTGCAGGACACCATCTTGTCCGGCCGACACCCGACAATCCGGCTGCCTCAGAGTCACAATAGTGCCGCACAGCCACTGGCTGGTGGCTCTGCTGTGTCAAGGACAGACACAGATGCGGACCGCGCGAGTCGCACCGACGGCGCGCAGCCAGCTTTGATGAGTAGTGGAAAGGGCAAAGCAAAGGCTCCGGTTGCTGCGGACGCGTCGACGTCGAGCACACCGAGGCCTTTCGCAACGGGGAGCGCTACTTTTAACCCGATACTCCTCGAAAAGTCCGAGGAACTGGTGCAGGCCGAGCTGACGCTGCAACGGCAAAGACTCGAGCGCGCCCTGAAAGACGAAGTCGACCGGCGACGAGGGCCCAAGGCCTCGCAAGCGGAGAAGCAAAACGCAGAGCTTGATCTGTCCGATGTTCTCTCCAAGGCCCACGCCCTCGTTCCCGAGGTCGAGGAGCCTCTCCCGCCTGCTCCTGCTCCTGCTCCTGCTGCTGCTGCCGTGCCAGTTGAAGACGGGTTGACTGATAACAAGGACGCTGAAAGTGACTCGTTCGATGACGATACCTTTTATTCCTCACAGCACGAGACACCTCAATCTCACATGGCTTCTCGAGTTCGCAACGCATCTGAAGCAGCACACAGTCCCACCGTTGCCGCCAGCCAACTGGCACCCCCGGCCCAGACCGGCGATCGCCCGCAGCCCAGCCATCAACCAGCCCGCGTCCCTGGGCAGCCGGCTGCGAATATAGGAGCGCGTGTCGATGCCCAGCCTATTCCGCTCGCGAACGCAGCCACGGCGATTTCGCATACCAGCATGGTCCCAGGGCTGAATAACTACGTCGGCGTGGAAGAAGCCACGAACCGATTCGTACAGGGCCCGGCGAGCGGCGAACAGAGTTTATCAGACGACTCGGCAAACATGGATTACGAGCCCCCGGAAGCCGAGGACATTACGAGCCATATCCCGCAACAGGGTGACTCGTACATGGAGATGCATCCCCCGTCACCGCTTGTGAGGAGTCATGCTCTTCAGCCGCTGGCGCCTCGACCGTCTCAGGTCTCATCGTTGGCTGTCGCTGCCCAGGAGCGGGTGCCTATCCAGCCAACGGTTCCCCGCACACGGGGCACACCGGCACAGGTTGCTGCTCTACGCAATGAGCACTCCACGGCGACCAGTCCTGACAGCTCATCCCAAGGTGGAAAGGGCTCGGAAAAGAAGAAGGGGAGGAGGAAGAAGAGGAAGGCGGACCGGCAAGTGCCAGACGCCAATGTCAGCCCCTACATCAAGCCCGAGCCTCGGTCTCCGTCGCCGATTTTTGCTCCAGCCTATATCAGGCCGAATAAACGCCAACGTCAGGCTCAGGGTCGTGTCGTCGATCTCGAGTATGAGCCGAGACTCGAACCACCACCGGCCAACGGGCATGCGGGCCAAGTCCTAACCCAGCCGTATAGGGACGAACGCATCCCGCTGGGCTACGAAAGCGCCGGTGTATATCCTCAACGAGCAGCCAGCATGGCGTATCCCGGCGAGCCGAGATACGTGCGGCAGTATGTCGACGACCACAGGATGCCAGCCGAGGGTCACCTACGGAGCTATGGCCCGCAGAGCACGCTACCTGTGCCGTATCCGCCCAGTGTGGGCTATGCCTCCCGGCAGGTCCCTCCGCCCATCGCTGGCGACGGTTACCGAGAACAGCCGCGAGCCTATGGCGAATTCCCGGGAGACCGGATACGTGTCGCGTCTGACGGCGAATCGTTCGGTCCCGCGCCGGGAGCCGCCCCGCCTCGAATGGTAGTTGATGAGTTCGGCCGTGAGTACTATGACCCAGCTCATCCTGCTGTACAACGCCCCATGGCTTCGTCGGTGGGTCCCGGCGAACCCGGTGTAGTCTACGAACGGCTGCCGCCCCGAACGGCGTCCCGGCAGGCCGGGCCCGAGCCCCGCGGCGATGGCGTCAGGCACAGCACGCAGGCACCACCAGCATATGCCGTCATGCCGAGGCGCATTGTGACCCAGCCTGAGTATGCTGGGTACGACTACCGAGACGGCCGTGGACGCGAGTATTCCGCGCGGCCAATGGCGCCGCCGGGGGAGTTTGTGGAAGTCGGAGGGCCTCGCGAAAGAAGGTACTTCGGCGAGGCGCCAGGGCATCTAGCCAGAGCCGCAAGCATGATACCGGTGGATGCAGTACGGTACGAGATGCCGCCGGGCTACGGGCGTGTGCAGAGCGTGCGGCCCGAGGTGCCAGGGCGCGAGTACGCCGCAAGCGTTCACCCGGACAGTCACCGCGAGCTCGCCCAGCCATATGTGCGGAGCTACGGCGCGCCGCCGCTGGGAGACTATCGCCACCCATCGCATGCCCCTCCTGGCGGCGAGATTGCCTTCATAGAGCGGCCACGGGGCGCGACACAGGAGATTGTCTACGCGGACGACGCGAGGAGAGAGATCTACCGCTAGGACGGGCACGAACACGGCGCACGGGGGCGGGAAGCGATGCATGCATCGGTGTTGTGTGGTTCATCACCCTGTGTTGGAAAGCATGCGCGTTACTGAATAGCATTTGCGAGTAGGGCGGCTGGGGTTGTCACAGAGATACCCTGAATTGTTTTTGACATTTGAAGACACGCTTTTCCCGGCTGCAATTTTATGGCGTGTTGACAGCACTCCGTACAAGGCATGACGTGACGCGAAACGACACGGAAACGAAACGTGTGTTTTGTAAACATTGGCGGATCCGCGAAAAGTGATGGCTGGCCCCAATGTCCCAGTGTGAGGACGCGATGTCGTTGGCTTGTTGTTATTGTTGTCGCCGCCACAGGGACACAAGGTGGGTGTCGAGGAAAAAACGCCCGTCGAGACTCAACACACACACCTCGTTCGTTCGGCTCGACGGCGCCGGGAACAAACAAGCCCTGGGGGAAAACCGCCACGGTCTTGAATCTAGACACGCTGTTTGGCACTGGTACTACGAAGTATTTCACACATGTCAAAGGAGAAAGTCAGGTCCCTGCATTTGGAGGCGTTGGTGTCCCTTTTAGGAGGGTAAGTTTTAGGCCCAGGTGCTACATGATGGGGGTCCGTTGGTCTCCTTGACTCTCCTGGTCGTTCTCAGCGTTGGGTCCCCGTCAACAACCAGTATTGGCGTGGTGGCAGCGGCCGTGGGAGAGGTCTCCTCGGATTCTTTGGTAGGTAGCTACCTACTAGGTAGTAGACAGGTGGCTTTGATGGGAGAAGACAGCTTTCTCTAGGTAGAAGGCCGGGGCGCCGGGATGCCGGGCTGGCCGGCAGGAGGAGGCTTGTCTGACGCGGGGAGGGCAGTTGAGCGCTGGTGGTTTCGGGCCACCTTTTCTTTCTGCTTGCTTTATTTTAGCTGTCGATTATGTATGTATACGTGCAGATACCGTACCCGTATCCGGCTGTGAATTTGCATGTACGTCTGTGGGGGGGCGGTGAGAATAGACCGAGGTTGAAGGGTAACCCAGGGGGGTGATGCTACTATGCCGCAATGCGTGATGGCCAGGCGTGGGAGGGAGTGAACGGAGGCCCTCAAAAGAGATGTTCAATGGAACCTGAAAGATTTCTAGAGTGGCTCTTGGGGAAACCTGAGCTGTGCGCGCGCTGCTTGCGTCTCCCAGCTAGCGAGGATCCGGGGGCTTGGAGCTATCGATTGGACGGACGGAGGTGTGACGGACGGTGGTGGAGGGTTGGGTCTGGTTGGGTGGATGGTGGATGGATGGGTGAATGGATGGAACGGCACCGCAGGAGAACAAGTGGCGTGTTTTGGGGGTAACAAAGGCCATGGAGTTTTGTCCGGCGACGGGGCGCGGTGCCAGTTCAATACTCTCAACAAGTACGTGGAGATACAAACAGGCACGACCGAGGAAGAGTGACGAGCGGATGAGGTGAAGGCAACAGTAATGGCATGCCTCTGCCCTATGACACCCCCAATGGCCAGCTCCATGACTGACAGCTATTACGAATACTCACCTTTCGCCTACTTCCGGTGGTCGTCGCGTCGTCGGATTGACGTCGGCCGGCACGGCAGGAACAGCAAGACGTCAGTGGGGAGCATCTTCTGGGGCATTTTGGTACAAGTGGCTGCACGCTGCGCATCATGCCCAGGTTGACGGGAAGCGGAAAGCGAGGTGCGAACCAAGGTGGGCTGTGCTCTTCTCCATCTGTGTGAGTGGGGTCGACGAGTTCGTGGCAGGTCCTCCGTCACCCTTTTCGAGGCGTCTCTCTCGGCGTCGGCGTTGTTGATGCCGTAGTCGTTGTGCTGGACTGAGTCTGCCTGCGCGACTCGTCCATCTGTGCAACATCTGTCAGCGCCAATCGGCCGGCGGCGACGCGGTTCGTCGAGAGACGAAGCCATGGAGACCGGCTTCGTCACGAGGCAAGGAGGGCCACAGACGGTCCCCGCTGGCTCGCGGGCGTTTCACGTGCCGCTGGAGTGCGCATGTCCGTCCTTGCTTGTGCCGCAGCTGCAGCTGCAGGGCAGAGCTGAGGGACGGGGGCCTCTGTTGCATCTTGAACCTTGAATCATGGACCTTGGACCTCAAACCTGGTGCTCGTGCTCTCTGCTGGAGGCACGCACCCCCAGCTCGGCTGACGGAGCCGGCTGGAGCTTGTTGCTCGTGCCGTCGCCGAGCGCGTTACGTGTACGTGGATTCGGGGCTAGCACTGCTAGCAGCCATGGCCTCGGATCGGGCCAGTCAGATCGCGCTGCTGTCAACCGAGCATCGTTCGGAGTGCCGGGTGCCTGTCCATCCACGTCGTGAACCAAACAAGTTGATGGCGGGACGGACGGAGACTCAGGGGGGCGGAGCCGCGAGGGTTTTAGCCGCGAGGTAGGACCATGCCTCGCCTCCGTCTGAGCAGACGCTGCCCGTGTCTTGCCTGAAAATAGCAACGGCGACAAATGCAATACGAGGGATAGAAGGGCAGTGAGCTGCAAGTCCGGTCTGCGGTCGGGCGAGAGAGAGGTGACTGCATTCATTCATTCATTCCCTGCCTGGGGACTCGGCCGTCTCCACCAAGTCGACCCCCCTGGTCCCCTGCGGGTGGGTGGTCAGTGCTCCTGGGCTGGCTGGCACATGGAGCGCCAAAAGATGGAGACATGGAGCGCTGCGGTGACGATGTCCATGTCCATGTCCTTGCTCCTGTCGAGTGCCGGAGGGACCATGGCTGTGTCCACGCGAGTGCTGGATACGAGTGCATGCGTCCAGCACAGGTGTCGAGCCGCGATATCAAGTCAGCCGCGAGCAGGGCCAACGGGGTCACCTCGGGCACCGACAAAGACAGACAAGACAGACTGCAGCTGCGGGACACGGTGGCCTCGCTCGCCCGTCACCCGGCCGGGGATCCGATCCGAGTGCCGGAAGGGCAGCTTGGGGGGGTTGGAGACTGCAGAACGGCGGACCATTGGAGCCTAGGCAGCATATCAGTACAAGAGCAGTGACTGGTCGTGGCCGCCGTCGTCCGTGTTGTCGTCGTCGACTTGTCGTTGTCGACGTGTGTGGCGCCCAAAAGCTACGACCAAGGCCAGGTCCTCCCGTCAGAGTTCAAGACACGACTTGGGCGCCTCGACCGGGCTGCTCCCTCCCATCCGCGCCTGGTCGTGTGTGTCGCGGCTGGCTGGCGCCCGAGTACCTTTGTCTTCGTACGAGGTGGACAGGTGGGCTGGCATCCTGGGCGTGAGAGTCTCCCCATGCTTCCACGTCCCCACGGCTTGCGCCGAGACGGAGTCCCGCTGTGTGCCCACTGTGGACGGCCTCCCGCGATGTAGACGCACCTGGCCGTGGCTTTGCCCTCGTAGTTCCACCGTAATACACGCTGCTGCACTCTCCTACAGTACTATCGCGGGCAGTAGAGCTGCTGAGAGCTGCTGGAACGCGAGACGCCGCGGCAACGGCATCGTTGCTCTCGGGGTTGGCGTGGCTGTTGTACAGGACAGATGGCGGTAAGATCTGGCACGGCTGGCAGGGAACTAGGTCGCTATCGAGGCCCACGAGCACCCGTGGCTGCCGGCAGGGATATCCAAGTCGGCAAAGTGTGAAGAGGCGCGCAGAGGGGGAGATGCGAGCTGGAGGAGTGCGTCCCTGCTGGTGGTCAGCGTGCCGTGCCTGGCCAAGAGCGCAACCCAGCACCCCACCATGCCCACCATGCCCACCTCACCGCGCACGAGAACCGCCCGCCCCAGCCGGCATCTGCCACTCAGCGGACTGGAACGAGGTGGGAAGAAGCACCACCGTCGGTGGCACTGAGCCCTGCAGACGAGGTACCTTGCCGTACCAGCCCCTCCTCACCATGCCGTCTGCGGGACAGTGTTGCTGGGTGGTGTTGCCAGCCCATGACAAGGACGCCATCGAGGACGGAGGACCGCCCACTGCCTTGGCTCGTCAAGCTTCGGGGGCCGCCTTTCGAGCTCGAGTCCCAGCCAGCCCAGGTTACCTCGAATGGACGAGTCGCAGTCGTACCCACGAAAGACACGCGGAGCTCTCCAGCCCACGCCAGCAATCGCCAAGCGCCCCACCGGATGGAAAGGACCAGGACCAGGTCCGGCCCAGCTGGCAGACGATTCCAGTCGCTGATACGCAGGTAGTAGGGGCGTCGACTCGGGGTCTCATCCCCATCCACGCGCGTCTGCGCCCTGCATCTCGTTCCGGGCGTTGACGAGATAAGGCGTTGTCGGGTCGTGACGCTGGGTGTTGACTGGTGCTGTTCCAGGTTGCTGGTGCCGCTGTTGGTGTTGCAGTCGCTGCTGCTGCTGACCTGACGCTTGAGGTGGTGCCTCAGCAAGGTTGCCTGTCCGCGGCCCTGCCTGCCCATGCCCTGCCCTGCCCTGCCTGGTGGCGTGCGGCCGTTGGAATTGACTTGCGGTGGTACCTGCTAGGTTCCAACCTTGCCGCCCGCCGCCGCCGCCGGGACGGCCTCAGTCGGTGCCCTGTCCTGCCCTGTTTGCCTGCGCTGTGCTGGCCCCCCGATCATCAGCGCCCACCTGCCCTAGCTGCAGCGGGCCCGTCGAGGGCTCGAGACCGCCCCTCCCACGGCTGCTCTGCCCAATGGCTGCCCGCTCCCTCGTCCCACTCTCCGCCCAGGCATGGAAACCCCATCCGCCAGGCCCATCGTCTCTCGTCCATCCACTTCCATGCACGCACTCGCCTGCGCTGGCAAGCCGGACTCGGCTGGGCTCGACTCGGCTCGCTTCCACCTGCGCTGGACTGCTGCGAGCGCGGACCAGAGATGCAGACTGTCCGTGATGCCTGGTAGCTTCTTTGGTGGGCGGATGGGGTGGAGGGTGGCTGCTCAACGGACGTCTTGGGGCCGTCCAAGTGAAGGTACTTGGTGGTACCTTCCACCTGCTGGCGCTGGCGCCGGTGCCAGCGCTCCCTGAGGTGTGCTTTCGGGGGCGTCTGGTCCACCCCCGGAGGTGTCCATGGCCCGCCTGCTACTGGCTGTCCGGGGCCTTCCACTCCGCCTCGATCCCCACCCGCTCTCACGCTCGCGCGCTGCCTCTCTCCCGTCACTGTGTCTGTAGGTCTCTTCCCACACGCTCCGCCAGCCCAGTCAAGCACCACCAGAGACGTGACTGGCCGGGCCGGGCTAAGGTGCCTTCTCTCGTCCCATTCCTCCTCTTCCACTCCTTCACTCTTCCTCGTCACCACCACCACCAAACCATCCTCCCCCCCCGAACCCACGTCGAAAAGAGAATCCTGGAAAGGGCCACCTCGCCAATTCCTTTTTCCTTTTCTCTTTTCCCCCTCCCCTTCCCCCCGGCTTTTTTTGTTTCTTCCCGACCGACCTCCTCTGAGATACCCACCCCCGTCGTCACACTCTGCCCTTGTCTTCTTCGGCCGCTCGACGCTTCACGCTTCACTTCTTTCGCTTCGTTTTGACGGCTCTCATTCCCCGGATACCCACGAAAGTCGTCGCCCATCCGCCCCCCTCGCCTTGACGCCCCCCTGCCCGACCAGCCCGACCTCCGCTCGCTCACCATGAATAAGCTGGCCAACATGCGTCACTGGTCCGAGAGGATGAGCCCCAACTTCGGAATGGGTCGTCCCAACATGCCCATGAACGCCCTCAACGCCCATCCCAAGAACGCTGCCCAGCCCGGCGGCCCCATAAGCTCGCCGCAGGCCGCCGATGCCACGATCCACTACTCGTTCAACGTTCCCTTCGCTTCCGACCTCGCCGGCCCCAACACCGAGGACATTGTCCATGCCACGACCGATGCTGTTCTCCGGTGGACTCACCCCGAGGACGCTCCCGATGACGTCCAGGTGCACGAGCTGCCCGTCCACGTACAGAACCTGGCCCATCTCCGCAAACTCTGCAGCGACCTCTCTGTCGGGCCGCTACCGATCGAGGCCCACGTTCTGTCGACACCGCCCAAGAATGGCAGGGGCCAGCAGGTCACCACCGTCTGCCTGTCCGGCTCCCCGGAGCTGGTGAACAAGAGTAGGGAAACCATTCTCAACGAGATACCAATCTCAATGGTATGTTTGATTTTCCGGCGGGCGCTTACGGTCTACTGCTGCTGCAGGATGCTGACCCCACTCGCAGCGTTGCACCATAATCGATATTGACGGCAGCCTGGTTTGTGACCTCAACGCGGGCGTTCTCAAGACCCCGGTGGTGGAAATGCTGGACTATATCTCAAGCTTTTGCGGCGTCGACATCTTCTTGCTTGGCCCCAAGCTGACCCCCATGGTGGACGGCATGACTGGCGACTCGGAGATGCGGATAGACCAGCGGTGGAGAGTCGCCATCTACGGCGACATTCTCTCATCCGAGCACGCCAAGGCCAGGGTTCTGATACATATTGACACTCTGGTACGTTCGGATTTGCGTCCGATCATAAAGACCCCGTGTACTGACCCAAATAGCTCGGCCGTGTCGTCGACGTCACCAAGGTGGAGCTGTACCTCCACCAACTTGTCTGCGGTCGGCATCGAAAGAACATCAAGCTCATTGAGTCCTCAACCGGAACTGCCATATACTTCCCTCCTCTGTTCTCGCAAATGTACCGCTACTGCCCTCCGAACGCGAACCGCCGTGATCCCTCCGATATTTTCATCACCGGCGATTCCCCGCAGGCCATCGAGTTGGCCAAGCAGAAGCTGCACGAGACCGTCTCGCGAATCCGGCTCTACGTCAAGGATGTCACGATTCCGGCTGCCAAGATTGACAGCATCTTGCTCACCCGCCTCGACAAGGTTCGAAAGATTCTCGAGGCCAACGGAACTTACATCATGTTCCCCCCGCTGGCGTGTCAACGCACCATGGTTCGAGTTCAAGGCAGCGAGGGCCTTCCGGTTGAGCGAACCGTGCGGGAGCTCATGTCCTTGGTAGGCAACGCGCACGAACCTGCACGATCCGACATATGGCTAACTGTTCAAAGGCTGGTCAATTTTACGGTGCCGGTTGGTACACCCAGCATTCTGACCAAAGGCAGCTTCTTGGCCCCGTGGATATCAAGGCGATGCTGGGCGAGATCTGCGCCAACTCCGACGCCGACTTATCCTTTGACAAGATGAACTTCACCGTCACCGGCTCCGATGACGCTGTCAAATCCGCTCTGAACGTCATCTCCGAGCTTCGTTTCGTGACTCAAGCTCCGTACCAGATTCGTGTCAAGATTGAGCTGGCCAACGAGCACAAAGAGTTTGTTAGCGGCAAGAAGAACGGCAAGATCAACAAGATCATGGGTCAGAGTATGTTGCAAGCTCGCACTCCAGGTTGCTCGAGAGACTGACAGTCGGCAGGCAACGTGCAGATCATTTTTGACGGTTTCAACGAGTACAACTTCAACATTGACGTCATGGCGGCCAGCTACGAGTCCATGAAGCAGGGCCTCACTCTTGTTGAGCAAGAGATGCCTGCCTCCATCTCCTTCCACGTCCCGGACCAGTACCACAAGCGAATCATCGGCATTGGTGGCCAGCATATCCAGCGAATCATGAAGAAGCACTCTGTCTTCGTCAAGTTCTCCAACGCAATGGATAGAGGTGGAATTAGTCGTGAGGATGACGATATCAAGGTCGACAATGTGATTTGCCGCACGCCCGCTCGCAACGCGCAGAATTTGGATGCGGTCAAGAACGAAATCCTTGAGATGGTGGACCGAGCCGTGAGTTCCCCGCACTGACTCGCTTCATTGACGCTGTATGCTTACGCGGCTGTTCAGGACTCGGAGTACACCACCCAGGTTGCTAGCGTTGATCGCTTGTACCACCGAGAGCTCATTGCCCGCCTGCCCGAGATCGACGAGTTGGAGCAAAAGTACAACTGCAAGATCAACTTCCCCAGCACCGAGGAGGCAAGCGACGAGGTCACCGTCACCGGTCCCCAGTGGCAGGTGCCACACTGCGTGGATGAGTTCCTTGGCATGGTGCCAGACAAGCACGAGCTCGTCGTTGCTCGCACTGCTGAGCTTGTCAAGTTTCTTGAATCGCCGGACTTTGCTTCAGACCTGGTGACCAAGCTGAAGACGCAGTATGAAGTCGAGGTCACGGTTCACCAGAACCCTGACGAGCTCACCGAGGAGGGCAAGCCGACTGTCACGCTCGTCTGGGGCTTTACCCGCAACAACGCTGGTGGACTTCGGGATGCCATCGACTTCCTCGAGGCACAGCTCGCAGCTGCTGGCGTCGATGCCGCCATCGTCAAGGGATCCATTCCCCGGCCCAAGTCCGACTCGTTCGAAGACTCCCTCCAGTACTTTGACTCGAAGCTTCTTCAGCACGCACCCAACACGGTCGCTGCCGACTCCCCCGTCAAGGCCGCCTTCGAGGCTGGAGTCGCCCGCGAGCGGAGCAGCATCCTTGACCGCCTCCGCAAGCCTGGCAGCATGACGTCCATCTCGTCCTTTTTGGACCGCAGAAAGAACAGCTCGCAGTCGACCAACGGCAACTTCTTCAAGGGCTCGAGCAACGTCTCCAAGTCGTCGCTCATCTCCATTGAGTCGACCCGCAGCTTCAACGCCGATCGCAACCCCTGGAACGACAGCGGCGTGAACCTTCCAGACGACGACCACCCCTGGGCCCCGCGCCCGATCAGCAAGCACATTGACAACAAGCTTGCCATTCCGCTACCCGGCGACGTGACGCCGCGACACGGCCCTCGCGCGTCCGGAGACAGCGGCCGCCCTTCTACTTCCCATTCCATGAATTCAGGATACCCCGGCCCGGTTGGGCCTTTCCGTTAGATTCCCGACTTAGAATGCGTCTTCGAGCGAATACCCCTGCTGGATATACCCTGGCGCAAACGTATACCCTGGAACGCCCGATGCCACACGACGTCGCATCGGTCGGGCCTGATTGTTTCTGCTTGCATTTGCTGCTTGTTACCCACGCCGTTTGCACGGGTTGTTCGTGCTCCGTCACGCCGCGAATGTTTATGAGATTTGATTGATTTGGTTACTTGACGGGTGGTGTCGCTCTTGATGATTGACGTCCACTCTTTATACCCATGTGCGCGACTGAGAGTCGAAGAAAACCAAAAATACCCCGAGAGTACGGAGCGAGAATGATCTGGTGGAGAGTTGGCGCGGGATTTGTGCGAAGAGCCGGCGCGTGGGCGCCCAAGCAGGGGAAAAGTTTATGTTGTGGGAGCATGACGGGCTGCGGATACGGCGTGTCTCTGTACATGTCGAAACCCCAGGGAACGGAACTTTGTGCGCACAGGGGTCTACGCAAGACGCAGCGAAAGCACAAATATATGAGCTAGACAGCCATGAACCATCTGTTTCATCTGCTCCGGCGGTCCCTGCCAGTTTTCTTCCTCGTATCATCGTGGACTTCGTAAACGATGTCAAATGCTAAGTTGTGCCCGATCCTGTGAACGCCTTCCGTTTTGTGACGAATATCCTACGCAGCTACAGTGAATTACAAGTGAGGAAAGAGGTCTGTCCACTCCGGGGTATCGTATGCCGCGACAGGCAGCTCACGAATGCTGATGAAGGCTTCTAAAACGACGTACATGCGAGCCAGCATGAGGCTAAACCCGCACGTGAAGACGACGGCTCCGAGGCCGATGCTCTGAGCCAACGACTTTTCGCCGTCCATCCACTTCTCCCAGAAGGCGTTGAGGGCCGGCCAGCGGGCCACGGCCGAGTTGAGGATGACCCAGAAGCCGCCGCAGAAGCCAATGTAGGAGGCGGAGGCTCGCCACAGCCACTTCTCCGCGACGGACGGGAAGTGATCGTTCCAGGCTGCCGCGTGGAAGCCGCCATAGCACAGATTGGCAAGCCAGAGAATCATACCGACGACGAGGCCGTTGACGGAACGGAGGAGGTCGTTTGAGGGCCAGTTGGGGATGTGCGTGGCGACGAGTTGTTCAGGGCGCAGGTGCAAGCAAGAAGCATGTGTGGCGGCAGAGTGGGAGAGGAGGATGCGGTCGCGAAGGAGCAGGTCCGGTGATTTCTGAAGGGCTTGTTGAATGAGGGTCCATCGAGCCATGTCTGACGAGGAAGGCGCCTCGGCAGCCTGCTCCTGGTGTGGGATAACTCGCGGCCGGCGCTCGAAAAATGCCGTACCGTGCTCCTTCTGACGTTTCCTTTCGAGCTGGCGCAGGCAAGTTGACGGTGCCCGCTGAACCATGCCTGGAAACTGCGTGACGGATGAGAGGTTTAGGGGTTTGACGGTTCCCTCTGCATCGCCGTCCGCTGTCTCTCCACTTTCGCTCTCTTCACAGGTCCGGATGAGGCAAAGATTCTCCAGTTCGGGCGTCGTCGAATAAAGATTGAGATTGGCAAACAGAGTCTTTACAAAAGTCTGAGACTTAACGTGCTCGCGCCTGACCCGACCACTCACCTCGCTGCTGGCATACATGAAGGCAACGAGGGGGGCAAGGGACTCGTCTCGCAGGACGATGGGCTCGTTTGGCAACAGGGGCTTGTCCCACCAGAAGATGTACATGGCGAAGGCACATAGGCTGAAACGCAATGTTGCAGTAGTAGTCAGAGATACGACAACTGAACAAGGCTGGGAGGGGGTTTTGTAACTTACACATGGGCAACGGTATTGACCTCGAGGAGCGTGACGGGCAGGTGGGCGGCGAGGCGGCCGATGACCTGGACAAGCATCCAGGTGGCTTGTATGATGACGGTGGCCTTGGCAAGGTCATTTGCCTTGGACTTGTCTTCAATCTCGGCCTTTGTCACGCGAGGAACGAAGCCGCTACTGGCAAGGAGCATCACGCCCCTGGCCGTGAGGGTAAGTCGCGGACATTCTGCTTTCTCACCGGTGCCTTCCTCGGGCAGGTGCGATTGGCCGAGGACGCTTCCACGCATGCTGTCGAGCTCGATGGCGAAGCCTCCCGCACAGGCAAAGAAGCTGTGAGCCATTGTCCATAGCGGCGGCTCGTCGTGATTCGTCTCCGAGAACGGATCATCGCCACGCTCTTTGGCATCAGCGTGGAGGCGCAAGATGTGCTGCTGCAATAGGCGCGCAGAGCACCATTGGCGCCAAGCAACGAAGACTACGAGCTCGGGGGCGTAGATTCCAGCGAAGATCCAACGGACGTTGAGCCAGAGAACCTGAATCACGCTGCGGTGTCGGGCCGGTACGTTCAGGTGCAGCGCAGACCAGACGCATAAGACGAGAGTGAGGAGGCAGGACAAGACCAGAGACGTGGTCCCGCGGCCATTTGGGTCGGAGACGTAGCCGACATATGAGGCAGTGCTGCTGCTGTCGTTGGAGGGGCCGCTGGGCGCATCGACTTGGGCACGTCCGGAGAGGAGGTTGTGTATAGTGTTGGCGGGGATGCTGCTGTGCCTCGACGTGAGCATCGCACCTAGCACCTGCGAGACGAATGGTGGTTCTGTGAGGCGGCGGAGAGAGCGATATGGAGCGAGACACAAGGTCAGCCGCGTAGAATCAAATGCATCGAGGCAAGAGATCAGAGTTGGGAAGGGGAGTTGGGCACCCGGGACATGGTTCCTGCCACTTGACGAGAAGGGCTGGGTCTTCCTGCCTTTCATACATAATAGCCCGTGGAAGGCACCTTCCTCCCCAACGGCCGCTGCTGCTTCCCCGCCCGTCTGCGCCAGGGGGTCATGCCCCCGTCACAGCAGCCGCCAGGATGCGAACGCTCTCTCGTTGCAATCCTCCCGGCCTCGAGCCGGCCGCCTTTTCGAGTGTTGGTCGTCGCACCCCGACACGACACGGCTGGAGTAGTCTGCAGCAGCGCTGCGGTTGCACGAGACGGGGGGCAAGTCGAGGCGTCGAGGCGGCCAGCTAATCAGCGTCCACCGGCCCATGAAATAAGCGCCCGCGGGCCGCATCGCGCGAAACAGCCAGGGCTGCCGAGCTGACCCCCTGTCCTGTCCCGCATCAGTCATTTCTCCAGCATGCCTCTGTGCAAAGCGCCGGTCGTTACCTTCTTTTGGTGGTGCTGGGGTAAGTCAGGTTCCTCCCCCGCCGCTGACCCGCGCTGGGCGATCAGTCCCCGACTCCCCGGTCTCCTCGTGGCCCCTTGCTAGGCGGGGCGCCTCGAAGTTGGGACGGCACGAGGCGCATGTGTCAGGTTGCCTTCTCCCTCCCCTCCCCTCCTCGCGACTTCATCTGCGACCGGGCACGCCTTGTTTTCCCTTTTCTCAGTTTCGCAACCGGGTACGAAGCACTTTGCGCTGTTCCTCCGATTGTCCCACACTACCGCGGTCCCAGCATCGTCATTCTGGATATGGGGGACAATGGCAAAAAGGTCGGGCTGCTAGCCTGGAAAGACATTTGTAAGTGCGGACCAGATGTCACATGCTCCCTCTAGATATCATTCACTGACAGTCCATAGTGCCATGGCAAAAGTGAGCAACACTTAGAACAGCGTTGCCAAAGTCCACATGCTGACGGCGATAGGGACAACGAGTATATCTTGACGGGCTACCGGTGAGCTAGCCATGGATCCCATGAGCCAGAACTCGTCAACTGACAACGCAGGCCTGCCTCATTCTCTTATAAGAAGTCAGTCAAGAGCATTCTTCAAATACACAATGAGACAGGCAAGTGCAAAGTTCGAGTCCTGGCACTTTTCCAGCACGGGACCTCTAACAATCGACAGCCAACATATGGTCGCACCTCATCGGCGCTCTCCAGTTTCTTCTAGGCCTCCTTCGCTTCCTGCACTTTCACTTCTCTGCTATGACCTCGGACCGGCCCCTCAACATGCCAGACGTTGCTGCCGTCTCTGTCTACTACCTCTGCGTCGTCGTGTGCTTTGCCCTCTCCACCGCCTTCCACACCCTCTCCGACCACAGCGCGCCCTTGCACCGCTTCGGCAACCAGCTCGACCACCTCGGTATCGTACTCGTCATGTGGGGGACCGGCGTATCGGGCACGCACTTTGCCCTGCGCTGCGCGCCTGCATCACTCCGCATCCTGTACTTCTCCGCGGTGACGGCCACGGCCGCTGGTTGCGCCGTCTTCACGCTGCAGCCGCGTTTCCGCACGCCGAGCTTCCGCACCGCGCGCTTCCTCATGTACTGCTTCCTCGGCGCGAGTCTGTTCGCTCCCGTGGTGCACGCCTGGCGCGGCTTCGGCGGTGGCGAAGACGGCCTCGCGGCCGTGAGCGCCGTCATGGGCCTGCGGTCTTTTCTCGGGCTCGCCCTCGTCAACTTTGCGGGCGCGGCTGTGTATGCGGCGAGGGTGCCGGAGCGCTGGTTCCCGGGGACGTTTGACCTGCTCGGGCAGAGCCACAACTGGATGCACGTGCTCGTGTTTACGGGGGCGCTCATCAGACTCAGTGGGTTGCTTGAAGTGTGCGATGGGTGGGCGGCTGAGGGCGGGTTGGCTGTCTATTGCCAGGGTGCGAACTGAAGGGCCTGCATGTATTTCGGGACGGAGAGGAGATCACGACCCATGTTGAAGAAAATCAAGTGCGTCTAGGTATTTCCCAAAACTAGATATGATACATGTGGTAAATATGCTGCATGCAGCTCTTGCTGCCCGTGTATCCCAAACGCCCTGCATCCGTGGTATAAAAGCCCGCAAATCAGTCATGAATAGTAGTATACAATGGCCTGGAGGCGGTGTTCACGCCATGACCGGCCCGACCCTCACTTGCTCGCGGCCCTGTCTCGCCTCTGCCGTGGTCGTCTGCCTCTCCCGTCGTCGCTGCTCCGCCTCTATTTTCGCGAACTGGCCACGGGCACCGTGCTTGAGCTTGGTGATCATGTCGGCCGCCTTGCCCTTCGTCAGGTCCGCCGCAGTCAGGGCCTTGCCCTTTCCGCGCAGGCGGTTCACAAAGTCGAGCTGGCCTTGCGTGGGCGGCAGGCTGCGCCACGACTGGTATCGGTGTATAAAGGTGTGCGGGAACGCGTTGGCGGCGTAGCTGTCGGCGCCGTGGACCGCGTCGTTGAAGGTCGCCGCGGTGAGTATCTCCCGCGGGGCGGCAAAGGGCGACTTGGAGACGCCGGGTGGCAGGGCGCGGATCTCGAGCGCGCGGTATGTCGGCGCGGAGTTGGCGGCGGCTTGGCCTGCGATGCGCTCGATTCGTATGTAGGAGCCGCTGGGGGCGGAGAGGACGAATCGCTCGGGGCCGACTTGCACCCATGCGTATTGGCTAATGGCCCGGATGTGTCGCTCGCCGGAGGTATCGGCGATGAGGTCTAGGACGGACGAGTAGTCGGTGAATGTGACGGCGGTTGCTGAGCTTGCGCCGGCGCTGGACCCGCCAGAGTAGGCGTCTTGTTGCCTGGCTTCCTCGGCCGAGCGGTGGTCCTTGAGCCTCCGCATATCGGCGACGGACGCCAGGTCCACCAGCTCGTTCGGGTCGAGGCCGAATAGAGTCGGTGTCGTCACGATGCCAGTCTCCAAGCTCGACACCAGATCGATGATGTGGCAGTTCTTCTTCCCCGGGTGCAGCCGCATGCCTCGTCCGATCATCTGGACCAGCAGATTTCGCGACCTCGTCGGCCGCGCCAGGACTATGCAGTCGATGTTGGGTATGTCGGTACCCTCGGTGAATACACCGCAGTTGACCAGCACCGGGAACTTGCCCTTCTTGAAGGCCTCGAGGATCTCGCTCCGCTCCACTTTTGGTGTATCACCAGTCACGAACCTGGCGTCGAAGCCGTACTCTCTAAACTTGTGAGTGAGCCCAGACACGTGAGCCAGGTCGACGCAGAAGACGAGCGTGGACTTTCGGTCGGGCGCCTTGGCCATCCAGCTCCGCACCGTAATGTCGTTGACTTCGTCCGTGTTGACGACCTTGGAGAGTTCGCCCGTTTGGAAATCTCCAAAAGCGCCGTTCTTGACCTTGGAGAGGTTCGCCGACGACTCGACAGTCGTGAAGATGACGTCGGAGAGCCACTTGTCGGCAATCATGTCGACGTAGTCCTTGTGGTACACAATCTCATCGATGGCGGCGCCCAGCTTGACGCCGTCGAAGCGGGAAAACGTGGCGGACACGCCGATGAGCGTGGGGGAGTCGCGCTGCTTCTGCTCGAGGCCAAAGTGCTTGAGGGTCTTGAGATATCCCTGGGCGACGATGTGATGCGCCTCGTCCACGAGGACCAGCTTGAACGCCGCGGGGTCGAACTTTTCCAGGCGCTCCTTGGAGGTGATGCTCTGCACGCTGGCAATGGTGATGTCGGCCGTGCCGGACGCGTGCAGGGACCCCATCTCAATCTCAATCGTCTTGTCCGGGTACGCGAGCTGGCAGTGCCTCGCCGCCTGCTCGACCAGCTCACGGCGATGCGCCAAGATGAGCGTGCGGTCGCCGCCGCCTGCCCGAGGGTGAATCTTGTCGATGAGCTGTGTGAAGATGACCTGGCGATGTCAGCCTGAAGCGTCCCCTCCATGGACGCGCCGCAAACTCACCGTCTTGCCGCTCCCCGTGGCCAGAGAGATGCCGACGCGCTTATGCCCGCGCTTCAGAGACAGGAGCACGGATTTGATGCACTCCTGCTGATAGTCTCGGAGCTTGGGCTTGTTGCTCAGGGCCGCGATGGGGGCGAGCGTGGCGGCGCAGGCCCTGAAGCTCAAAGAAGCGAGCCTGTAGCTCGTCCCGGTCGTCGCACGGGAGACGCATCTTGCAACAGTGCGTAGCATCGTACATTATGATAATGTGCCGATGAACTCGAGCTGCAGACCGAGATCCATTCAGCAAGCGGGCTTGTTAAAGTTGTCGTGAAGGCGCATCTTGCTCAGAGGTAAAGGTAAATTTGATGCATTATGTAATCGCTCGGAGGCTTGGTCCCCTGCAATGACTGCCGCCTCTAGCGCCCTCACCGCTGTATCTCAACTTCACAGACATTCATTTTCACACTCACAACTTCGGCAGGCTCAGGCGAAAATCTGGTGACGCAAAGGAGAGCCTCTTCGTCCATTGAATAGCACTGTACAGGACGCCCTGAACTCGGCAGCCATGTTCGCATCGGCTTGTTCCATCCCCGCCAACCTTTCACCCAGACGATGGATCCAGACTCCGAGGGCCACTACTCCACCGAAAAAGAATACCCTGCTCAAGAGCCCTTCGAGCCAGACGAAGACGTGAAGGCGGGGGACGACGACTTTAGGCCCGAGACTTCCAGCGAATACCACACCAGTGATGATGAGGAAAGCGACATTGGCGACCCCAACGAGGTCTGGGGCGCGCTCTCCCTGGGGCATGATGCCAGGCAGCGTGCTTCTCTAAAGCGTCCAGCGGAGGACAATCCGGCATTCCGTCCGTTCAAGCGCCAAAAGGGCACCATTAATCTCGAGTATCTCGAGCTGCTCAACAGAGACATTGACGATGCGGCTCATCGAGCATGTCTGGACGACGACGTTGACCTTCCGCCGACCCAGATTGGTCTCACCCTCTGGTCAACAGTAGAGAAGCGCCAGTTCTTCGAGGCTCTGTCGCGGTGTGGCCGGCACAACATTGCGCAAATCGCAGCTCATGTTAACAGCAAGAGCGTCGTCGAGGTTCAGCACTACATCGACTTCCTTCAGGATGCACACCAGAGGAGAAGACAGTTCGACCGCCGGTCGTTCCTCGCAACGGCCGAGTACCCTGCCGCCGTCGAGCTCAGCCCGCAGTGCTGCCACGCGCAGGAAGAGGCGGCAGATGCCGTATCCCTCAGACAGGAACAGAGGGAGTCGCAGCGTGAAGAGCAGAAATGGGGGCCGAATTGGGACGTCACGCCGGACGTCGCCTTGAGGCTAGACCGTGGCGACAACCAGTCGCCTCCATTCTCTCAGCTCTTTCACACCTCGCGGTGGCTTAGGCTCTCGCAGCGCTTCTTCATGAACTCGACCATCCCAAACAGCAACTGGCACCATATTGACGACGTGCCTCCTTCCATGTGGGCCACGGCGTTTGACGACTTCCACTCTCTAGCCATTTCCGTGACCAGGAGGCTGGTGCAAGCCACTCTTTTCATCAGCATGTCGAGAATCAGGGCAAAGCGCGAACTCGTCCCCAAGACTAGGAGTTTTGTGCGGCGCAAGGACGCCGAAGCAGCGATTGCCTCCCTCGGCATGCCAGCCAACGCGAGGCATTTGTGGCAAGAAAGCGCCCGGCGGTTACGTCTGGACGTCTACGAGGAGCCGCCTAGCCGAGACGACGAGGGCGAGGACGAACCCATGTCGTACGACGAGGTTGAGCGCGAGTTGGGTGAAGGCCCGGACACGACTACAGAAAGACCTGTCTACAACCACGAGTCTGAATTCGAAGACGAAGAAGAGGACGAGGAGGGGTCGCACGAGAACGTCGAGGAGCGGGACATTGACCGCGAAGCCAACGAGATCCTGTGGTACTCGGCAGCCGACCTGCGCGACGTCGCGGGCACGAGGCAGGCGCTCAAGCTGCGCATCGCGACGGAGCGGCGGCAGGAGGAGCAGGCGGACCGGTTCGACGAGCACGCCAGCTCCCGGGCCGAGATGGAGATGTGGGAGGTGCTGCAGAAGAAGCCACCCATGGAGATTCCCAGGACGCAGGACCCCGGCCGGCCCGAGAGGTCCAACCTGGACGTGGAGAGCATATACCCCTTGAGGAGAGACTGGGCGGACCAGTTGAAGTACCGTAGCGAATGGGAGGCACAGCAGGAGTAAAGACATATGGAGGCCATTAGGTCGCTGATGAATAATTCTGGTTCGCTAGGTGAATACCATTGTTTTTATTTTGCATCCAACGCCTCGCTGGGTATCTCAAACAGCGGCGCCCAGCATGACGGGCCCGCGAGCCTCCATCACCGGCCCCTTCCTCTCCCCCTGCCTCTGCCTCGACCTCGTCCGCGGCCGCGCGTGGCACCTCTGGTAACCCTCGACGCCGGGGTGCCGCTACCCTCCTGCTCCTCTTCCTCCTCCTCGCTGCTCTCCTCGTCCTCTCCGGACTCGCTCTCGTCGCCATCCTCGGCGTCGTCTTCCTCCTCCTCAGTCGTCTCCGCCTTTTCCTTTTCCTTCTCCTTGTCCTTCTCCTTGTCGGCCGCCTTGGCCTGCTGGCTCGCGGCCCTCGTCCTGCCACGGGAGCCCCTCGTCGCCCTCGCCGCCGGCGACGGCGCGTCCGTCCCGTCCTCCGTGTCCTCCACCGACGGGCCCCGGGCCTTGGTCGCGCTGGCAGGGGCGGCGGCGTTGGTGCTAGCCCGCTTGCGCTTCCTCGTGACGGGCGCGGCGGCGGCGCCCCCCTCGGGCGGGGGCGAGAGCTCGAGCTCCCGCGGGGAGGTGGGCGCCTCACTAGGGTCCGCGACGGCACGCTGCAGCATCGTCTCCATGAAGGTGTCGCGCGGGAGGGCGAAGTCGAGGTACCTATCGTCCGAGTCCTCGTCGTCAAAGGACTCGCGCTCGTCGATGACGTCGAGGTTGTAGTAGGTCCGCAGCTTGCGCCAGATGTGGGGGATGCGCGTGTGCGGGTAGACGTCGGCGTCGAAGCCGTGGTTGCGGAGGTGTTCTGATATGGCAATCATGCGGAAGTGCTTGTGCATGCCTGCGTAGGTACGTGTCAGCGGGCTCGAGGGCTGTCGTTGTGAGCAGCGGATGGCAAAGAGGGCGTACCGGCGGGCTTCCAGCGGATGACGCCCTTGAACAGCGAGGCCACCTGGTCGTCCGTCCAGAGATCGTTGAGGTTCGGGAGGGAGCTGCTGCCGGCCGCGGCCGCGTCGCCGGCTTCGGGTGTGTCGACGTCCATGGCGTCGTCGTCGCGGGCGGCCGAGGGCGTCGCAGCAGCTGCGCCGCGCGCCCGCTTCTTCGGCGGCATGGTGCTTGAACGGGGCCAATGGGCGACGGATTCAATAGATGGTACTGATATTTGATGCTCTAGGGATTGCAGCGCTGACGATTGCTGGGAGGAGTCGTGCGCGTGACGAGGCTGAGGTGGTGGCGGAGGGAAAGAAAAGAATGGGCTCGACGAGGCTGCAGTTGGCGAGGTCGAGTGTGATCTACCTGCGTGACGAGCTGGTGAGTGGTGGGAACGGAACCCGGCCACTGTAGTCGAGGTGGGGCGTGCCGGGTGGCCGCCGCTAAAGTACCTCTGGCCGTTGCCGTGAGGTCCCGGTGCATGACAGGGGATACCTAGATCACCTTCTCGCTAGCCACAGGCACAACGATGACTGAACGCGCTTGGCGCGTCGCGGGGCCTCAACACTGCGACTCCGACATCACATCACCGCAGCTCCGAGCATCTCGACCCACAGGGTTGACGCAAGATGCAGCCATGGTCGGCGACAGCAGAGAAGCCGACGTCTTTGCCATTCCCGACTTCTGGCCCAAGTCCAAATGGCTAGAGCCGCACGAGGCGGCTCACACACCACTGTTAGGCTACGATGCACTCAAGGAGCCGTCCCAGCTACGCAGCAATGCGTCGCCCGGCTTGAGTCTCAAGGCATCATTCAGCGAACTCTCATTCAGCCACACGCTCAACAATCAAAAAATCACCCTAAACGACGACGGCTTCTTTCGACTGCCTCCGCTGACCAGCGATGAGCCGCAGCCGCCGATTCCTGAAGCCTCACCGGAGCCAGCCGACAACGTCAAAGATCCGGGCCATGTCGAACCCGAGGATGACCTATGGATGGACGCATTCGAAATCCCGCCAAAGAAGGCTTGCTTCAGGTCATGGGATGCCTTTGACGCCGGCGAGGTCACTCCGCACGAACCCATGTTCCTCAGCGAGGCCGGACCCAACGCCTACGATGCCCTCCTGTCCCTGCCCGACGACTCTCTCCAGCTCGAAAACTCGGGCGTCCCCATCGTCGCAGCCGAGCCTTACTTTTCGTCTCTGCTTGCCTTGGCCCTCGGACGGGACTCCATCTTCTTCATCAAAAACGATAGCACTGGGTCTTTCAAGCCGGCTCTACCAGCACTGCGGGTTTCGGGCTACTCGCAGCAGGTCCTCCAAGGGCTGGAAGGTCAAGCGCACTGGTGTGGCTCCACGTTCTTGCAGCTCAGATCGTTTTCTCGCTCTGCCTACGACACGCTTCCCAGTCGCTGTGGCGTTGCCCTGGCCAGTAGCATGACCCAAGTCCTGCAGGCTGTCGAGCATCGCGTAGCCGTGGACGGCGGCAACCCCCGCTCGCTCCTACAGCTTCAAGCGACCATCAAAGAGGTCCTGACCATTCTCAAGTACCTGAGGAGGATGGCGTCGAAGCTGCGTCCCAACTGCCCAGACGAGGAGATCTTGTCCCTCGTCTACCACACAGCTTCGTCCGTCGATGACGGCGAGAATTATATCCGGTACATATTTCGCGAGATATTGCAACGAGTCTCTGCGCCCTGGGTCGAGACGATCGAAGAATGGATCGGCACGAGGCAAGAGGGCGGCATGCCCCTCACGAAGGCCAATGTCGGGGACGCCAGGGGATTCGTCAAGGTTGAGGCCGAGGCCTACGTGGATGATTTCGGTCGTGAGGAAGTAGAGATTGACTTCCGCCTCGACAGCAGCAAGATCCCGGACTTTATGCCAAAGGACGTCATCGACACCATCTTCGAAACGGGGCGAAACTTGAGATTTATCAAGTCTTTCCATCCGAAGCACCTGCTGGCCCAGGAGTCGTTGACCGAGTTGATCCAGCCTCCCAAAGCTGAATGGCACTACAACTGGGACTCTATTCTGGATCTCGAAAGTCGAGTCGCTTGCTACAGAGACAGCCTACGGGATGCCTTGGAACAGAGCCGCCACGGGTCGGTGCCTCACGTGCACTCCAACAAGGAGCATGGGGCGCATGCGACGGCGCTGGAATATTTTGGACTCGATCAGGGTGCTATGGAAGAACGAATCATGACATCCATAGCGCAACTGGGCCAACCTATGGAAGAGGTGACGCACGAAGACCCGCTGAGCAGGATAGTGCGTGAGGGCCTCACGGGGCAGTATCAACCCGCCTCTATACAGTCCGACTCGACTCCCCACTGGTCACTGCTTCCAGTCTTATCATTTGGCGGCATTGCCTCGGCCCAAGCTCGGATCGTCAGTAGAGAGACGCTGCGACTTCTCTTCGACGCGCACGACATTCGCAGTCACCTCGGACTTCAGAGGGACTTTCAACTTCTCGGAAACGGCATGTTTTGCAGCCGCTTATCGCACGCACTGTTCGATCCCGATCTGGAGTCTGCCGAGAGACAGGCGGGCGTCGCGATGCAGGGAGGAGTCATGGGTCTGCGGCTCGGAAGTCGAGACACTTGGCCGCCAGCCAGTTCTGAGCTGCGGCTTGCCCTCATGGGGGTTTTAACGGAGAGTTACGAACAGCAACAAGGCTCGAAGTCCGAGGGCATGGTCGCCCAGTCTGCCGACTCGTCGACCCTCCCGGGGGACCTGAGCTTCGCCGTGCGAGACTTGTCGCCCGAGGAGATTGACAAATGCATCAACCCAGACTCGCTGGAGGCGCTCGACTTTCTTCGTCTGTCGTACAAGACGCCACCGGAGTTGACGTCGGTCATCACGCCGATCAACCTCATGCATTACGACAGCATCTTCAAGTTGCTCCTTAGAGTCTTGCGGATGCTGCACGTTGTCAACCAGCTACACGTGGACGTCAGCGCGCGGGCCAGCGCATGGGAGAATCCCGGGGCCTTGTCATTCCGGTTCGCCAGAGAGGCGCAGAGGTTCGTGAGCAGCGTGGCCGCGTACTTTTTGGACACCGGCGTTGCGATTCCGTGGCGCGCGTTCGAGGAGCGGCTAGATAAGGTGCGCGCCGACCTGGACAAGGACGTCGAAGCGGGGCCGGCGACGATTCAGAGCCCTGACCAACTACGGGAGCTTCACTCTCAAGTCATTGACGGCATCATGTTTGCGCTTTTCTTGAAAAGGCGACAGCAGCCGGTGCTGACTCTCTTGGAAGACATTCTTGCGACGATACTACGGTATGCCAAATGGTCACGCCTTCACGCGTTGGGACGAGGTCAGGAGGCCGGCAGCGAGGCTGAGGCGGCGACGCTCTACGCGCAGTTCAAGAAGAAGATGCAAGTGTTTATTACTGTCTGCCGTGGCCTGTCGGAGAAGGGTAGGGCGGGCGGCAAGATGTTTGGGCAGCTGGGCGTGGGCGAGGAGAGTCTGGTTGCGCAGCTTCTGATGAAGCTCGACATGTGCGATTACTACGTCAAGGGCTAAGCGGGATTAACATTAATACCGGCTATTTCCAAATATTCTCATGACGTAGAAGCGAAATAGTTCAATGCTCAATACGCGCATCCCTCGGTACAGATGCTGGCTCTAAGGTCCCGCACTGGCAGTGGTTGAGGCGCGTCCTGCCCCGCCAAATCTGCTCCAACTCCCGTTCTGACAACATTACCCCTCCATCGGGCGCGTCTCCACGCCGTTTGTTTAACTTCATTTCACCGACAATTACACAGCAACCGACGTCACGCGCGTTTTCCGACGACACTCTCGAACCCGCAGGCCAGGCGCCATTTCCTGGAGTGGACCTGCACAATGGCCCGGCCGAGCGTCGCGGCGCGCAACCTGTCGCTGACGGAAGAGCTCGAGAAACTGGAGCAGTCCATCACGCTGACGCTGCAAGGCACGTCGCAGCAACCTGCCTCCTCCGAATGCATCGAGTCGGCTGACCAGAGGCTCGTGCAGAAATCGATCACAATTTTAGCAAAGCCCATAGAATCGTGACGACGAGCATACTGCCGCTGGTGGAGCAATATGGCGAGCACTCGCGCGCCGTCTGGGACGCGTCCAAGGCACGGCCAATCCGCCTCAAGGACCATCTGGAAGCAGGTTGCTAACGCGCATGGTGTAGTTTTGGAAGCAATTCTTCGAGGCATCCGCCAATGTGTCACTCTCCGGCTACGAGGAACTCGCCAATGACGACGAGTCCTCGGTGGCTGAGGAGAGCACAGCAATGAGAGACGATACGACAGTAGACTACACGGCGCAGCACGACGACGACGACGCGACGCGCACGACGACACCCGCGGAGCAGTCGACGCTGCACGGCGACGAGTCCCTGCTGGACGACGCGGAACTTACGGGGAGCACGCCTCGTCCACCGGCGACCAAGACGATCCGCGCGCAGCTGTCGCCGCTCGAGTCGCCGTACGAGGCCCTGAAGCGGGAGATGGCCAACGAAGAGGACGCCGGCGCGACGACGGTGTTGGAAGACGACGACGACGACGAAGAGGACTCGACGGTGCTCTTCGCCCAGCGTACGGCCCGCCTGCCGGACATGTCGATGACGCCGCGCGGGCTCGGCGGCGCGCTCGGCGACAGGACACTCGAGCAGTCGACGCAGCGGCCGAAGGACCCGCTCCTGCACCGCGTGCTCGACAAGAACTACCGCCTGCAAGCGACGCCGCACAAGCCTGCATACCGCATCTCGCCGCTGAAAAAGGCCACCACGGGCGACGCCGGCGGCAAGGGGAAGGCGCCGGTGGCGGCGGCGCCCTCATGGCGCGACGACTCGCCCATGTCGTCGCCCGAGATGGCGGTCCCGACGCTGCGCAGCGAGGCCTTCATGTCGCCCTTCAAGAGCAACGCGCGGCAGCGGCTGGCGGCGGCTACGGCGACGGCGCAGCGCGGGCCACGCACCCCCGGCGTCAGCGTGCAGACTCCGGGCACGGCGAGGAAGACGCGGGACGCGCTGGCGGGCGAGGCGGCGGGAGGGGCAGAGGGCGGGCGCAGGCCAAAGTACGAGATTGACTGGGAGAGCGACGGCGAGGACGAGGACGCGGATCTGTACGCGGGGATGAGCCCGCCCAAGACGATTCAGTTTGCGTTGCCGCCGTCGAAGCTGCTGCAGACGCCAGGTGAGTGCTTGCTTGCCGCTGCGATTTTTGACCGAGATTGGTTATGCTAACGAGATGTCGCGACTGTAGCGCGGGAGGCAAGCAGGCGGATCGTTGATGACATCCTGATTGACGCGGGGGCGGACCCGGAGTCGTCCGAGTACAGCCCGACAATGGTCAAGATGAACGAGGACATTCTCAACGACAGCTTCTAGACGGGCACTCGGCACAATGAGTTTGAGAGCCTGTTACGCTGATGATGAAGTGCATGTAGACAGACACTCGGCACAATGAACTGGTCAACTTATTATGTTGATGAAGAAAAATGCAGTGTCTCTTCAAGGTCTTTTGCCTGGTATGCCAGGGTATATGTTCTAAGACTAATCAAGGAAAATCTCCGAGCGCTCTATATCAACCTCGCCCGAGAGTATCATGAGTGTTGTTTGCAAAAACAAATGTAAAAAGCAAGCATTCTTTTAAGTCTCGGGTTGATGTTTTTCATATCAGAGCCCCTCCAATGTGGTCCGTCAAGTCGTTATAAGAGCACAAAGAAAAGTGGTGGAGGAAAAGAGCCCTCCGCCACTGCAACGCCTTCGCCATCGAATTCCAAGCGGGTGGGTGGTTTGCGGAGGAGCGCCGCCATTGCTGACGGGTCACCCCCCCCGGCCCGGCCCTTCCCGCACTCATTAAAGGTGTAGTCATTAATAAGAGTGTTGTTCTTTCGTGGTAGTTCGAAAATCACCCCTTTATGCACCCGCGCGTGTCATGTTAGACGCGCGAGGGCGAGAAAAGGGTGATGTGAGGTTCTTGGAGTATTGCAAGCGAGGGTGCTCTTAGTTGACCCAGCGGATGGAGGGCATGATGAGCGTGGGGACCTTGAGGGCCTTCTTGTTGCTCTTGTGGTGGTGCTTGGGCGCGGCGGCGGCGGCAGGCTCCGAGGCGCTGTTCTTGCGCGAGTCGGTGGCGTGCGAGGCCATGGAGTTGCGGCGCGAGCTGCTGAAGATGTCGGAGAAGACGATGTGGGGGGAGGAGATGGGCCCGTAGGCGTTGATGGTCTCGGCGGCGGAGGAGCTGGACATTTTGAGTGTGGTTGTGGTGGTGTTGTTGGAAGTGGTGGTGGTGGTGGTTATGGTTGCGGTGGTTGGTGTGTGTAAGTGTGAGAGAGAAGCTGAAGAGAGCTTTGAGTGTTTGCTTGTGAAGAAGGTAAAGTGCTTGAAGCTTGTGGAGGCTGGTGATGGTGATGATGGAAAGGCAATTCAAGACTCTGGAGGTGGAGGGCACCCGTGAGCTCTTATACTCGAGGGAGGGCAAGCAAGCATCGTGAAGACAGACGGTCAGAACTGGCGGTGGTGGTGGTACGTAACTACGTATCTGCTTGGGTTGGGATTGAAAACTTGCACCCGCATTTTTTTGCTGGGCGCGTCACCTTTGCGGGCACCTGTCATCGTCGTCAACGTCGTCGTCGTCGTCGTGCGAGTGTGTCTGAATGCCGTCGCCTGGCGTCGGTTGCCGAACGAACCCACCCATCCATCCACCACACACACCAACAACTCCCCTACGCGCACGCCCTCCGCGCGGTGGCTGACGAAACGGGGCCCGACTGACAAAGCGGGTGGGTTGACTCATGGTCTCACGGTTAACGCACCCGAAGCGCAGCCAGGCCAGGGACCTGGGCTAACCAAGCCACAGGCCGGGCTGCTTCGCTCGCAGCGCCCTGTGAAGAGAAAGGAAAAAAACTAGCGGGAGACGGGCCGCGAAAGGGTGTGACGAGTTCGGCCGGCGGGGCCCACGCAAGGCACAACGTCACCCCCTCCCCCTGTAAGCCTCCCCCCCCTGGTCGCTGGTCGCTGGGCTGCAGGCGCATGCGCTGTGCCCCTCGGTGGTGTCCGGCGTGGGATGACCAAGCTTTTCTGGCACCAGTAGGGTGCTTGCTTGGCCAGCCCTGTACGTAGGTGTGTGCCTGCCCGTGCTGGCAGGCCTGGGAGGCTTGCTGTCCGTTGACGATGAGCGATCGACAGGGCGCGCGCAACGGCAGAGGCGCCTTGGCCCTGCGAACTGCCCGCCACGCCGCTTGGAGTCACAGGGCTGCGCGTTGTGGCTTGCGTGTGATTCATCAGCGCCGCGCATGTGTGTAAGCGACTTCACGGCGTGTAATCAGGCATGTGCTTCTCCTCCCAGACTCGGGTCATCTCTGCCCTGTCCTTCCTCCACCGTCATCGCCCATCTCGCCATTGCCAATTGCCCAATTGTCACCATCGTCGGCCGCACTCACATCATCCCTCCCAAGGACGGATCGCAGCGGATCGCGTCGGCGCCACAATGGCATCGCACGAATCCACATCTACAGGTGCAAGCGGCAACCTCATCTGCGCCTGCGCGTGCGACACTGAGAAAAAGCCTGCATTCGTAGCCAACAGGCACCATTGCTTCTAAAAATTCTCACCCCCTAGCCTCCATCCTTCCATCGCCCGCCGCCACTGCAAGGGGCACGGGGCACGGCGTCGGCGGCGGCGGCGGCCGTAGCCGGGAAAGAAGCGGCTGTCGTCGCCTCACCTCACCGGCGGTACGGGCAGCCTTCACCGGGAGGCGTGCCGGAGGCATTGGTCGTTGCGGCAGCGTTCAATCCAGGGCCCACGACGGTGCGTGAGTGTGACGAGAGGAAAAGTCTTCTCCCACGTGTCGAGCCGCCCTAGGGTACATACATTATTAGACGCCCCCCTGCAAGTGACTGCAACGGCCTGGGCTGCGGGCTGGCACGTTGGTAAACTGTCGTTGGCGGCGGGCCTGGGCCGCTGAAAATTTTCCGGCCAGCGGCAGCCCAGCCCAGCCCAGCCCAGCCCGTCTCTGGACAGCTTCAGCCCTGTTTTGGGAGTGTCGCCTTGGTGCTTGCGTTGGAGCTGTTAGTCAACGGGCTCCACTGCGTGTGTTCCCATTCCAGGTTCCCTGACACGCCTGAGCAACCTGAAGTGCACTGATGCGCATCGATCCAAGTCCCGGCGCGTGGTGGGGCGCAGCAGCAGGGCGTGCCGTTGCTGTTGCAGGTGCTGCTGGTTGCTGCAAGTCGCCCTCAAAGAGTCACATCCGAAGCCAGCCGCGAGAGTTTCGCTTTGCCTTGTGGCCACCCACGGGGCGGGCGGTCACGAGGGGGGGCGTGCTGCCTCGTACAGGGCCATGGAGGGCGTGTTACAGGGCACATTTAGGCGCCGAGGCGGGAACGCTCAGCAGACCGCCGCCGCCCCCATCCGATCCGATTTTGCACCAGTCCTTTGCCAGGCATGACAGGCGTGACAGGCGGGACAGGCTTTTTTCCAGGGCGTTCGTGTTGCCAGCCGTGCCAGCCGTGCCAGCCATGGAACGCACGCGCCGGTGGCGGGCGGAGCCCAGACGGCGCCCACGCCGACCGCTGGGCCCCCGTCGGCCGGGGCTCGAGGGGCTCGTACGGGGCTGCGCCACGCCGAACCAGCGGGGCTCCACTGAGGTGCAACCGCACGACGCGCCCGCCGTGTGTGCCGCTGCTGGCCCCGTGCGCCCACCAACCGCATCACTGGCTGGCCCCAAATTCCACCCACACGGGTACCACTCCCGGCGCGGGAGACGACACTGCACTACAGAGCAGCACAGGGAGAAAGAAAAAAAAAAACTTTCCCACGCCGGCAGCGAGCGGCATCCAACAAACTCTGCACGTCCTGCCGATGGCGATGGAATCGTGGGTCGCCTCATCGACGACACGGACGGGAAGTGGAACCCCCCCCTTCTCCCCTTTCTCTTTCTTGTGGCCGTTGGCAGCTAGGCATGGCATGGCATGGCATCTGGGCAACTCTAGCACACGGCCGGGCCAGGCCCACTGAGTGATGGATCCTCCGTGTCAAGAGGCGACACGAAACGAACGGAGGAAAAAAACAAGCTTTCTCACCTCTGCTGCCTTCAACGGACAGCTCTCCGTTTTTTTTTTTACGTACAATGCCGCGAGAAGCCAGCAGCAGACCGACCGACGCGCTGCACGCCGTGGTCTGACGGCCGGTGAGGGAGAGCCCACATCGCCGGCGCCGTTGGCCAGCAACACCACCAGATTCCTGCTTGGTGATGCACCCGGGGCGGCCCCAGGGGGGGAGTGAGGCTCCGCTTGCTGCTGCCGCCGCCGCCTCGCCCATCGACCGTTCCGTCTCTCGATCGCAAACATCCAATGGCTTCGATCCCGTGCTCGTCCCCAAGGGCGGTGTCGCGGGCCGATGGGGAGGAGGAGCTCCAGGGGAGGGAGGGGCTGCAGGGCGTGAGCGAGCTTTTGCCTCCGCCGGCTGGGCATGTGATGCGTCGTGATTTTTTGGGCATTGGCGATGCGAGCCGTTCTTACGTACAAGCACGCGTCGTGTTTGGATGCCCTTCGAGGAGCCCTTGTTTTGGGGGTCCTTGAGAAATACGTATGCCTTGATTATCCGCTCCTCCCAGTACCAGGCGGCCGGCACGTTGGAAGCCTGCGGCCAGGCGCCAGCACGACATCGTCCCACCGATGGTGAGCTCGGTTGGCAGGGCTTCCGTAGAGTGCTTCGGGTCGGTCAGGCCATTGGGTGTTGCTGTCCGTTGAGGTTCCTCCCACGGGTGAGTGGCAGGCAGTGGGACAGGTAGTCCAGCAGTCCCAGGCTCTCTCATCGACGGCGGAAGTCGTCCTCGAACGTATCCCGCTGTCCATCAACATCACGGCAAGTGCCTCTTCGCACACGATGTAAGTTACGTAGGATGATCGACGGCATTCATTCCTGGCACCGCTGAGGACCGGCAATCGCTCTTTCAGGGTCCGTCGGCCACGCGCGCCGATTAGCGATGCTGCAGGCATCGGGCGAGTCTGCCGGCAGACAGCCGCCTGCCAAACAAGGAAGCTCGACACGGCAGCGGCCGGACATCATGGAAATAAGGGCGGGTGTAGAAAATGCCTGCACAGGGGCACTGCATTCTACTCATTCTGCATACGTAAGCTACTCGACAACTTTGTTTCGTGTAATTGAATTCCCTCTGGAGGCGTGTCGAAGCCTGTCACAGGGGCTCAACGACGTACAGTCAACACTCGCGCGACACGACACTCGATCGAAGAGCAATTAATTTCCTGAGTTACCAGACAGTTCTTCGTGACTCTCCCGTACACAGATACGCTTTTACTGTTTCTCATACGGAGCAGGATGTTCGCTATTCCGAACTTGATTCGAAGTTGTGGACAATATCCCACGCTGTAGGGTAGCCGTTGGACGCAGACCTCTCTCTCTTACCCCTTTAATGAGCAACGAAGCTAGATGGGCGTTTTCCGTCTCTATCCTTCCCTGTTTATACATTCCCTGACTAAAGGGTTGCGCTGCTCCTTTGCATGACGAAACGAAACCAGACTTGCGCAACCGCAACTTTGTCGCTTGTCGTCACTGACCTGACGGACTGCTTGCTTTGCGAGTGACACGAGAGCCTCGTGTCACTGCGACGAATGCTGCGTGTAGGGATGATACATCGTTGTTTCACCCAAGGCGACAGTCAGTGATTTGCAATGAGCTACATGTGTAGTATAAAGGCGTTCCGAGTGTCCCTCTCTCTCTTGCCTTCTGCTTGGACAATGCAGCAAACTCGTTCCGCACCATCTTCGGCAAACTCAAACACATTATAAGTACCCGCGTACACGACTGAGATAGAGCGTACTCTACCCTGCACGATAGAAAGACCCAAGACCTGGCTTCCCTGCCCGAGCTACAGCTTCACTTATAACAGCAGCAGCACACCAAATAGAACTGAGCAGTTGGTGCCTCTGCAACTGCAAAAGCAGGCCAGGAGAATCGCACTCACCGTGACCCCAGCATAAGCCGACCGACATGTGTCAAATAATCCACGAATGCAGGATCTGCCTACAGTGCCGCGTCAGCACCCTCCTGAAGACGCTTCCAGGGGAGTACTGCCCCGATTATGTGGCCGCGCATGCAGAATGGAAAAAGAAGCCAAAAAATAGCCGGGGTCCGGAGCCCAAATGCACGCGCGAGCCAGAAGTCGAACAGCGCAATTCCTATTGGACGCCGACTTGCTTCAACTGCGTGGCACCACCGGGGGGTGGAAGTTCTTAAAGAGGACCAGGCCGTAATACGCACGCGGGGACCGGGGAATGGATGCTAAGCCACGCGGGGGCTTGTAGGGGTGAGATGGCTTTCATACACGATATAGAGGAGCTGCAATAAGACCTTCTTGGTGTTTTCGAGAGTTTCAACCGCTTGACTGGCACAAGTTAGTTGCTGTGGTGATTTTTTTGGTTGTTTGGTTGCGGTTATATGTAAACACTAAAACATACTCATGGGGTGGTGAAGATGTCTGGTCCGTATAAGTCGCCGTCGCAACACGGCAACGTTTTCTCTCCCCGATATGTCAATAAATTATATTCTAATGGATACATGGAGAGAAAATGATATTGTCCTTGCATGCAATTAACGCCCCCCCTCCTGGTTCTCTTTCTTGCTGCTTCAACGAGCAACCAAGTTGGACAGGCACTTTTCGGCTTCACGCTGTTTCTAATTACACTCTCGCTGGGTTATACGGGGTACGTTGCTCGCGTACACGCGCAGCCAGAGCTGGACTTGCGCAACCGCAATCACAACTTTGGCCGGCGCCGTGATTGACCTTGCGGACTGGTCGTGCTGCACGGAACATGGAGTGGTGCGGAGTGGTAACGAGTGTTGCGTGCAAAGAAAAAAAAACGAAAACGGTTGCTTCGCTGAAGGCAATAGTCAGTGGTTTGGAGTGAGCCGTATGGGTGCTATAAATTCGTTCCAGATGTCTTCTTCTAGTTCCTCTTCCTCTGCCTGGACAGAGTAGTGAACCCGTTCCACATGTGCACCTATTCTCTTGAGTTCAAAGGCCCTAGGAGTCCGCGGACAAGAACGAGCCAAGAGGCGTTCTATCCCTCACGCAAGAAAGGTCCAAGAGCTGGCTCCCCTGCCGGCGCTACGTCTCTTCAGTAACAACATTTGCAGCACACCCGATAGCCCAGCAGTTGGTGTTTCCACGGTCGCCAAACAGGCCAGAAGAAACTGCTCGCCCTAGACCCGCCCAGGCGTATTTCGACATGTGCGACGTAAACCAAGAATACAGGCTCTGCCTGGCCTGCCGCTTCACCTTGTTCCTCAGGACAGTTCCGGGCTCTCCCTGCGTGGAGTATCAGGCTGTCTTGAGGGAATGGTTGTCGGCAAAACGGAGAACCGGCAGGTCCCCGCCACCCATGTGTCCGCGCGGAATAAAGATAGTTAGACGTATGGCGGAGTGGACGGTGAATTGTCACTATTGCGAGAAACCGCCGCCGTCGGGTGGACGTTCATGAAGTGCACATACCCGGATGGGATGGTGCTGAGCCCCGAGGGGCATGACGGTGAGAAGCTTTTGATCGCGACTTGGGGGACTGCAACGGATTGTCCGAGACTTTGAAGAGTTCCGGCCGCTTCATTAAACATGCACGAATCTTTGTAGCGTTTTTTTTGGGGGGGGGGGTTGGATATTTTGATGGCGGTTCAACACCCAACACCTGGATGTGGTGTGGTGAAGACCGTCATGTAAGTCGTCATCGCCACACCCCAGCATTTTCTCTCCACGACATGCCTATAAAATATGTTTCATTTGGTCCATGAAGAGAAATTGGCGTTGCCGGTGCATACAATTGAATGCCCCGTCATATGCGCATTGCGCAACAAATAATACTGACGGGCACAGCGCAATGCCCAGGGCAGCTCGCGGTAGCTATCCTTGACGTACGTCGTCTGCGGCTGCCCTGCAGAACCAGAGCGGATGAACCCATTCGCGGCGTATTAGCAGTCGGAGATTTTGTCGAGCGTGGCTTGCACAGGCGCCGTCGGCGAACCGGCTAGCGGCCCTCGCTGGTGACATGGATTATGCCGACAGGAAGCTTTTAATAATAATCGCCCAAGCCCGCTTCGTTGCCCAATTCCCGTGGCTGGGCCAAGAAACGCCCTCGAACGCCTTCCCGCTTTGCCAAGTGCCGCCACGACGACGACATCAACGACCACAACTGCCACAACCGACTCCACGCCGTTCTCGTGTCGTCTGGTCTCACCAATTCGTGTGCTACCAACATGCACCGTCAATTGGGCACAAACATCCTCCAGGCCGTCTTATGGATTTGACACCCTGTCAAGGCTGCTACGTCTAAGTTAGTTGCCCGATCGAAGGCAGGCCCGTCAGTCTCCGCACTGAGCACGACATCGACCAAGTGCTCACCCTCGAACGACCAAACCCACTTTGACCCCTTTTTGCGCCGTCGCTGGCTTGCTCTTCCCGCCCTCGGACCCAGGCTTGCCAGGGCCATCCACGTGGGGGAGTCAAACCGTCTGTTCATCTGCTGCCCCGCCTGGCCTGGGAAGGCAAGACGGGCCATCATGTCTCTCGATGGGCGCGGGTCATCAGACAAACACTCACGATTCGGCTAAGGCCGCCTCGCACGCGACAGGAACCGGCCCAGCCTGACCCGCGCCCAACGGCTGCTAAATCACTTGCGAATTTAGCGCTGCCGCGAATGCCGCCCTGTGGCAAACATCCGCGAGGGGGGAGGGGGGGATGAAGCCGTCGTCGTCGAGCTCCAGCCCAGCAAAACGCGGCGACTTTAGATTCGTGGCATGGGCATGTCTGTGTGCCCCCCCCCTTTCTCTCCTCGCAGAGCGTCGCGCCGCGATGCCGCCCCGAAAAGGGTAGGTACTTTTGGATGTGGCCAACTTTAGCCCTGTCATGTAACCCGCCCCGGTTGCCCCCAAGATGCGGCGTGTTGCAAGCACCAACAGAGACTGTTCGGGTTCCAATCGCAATGCCAGTTGCAAATCACATCATCAACTAGACGTCGGGAGGGCCATATCGCGCTCCCCGCAGCCGTCACGTTATTGCCGCAAAGCACCCACTGTGATTCCACGGATATGGCACTTCATCGTGCGAGAGAAGTCTTCACAGACGGTCGGTTGGCCGCGCTGCAGCAAGGGACTGACTGGCTTCGCGCCATGATATAAGTCGCTGCGGTTGGACCCTCGTCCCGTGTCTCACCCAGCTGTGCTTTGCATCTGTGTAACGTCAACCCCCCCGCCAATACCTTGTGCGTGTCGCGTGCGCTTCTCGGAGCAGCAAGAACCCCCCTGCCTGGCTTTCGAACTGCGCTTCTCGGTTGTCGGCTCCGGTCGGACCCTGCATCGTCGTCCAACATGGCCGACTTAACCAAGGGCGCGTCGACCGCGATAGAGGTGCAGTCTGAGGTCCCGCGAGCGCGCGATGCCGACGATAAGCCTGCGTGGCAGCCGTTTGAGGCCAACACTGAGAAGGCGGCGAGCCTGAACAAGACGGACGTCAACGTCTTGGAAGGCCCTCAGGACTCGAAGCAGGAGGATGAGGACGTGGTGTATGTCAAGGGGCATCCGGTCATTCGCAATGGTAAGCGCATATTCGCTTTGTCCATCATGTCGCTCGTCTCTCCTTGCTGACGCGAAGCGCTTTCCAGGACTCGACGTCTCCAAGTTTTTGATATCCGATCGGGACGACCAGGATCCCTCCTTGACTTTCCGATCAGTCTTCCTGGGAACCGTCTTCACTGCCCTGTCCAGTGTCATCACGATGCTTTACGTCTTTAAGCCGGTCCAGATGCAGGTCTCTGCCGTGTTTTTGCAGCGTACGTGGTCTGCCTCCAAATCATCCCGGACCCCGTGAGCTGCTATACCCATACTTACACCCCGCGCCCTACAGTGTTGATCTTCGTCTTTGGCGAGGCATGGGCCCTCTTCACGCCCAACCCAGACCGGCTCAAGCCCGGGTGGCTGCGCAGCACGCTACGCTTCCTCAACTTTGGACAGCCTTTCCAGATCAAGGAGCACGTCGTCGCGTCCCTCATCGCCTCGTCCGGTAACAACGGTCTCTCCGGAGTGGAAATCTACGCCGTCGAACGGCTCTTCTACGACCGCGCCGTCACGGCCTCCACCGCCGTCCTGGCCACCTTTTCCATCTCGCTCTGCGGCTTCGTCCTGGCCGGATTGCTGCGACCCTTGATCGTGTACCCCGCCGAGATGGTCTACTGGACGACGCTGCCGCAGGTGGTGCTCTTCCAGAACCTGCACTTCGACCGCCGCGCCAACCGTGACCGTCTGATCAAGTTTGGCTGGGCCCTCAGCATCGCTGCCGTCTGGGAGATCTTCCCCGCGTACATCGTGACATGGTTCGGCGGCATCTCCATCTTCTGCCTCGCGTCTATGAACGCCCCAACCAATACGCGCAAGATCTTCTCGACCGTCTTCGGCGGCGCGTCGTCTAACGAGGGCATGGGGCTGTTCAACTTCTCGCTCGATTGGCAGTACATCCAGAGCACGTACCTGGCGCTCCCCCTGAAGCAGCAGCTCAACGCCTGGATCGGGTATGTTATCTGGTACGCCGCTATGCTGGGCCTGTTCTACAACAACGCATGGGGCGCCAAGACGTTTCCTTTCATGTCGACGTCCCTCTTCCATGCCAACGGCACGCGGCTCGCCACCACATCCATCCTCAACGACGAGGGAACCATTGACAACGCCAAGCTCGAGACTGTCGGCCTGCCGTGGTTGACGTCGAGCACCGTCTGGGGTTACTTCACCATGAACGTCGCCATCGGTGCACTGATCACGCACGTCATCATCTTCTTCGGCAAGGACATGATTCTTGCGCTTAAGCAGGCCCGCAACAAGACGCAGCCCGACCCCCACTACCAGGCCATGCTGCGGTACAAGGAGGTGCCCCAGTGGTGGTACCTGGCCCTCTTCGTCCTCTGCTTTGTTGCCGGCCTCGTCGTCAACATCAGGGGCGAGACGACCCTCCCCGTCTGGGGCTACATCATCTCGCTGCTGCTCGGTGGCGCCATCGCTCCCTTCTCGTGCATCCTGTACGGACTGTACGGCACGGGCGTTGCCACGAACCAGCTTTCCAAGATGGTTGCCGGCGCGGTCCATCCCGGCCGGCCCCTCGCCAACCTGTACTTTGCCAGCTGGTCGCACCAGGTCATCCTCCTGGCCGTCAACCTGTCCAACTGGCTCAAGGTCGGCCAGTACACCAAGGTGCCGCACCGCGTCATGTTCGCCACGCAAATCTACGCCAGTCTGCTCGGCGCGGGCCTCAACTACGCCGTCATGACCACCATTGTGACCAACCAGCGCGACATCCTCCTCGACCCGGAGGGCAACAACGTCTGGAGCGGCTCCACGATGCAGAGCCTCAACTCGCAAGCCATCACGTGGTCGCTGGCCAAGGAGATGTACGGCACGCGCGGGCGCTACCTCCTGGTGCCGCTGGGCCTCGTCATCGGCGCCGCCCTGCCCGTCTTCCACTGGGCCCTGCTCAAGGTGTTTCCCAGCGTGCGCAAGGTGCCCCTGAACACGGCCATCATCGCGTCATGCGCGGGACAGGCCTACTTTGGCACCACGTCGTGGATCTGGTCGTCGATTGCGGTGGGCGTCTTCTCGCAGGTGTGGCTGCGACGGCGGATGCCCAACATCTACAACAAGTACAACTACCTCATCGGCGCGGCGCTGGACGGAGGCGCGCAGATTGTCATCTTCATCCTCTCCTTTGCCGTCTACGGCGCGAGCGGGACGTCGCATCCGTTTCCGACGTGGTGGGGGAACCCTGACGAGAAGCCGGACCACTGTCTGTGAGCAAAGTAATAATATAAATACATAGTACGAGCGAAGCAGACGTTATAAACAAAGAGTTTCTGCAATTGCAATGCCGTAACGTGGTGATGGTGATAAAGAGGTCGAGGAATCGTACCGCCGAAACCAGGTAACTCGAGCTGTGTCTCAAGTGCTGTCTGTGTAACGCAAGTGGTGGGGCAGGCGCCGCCCGCTGGACCCCTGCTCGCGTGCCTTCCGCCGCAGGCTTGACTGATGCGCACCGGCTCCACCAAAAATTCTTATCGATAAGCACCGCCAGTTCGCAGTCAAGAAAATTTCCCTGCCGGCGGGCCAAACCTCGCGCAGAGACAAAACGACGACGACCACCCCAGCGAATCGAGGATCCTTGCGTACTTGCTGTCTGCACCGCAACCATGGAGCAGCAAGTCCACAAGCCGCACCGCAAGTCCAAGGAGAAGAAGCAGAAGCACACGGGGGGTATGTTTTCCGAGCGAACCACCGGACGCACGAGAAATCGAGGAATCCAAGAATGCTGACCTCACGTTGTCGCAGACCACAACCCCAAGGCTTTTGCCTTTTCCAAGCCGGGCAAGCTAGCGAAAACTGCCGCGCGGTCGCAAGATGTACGCATGGCCCTGCTATGTTTCCCAGTGTCTCTGATGTGCATGCTGACCTTCGCAGATCAAAGAACGGCGCTTCCATGTCCCCCAGGTCGACCGCCTCCCCGATGAGGCCCCCCCGCGGCTCGTGGCCATCGTCGGCCCCCCCGGCGTCGGAAAGACGACTCTCCTTAAGTCCCTGATCCGACGATATGCGAAAGAGACCATCTCGGACCCCCAAGGTCCCATCACCGTCGTCACGTCCAAGAAGCAGCGCCTGACGTTCATCGAGTGCCCCAACGAGCTCGAAGCCATGGTCGACATCGCCAAGGTCGCCGACATTGTCCTCCTCATGATTGACGGCAACTACGGCTTCGAGATGGAGACGATGGAGTTCCTCAACGTCCTGGCCTCGACGGGCATGCCGGGCAACGTCTTTGGCATCCTCACACATCTCGATCTGTTCCGCAAGCCGCAGGCGCTCAAGGACGCAAAGAAGCGGCTGAAGCGCCGGCTCTGGACGGAGCTGTACCAAGGCGCGCATCTGTTTTATCTTTCTGGTGTCATGAACGGCCGATACCCCGATCGCGAAATCCACAACCTCTCGCGCTTCCTCTCCGTCATGAAGAACCCGCGTCCCCTCATCTGGCGCAACTCTCACCCATACACCATCATCGACAGCTTCCGCGACATCACTCACCCTGCCAACATCGAGAAAGACCCGAAGTGCGATCGGTCCATTGTTCTGTCGGGGTACTTGCGCGGCACGAATTTTGCGGCACAAGATCAGCGTGTCCATGTCCCTGGACTGGGTGACTTTACCGTCGCGAACATGGAGGTGCTTCCGGATCCGTGCCCCACACCCGCCATGGAGCAGGCGCTCGCCAAAATCACAGGCAAGACTGGGCGCAGGAGACTGGACGAGAAGGAGAAGAAGCTCCACGCTCCCATGTCGGACCGAAGCGGCCTGAAGATCGATGGCGACGCAATCTGGATCACAAGAGAGAAGGGCTTCAACTTCGACAAGGACAACGATGACGAAGAGCGTGGCGAAGGCGAGGAGATGATTGTGGGACTTCAAGCCGAGCGGAAGCTCCTGGGTCAGACGGACGAAGGCGTGCAGCTGTTTTCTGGCGGCGAGAAGCTGAAAACCATCGCCGAGGAGGAAGACACGGGCAGGAAATCTCAAAGAAAGGCGCGATTTGCGGACCGGGAAGAAGACGACGACGAAGATGCCGAGGATGACGAGGGCTTTGTCAGCGGCAGCGGCGACGAGGGCTCAGACGTCGATGACGACGAGTTCAGCGAAGCCAAGGTCGGCAAGCTCTTTCGCAAGGATGCCGAAAAGGCTGATGGCGACGAAGACATCGCCTTTGCGGACAGCGACTCTGACTTGGGCTCAATCGATGGCCTTGACGAGGTGGAGGATGACGAAGACTACGATTCCGATGAGGAGGCTGCTGCTCTGAGATGGAAAGACGACTTGACTGAGCGGGCAAGAATACTCAACAATAGGCGGCGTTCATACCACACAGGCGACCTGGCGAGACTCATGTACGACACGTCATTGAGCGCGGAAGAGGCGCTTAAGCGATGGCGCGGCGACCATGGCGAGTCAGAAGAGGAAGACATTGAAAAGGACTCGGACGACGAGGACTTCTTCAAGAAGGCGGCACAGGAAAAGGAGGATATGATCGAGGACAGGTCAATACCCCTCTACGACTACGAGGACCTGGCCGCGAAGTGGGCCGAGAGGGACACCGTCGACAAGCTGCGCAAGAGATTCACGACTGCTTCACTGGGCAGGGATGATGAGGACGGCGACGACGATGAAGGCGACGATGACGGAGACGACGAGAGCGACGAAGGCGACGGTGTCTTTGAGGATCTGGAGGCTGCCGACACCGAGGCCCCCGCGCAACCATCGGCGGAGGACATCGCCGCAGAGCGCGAAAAGAACGCCAAGAGGAAAGAGGAGCTCAAGATGCGCTTCGAGGAGGAGGACCGCGAAGGTTTCCTCAACGACAAGGCCAATGCCCGGCGCGAAGGCGGCGACATCCAAGAGTTTGGCGAGGACGAGTGGTACGATGCGCAAAAGGCCATGATCCAGAAGCAGCTCGACATCAACAAGGAAGAGTTTGAGACGCTGGACGAGCGGCAACGGGCGGCCGTCGAGGGATACCGGGCAGGCAAATACGCCAAGATTGTCCTCGAGAACGTGCCGGCCGAGTTCGTCACCAAGTTCAACGCCAGATTGCCCATCATCGTGGGGGGCCTGACTCCGACCGAGGACCGATGGGGCTTCGTGCAGGTACGCATCAAGCGGCATCGATGGCACAAGAAGATCCTCAAGACCAACGACCCCCTCATCTTCTCCCTGGGCTGGAGGCGGTTCCAGACCCTGCCCATCTACAGCATCTCGGACTCGCGGACGCGAAACCGCATGCTCAAGTACACGCCCGAGCACATGCACTGCTTCGGTACCGTCTACGCGCCGCTCATTGCGCCCAACACTGGCTTTGTCTGCTTCAACAGCTTCTCCCCCGAGACCCCAGGCTTCAGGATAGCTGCGACGGGCACGGTGCTCAGCGTGGACGAGTCGACCGAGATTGTCAAGAAGCTCAAGCTCACGGGCGTGCCGTACAAGATCTTCAAGAACACGGCCTTTATCAAGGACATGTTCAACTCGTCGCTGGAGATTGCCAAGTTTGAGGGCGCGTCCATCAAGACGGTGTCCGGCGTGCGTGGTCAGATCAAGCGCGCGCTGTCGAAACCCGAGGGCCACTTCCGCGCGACGTTTGAGGACAAGATCCTGCTCAGCGACATTGTCTTCCTGCGGGCGTGGTACCCCATCAAGCCGCATCGGTTCTACAACCCGGCGTCCAACCTGGTCGGGTGGCAGCCGATGCGCCTCACGGGCGAGGTGCGGCGGGACGAGGGCGTGGCGACGCCGCAGCTCAAGAACAGCCAGTACCGCAAGATCGAGCGCGAGAACCGGCACTTCAACCCGCTGCGGGTGCCGCGGGCGCTGGCGGCGGAGCTGCCGTACAAGTCGCAGATTGTGCAGACCAAGAAGCAGAAGCGCGAGACGTACATGCAGAAGCGGGCGGTGGTGCTGGCGCCGGGGTCCGAGGAGAAGAAGGCGCGGGCGCTGATGCAGCAGCTGCTGACGGTGCGCAACGACGCGGCGGCGAAGCGGCGGGCCAAGAAGGACGAGAACCGCGCCGCCTTCAAGAAGAAGATGGCGGACAACCTGGAGAAGAAGGAGGCGCGGGAGAAGCGCGAGAGCAAGGAGTTTTGGCGCAAGAACGGGCGCAAGAGGGGCGCGGGCGAGGAGGGCGGCGGCGGCGGCAAGAGGCGGAAGTAGAAGAAGAAGTGAAATGCGCTTGGAGTTCTGCTGCTGTGCTGTACATACCTACCTACCTACCGTGGTACTACTAGATGACGATGACGTTGGAAAGATGCGACTCATCATCGTTTTGGGTTCACCGTTTTCTTCTTCTCCCCCGCATGTTTCATTTCTGCGAACCCACCGCGTATTTCGTACTCTTGCGGGGAGGGTCCTTAGGCCCCCTTACAAGCGCCGGACGAATTCGGACGTGGGTTAATACTTACCGCTTTGCAAGAACCTCAGTCAGGGGGGTTAAGCTTAAAGGTGAGAGGGACGCAGATCTTGGCGATGTGTGAGTGAGCGAGCGAGTGAGTGACTCATCCATCCCACAACGACCGCGCGCCCCCTCTCTCTGACACTGAGGTTCCGCTTCCCACTCGCGCGGGATCTTTTGTATTTCTGGAGTCGAGATTTATTTATTGATTGATTTATTGACTGATTGACGTATGTGCGGGATTGGGTGTGTATAAGAGCAGTCAGACTTCCTCGAGTTTAATTCACGAGTTTCTTACCATTGAGTTGCACACTCGATCTGCAGTCTATTCTAAACACCACCATTAAGTTACTTCGTACCATCGTCAACACCGCAAACATCACCAGCAGCAACACTGACACCAGCATCAATATCAACGTCTACCAACGCTAAACACGCATAACCACCATGGCGGCCGCCGACGAGCAAAAGCCCACTCCTACTCCCACCAACCCCGTTCCCACCACCATGGCCACCTCAACCTCCACCTCCAACACCACCGCCGGCAACACCAGCACCAGCAACAGCAACAGCAACACCCTCTCGCAGGCCAAGTACGCAGACCTCACGTTCAACTCGCCCCTCTCCGCGCCCCACGCCGATGCCCTCATCGCGCACCTCGCCCTCTCTCCTTCCCCCTCGTCCTCCCTCTCCACCACGACAATCTCCGTCGTCGACCTCGGCTGCGGCTGGGGCGAGCTGCTGCTCCGCGCCGCCGAGTCCGTCGCCGCATCCTCCTCCTCCTCTCACTCGGGAGAAGTAGGGGCCGCAGTGACGTTCACGGGCGTGGACACCGACGCCGCGCTCCTCGACCGGGGCCGCCTCCTCGCCGCCCAGCGCCTCGGCTCCAACTCCGGAGGTGACAGCAGCAACGCAAGCGCATCACCGCCCGTAACCTTCGTCGACGCGCCCGCCTCGTCGTGGACCCAGCCCGCCCACCGCGCCATCTGCATCGGCTCCTCGCACGCCCTCGGCGGGACGCGCCCCGCGCTGCAGCACCTCACACGCATCGTCGGCCCCTTTTCCTCCTCCCTCTCTTCCTCGGTCACATCCGCTCCGCCCTCCTCCTCCTCTCCCTCTCCCTCAACGTCCAGCTACGCCAGGGTCCTCTTCGGCGAGATGTTCTGGCAGGTCAGCCCCCCGCCCGAGGCCACGCGCGCCCTCTTCGGCGACGACGAGGTCCCCGGCTCGCTCGCCGACCTCGTCGCCTCATGCCGCGACGAGGGCTGGACGGTGCTGCACGTCAGTGTCGCCGACCAGGCCGAGTGGGACGACTTCGAGTCGCGGCACCGCTCCGGGCAGCGGCGCTGGCTGCTCGAGCACCCGGGGAGCGAGGGGGCGGACGAGCTGCGCCGGCAGCTGGACCAGCGCGAGCACGACTATCTCGCGCACTACCGCGGCATCTTGGGCTTTGCCTTTCTCATCTTGGCGCGATAGGGGGGGTATGCGTGGCCCGGCACGCAACGTCCGGACCACAGGCACAGGGACAGTAGGAACGCAGCGCATCACTTTCCTCAAAAACATGGTCCAAAAAGCCATATAGGATAGTAATTCATTGCCGTATCTATAAAAGGGCCTTAACTCTATTCGGGATCGCTAATAGACTACCATCAAAACCATGTCCTACAATCTCAAGCTTAGGCAGTTACTCAATACCTCACACATTACCACAGCATCTTGGCCTTTGCCTTTCTCATCCTGACACGATAGGAAGCGTCTTACGTGACACCCGGCGCGGCATCTGTATCAGAGGCAGTCTAGGCAGGCAGGCCCACACGCGGCGCAGGCACGGGACGCCTGACGACGTCGGTTCCCGTGAACTTGGTGCGAAGCAGAGGCTTGGGATGCGCACTAGGAGGGTCACCCGCCTCCGACGCGGGCGGAATGATGCTTTCCACGGGCCGGTCCGCAGACTCGAGAACCGCGGAGTTGACTCGATGCCCCGACGGGGGAGCAGTATTGATCGGGTCCTCGCGGGTGTCTTCCGGGTCCGAAGGCCGGTATGCTTCCTGCGAGGCCTGTTACCTGTTAGCCCTCTCTGGTCTTTGGTAGCAGATTTGCGTTTCAGGGGGAGCCCGGGGGGAGAAGGGAAGGGGGGGTGGGAACGCACCTTGTCACGATTTTTTTTATTCTTCTTGAAACCACCGAAGCACCCTCGCTTTTCCAGTGCGGCAGCCTGGTTTGACGCTGGGTCCCGTACCTCCTTGTTGCGTGTCTTGCTGTACCAACGATTCATTGCGTCCCTGGCGATGCCCGGGCTGCCCGCAGACTCGGAGGAGCTGCCACTCGGGCCCGCAGTCTGGGAGGAGCTGTCACTCGGGTGCCCACGGCTCTTCCCGTTCTTCTTCCCGTTCCTCATCCTGTTATAGACCTCCGGCGAGGGCTTATAATAGTCTCCGTCCTGCGAGGTGTCTTAGTCCTTTCTGGTCCTTGGAGCGGACTTGCCCTAGGTAAGGGGGGAGGGGGAGGACGCACATCCTCACATCGTGCACAATGCAAGCCGAACCACCCTCGCTTTTCCAGTACGGCAGCCTGGTTTGACGCTGGGTCCTGGACCTGCGTGTTGCATTCCTCGGGGCAAATCGGCCGTCCAAGAGCCGCGGCGGCAAGGGCCAGAATGAGACCTGAAGCGACCTTCATGATGTCTTTTTACCTAAGCCTTTGCTATATGGAGTCCGACAAAGGGTCAAATAGTATGTATGAATATCTGTATACGCGCGCGCGCGTCCGTGTGTGTGCTGTTTGTCCAAGTTGTTTCTGTCGCAAGTGAGGTGAGGGTCGATGCTGATGTTTGATGCTGATGTTGATTGCTGATGTTGATGTTGATGTTAATGTTGATGTTGATGTCGATGCTGATGTTGATGCTAATGTTGATGCTGCTGATGTCTATTTCTATGTTGCCAGACGAGAATCGTCCTCCACGCCCTCCTTTATAGTCGAGGTCATCCTGGGAGTCTCCGACCCAAAATCGCACTCCTCTTCGGTGTCGCCGCCCGCGCGCATTGACGTGCCTCGAGCACAGCGCCCGCCGAAATCACGCGCAACGGGTATTCGGGACTGTGCCACTCGTACGCAGGACAGCCCAGCCCACTAATATCCATTGCCCGGGGCGTTTACGCAGGACCACAGGGCCTGCGTGCCCTGGTCTGGCTTTTGCGGTCCATTATGCACCTGCGGTAGCGAATCGTCGTCGTGACGCTCCTCAGGCCCGTTGTGCCCGTGGTTCTGATACTCGTTCGGCTCTCCGTCCTCCTCCTGCATGGGCGACGGCGACGGGCGGAGGACTGGAGGTTGGCAAGGACACGGAGGGGGTGCTTGGGAGGAGACTAAGAGTTGTTGTTGTTCTGCCCTTGCTGTGCGTTCTGGACATTGGCGGCGACACGCGGAGGCTTGGGGGGAGGAAACTCCTTCCGGAAGGGTTGACGTCGCGCAAGACGAGAGTTGTTATTCTGCCCTTGCTGTGTGTTCGATTGCTGGACATTGGCGGCGACACGCGGAGGCTTGGGAGGGGGAAACTCCTTCCGGAAGGGTTGGGGTTCACGCCGCGCAAGCCGTGAGTTGCTGTTCTGCCCTTGCTGTCCGTTCGACTGCTGGACGTTAGCAGCGACGCGCGGCGGCTTAGGGGGAGGGAACTCCTTGCGGAAGGGTTCAGGTTGACGCCGCGCAAGCCGCGAGTTATTGTTCTGTCCTTGCTGTCCGTTTGATTGCTGGACGTTGGCGGCGACACGCGGCGGCTTAGGAGGAGGGAACTCCTTCCGGAAGGGTTCACGCCGCGTAGGCTGTGAAGCCAATGAACTGTCCCGGCCCTCTTGATCAGGCTGAGAGTCGTCTCTCTTCTCTTGCTGGCGCGATGGACGGATGTTGGCGGCGACACGGGGAGGCTTGGGAGGCGGAGTGTTGTTATTGTTGCTCTGCCCTTGCTGTGAGGTCGATTGACGGAGGTTTGCGGCGACACGCGGAGGCTTAGGAGGCGCGTAGTCCTTCGAGGAGGATTGACGCGGCGCAGGCCGTGGAGGCAATGGGCTGTCCTGGCCCTTTTGATCAGGCGCAGGCTCGTCATACAACGGCTCATCCTGACTCTCCTCATCAGGCGCAGGCTCGTCATACAACGGCTCATCCTGACTCTCCTCATCAGNATCAGGCGCAGGCTCGTCATACAACGGCTCATCCTGACTCTCCTCATCAGGCGCAGGCTCGTCATACAACGGCTCATCCTGACTCTCCTCATCAGGCGCAGGCTCGTCATACAACGGCTCGTCCCCATCCTTCCCATGGGGATGAGAAATCTCTGCATACACCGGCTCCTCCTGGTTCGCATAGCTTGGCGCAACCTCGTCATACACTACGGGACTCTCCTCCTCCCGGGCATCTTCTTCTTCTTCTTCTTCTTCTTCTTCTCGCGCCGCCAAATCCTGTGGAGGAGGAGGAGGCATCCAAAGGCTGTTCTTCGGGCCTTTGCCTTTACGCGGCGGACCCGAAGGCTCGCCAGGCGTGTTCGGCCTGTCCTTGTAGGGCACCTTGCTCGGATCCGGGGGGAGGGGAGTGCCCGGTATGTACCAGTCGGGCAGGCCCTTGGGCCTCTTGGGCAGACTCTTGGGCCACTTGGGTTTATTGCCATCGCCGCCGCAGAGCCAGCCGAAGCAGCCTCGCTTTTCGAGCGGCGGCGCACCACCATCCTGCGGCGGGTGGTGGTGGTGGTGGTTTGGGGTTGGGTCCTGGTCCTGGTCCTGGTCCTGGTCCTGCTGGGTGTTGGCTGGGGAGGGGACCGCCCGCCCTAGAGCCATGCCGCAAAGGGCGGCCAGGACGAGGCTTGGGGCAATCTTCATGGTGTCAAGCAAGCCGTTGAGTTGCTTGGGGTTTGCGTGGCGGATTCAGATCCGAGAACAGTGTGTGTGTGTGTGTGTGTGTATTGCTCGTGTAAGTGGTGCTCTACCGCTAGCAAAGCTCTTGTTGATTGATGCTGATGATGCTAATGCTGATGATGATGTGCCGATGCCGATATTACCTGAGTCGCATGCGGTCGCTTTTTATACTCGAGTTCGCATGCATGCGTTCTCCTCGCGTTGGGGCAGCACAAACAAACACGCCCCCGTCATCTTCATCATCATCAACATCTCGGTCGCCGCCGCATCGCGCGCATTGCCGTGCCCTGCCGGTGGAGCGAGCGAGGCGAATGCCTCTACCGATTGTGCAGTTCCGGGCAGCGGTGTGTCCTCCCCGGTCCTGCCGTCCGGTCGGTCGCACTGGAACCTACATACCTACGTAGACGGCGGTTTTCCAACTGTTCTACGCACTACGCCGCAGCATAATAGTGCTCGTATGTTGTTATTGCTGCAAAAAAAGGGTCAGAGCCCCAAAACTCTAATAATTGGCTGCCTGCCGCATAGTTGACCGTCAGTCTCGCGAGATAGGCTCGCTTGCATTGACAAGTCAATGCGGCGAGGGACAAAGGTTCATGGTCGTGGTCCAATAATGCATAAACGTGGAAATGTTGAGCACAGCTGTTCTGTGGAATTGCACGCCCGGCGAGACCATGAATTCATTGCTGACACTTGACCCGGAGAAGCCGCCTGGAGAAACCTAGACGTGAGGAGGTCTATGCGGCATCTCGGCGACGTCAAACCACTGTGCATGAACAGAGCATAGAAGCGTTTGCGGGCTCTTGATGGAGATCCACCTCTGAACCTTTGTTTAAGCACAGCCCCCGACACTATCGGATGAGCTTTACATATTCTTTTCATGCCGTCCCGTCATCTTGACACCTGGCACGAGCCTCACCTTCTCATCGGGGCACACATTCGTGGGCCCTCACGGCACTTGGCATCACTTTCCCCAAGCGCATAGTTCAAAACGTCATCTAGGATAGTAATTCATTACCGTGTCCATTAAAAAGGTTTAAACTTCATTCGGGATCGCTAGCAGGCCACCGTCAAAACCATGTCCTACAATCTCAAGCCTGAGCAGTTACTCGATGCCTCGCGCGCGCGTCGCGCCTCGGTGCCCAACGCAGGCGCTTCTCCAAAGTTTTTCATCCGTCCCGACTGACCTCGGGGGCAGCTGGAATGGTCGCGAGGAAATGGAACAGCCAGGGGCGCATCAAAACTCCAGCCCTGCCAACCCCGCTGCCGATGCCGTGTCAAGGAAACAACATATGCCTCGTAAAAGGACGGTTACAGGTTCGTCGCCTAGCCCAGCTATGCCTTTGCCTCAGTTCGTGTGCTCGTGGAACTTGTTGTGGTGATCCACCTAGAGAGCCACAAGGGGCTCCTTCTCGGCGGCGGCAACAGGGTCCGCGGGAACCTCGCCGAGCGGCTCCGACACGGGCGCGGCCGCGGGCACCACCGGCTCAGGCTCGGGGATCGTCTGCTTCTTGGGCTCCTCGGTCGGGGGGACGGGGAACACGGGCTGCTTGGCGGCGGGCACGGGCGCGGCCTTGGTAGGGGCAGTGGGCGAGGCGCTACGGCCACGCAGCATCTCCTGAACCTTGCCGGTGTAGTCGCCCGCATACTGCTTGCCCACGGTGGCGAGGTGGTCGGCCTGCTTCTGGGCGACGCTGCGGACCTGAGCGGTCTGGGCGCCGATCGCATCCGAAGCGTTCTTGAGGTGGTGGTCGATGAGCTCCTGGTTGGTGGTGTAGATGAGGGGAACGAAGAAGGCGACGGTGGTGCCGATAACAGCCAGGCCCCAGTAGGGCACGAGCTTGACCAAGTAGTAGGAGATGAAGGCGGCGACGCAGGCCTGGATCTGTCAGTCCTCACGTTTGGGTGAACGGATCGCGCGATGGATTGCAACTCACAGCAGCAGAAGCACCGAGGTTCTCGGCGAAGAGGATGCGCTGGCCCTCAATGACAAAAAAGTTGACGAGCTCGTGGACGTCGCCAATCATGCTATCGAGGGTCGCTCGCGAGACGGTGTAGTAGCGGCGGGGACGCATCTGCGTGGCCAGTCCGTGGCTGAGAACGAGCTTACCGGCAGCCTCGGCGCTGACGGTGACGGCGAGCGCCATCCACGACAGCTTGAACGCCCAGCGGATGACATCGAGGTATCGGGCGGCGAAGATGAGGGAGACGATGGAGGCGTAGGCAATAGCAGAGGCACCTTGAGAGACACTAGGGTCAGCGCTGGACTCGGTCAAGGCGGCACACGGTCGCGTGCTCGTGGGGCCGAGGGGGCGGTTTAGCGCGTACGAGGGTTCTTCCACGACAGCAACTCCGAGAAAAAGGAGTGGTAGTGCGTCAGAGGCTGGCCGGTGGCAGCCGGGTTGGTGGGCGTCTTGCGAGAAGCGGCCAGGTTGGAGAGCTCGGCCGAGGCCTTTGCAGAGTGGTCCTTGACGTTCTGTGCAACGGGGCCTGCGCAAACGTGCCGGGTCAGTGTTTCGCTCTTGGCAGGCAGACGCCACGGAGATCATCTGGACGCACCGTTGGTCACGGAGTCGAAGGCAGCGGCGGCGCCTGTTGGGACGGAGAGGTCAGTCATCGCGGTCGCTGGACGCATTCGCGTCGTCACATGTCAGAAAAAAAAAATCTAGACTGGCTGCTGTCAGCTTCGTGGCCCAAGCTGGGGGACTAAGGGGGCCTCGTCGTCCGCGTACCTCACCAGTCTTGGTGCTGTCGAGCAGAGAGCCGCCGTTGACGGCCGCGGGCGCGTCAGCAGTGTCAGCCATTGCGACGGTTTGGTATTTGCGTGCGAGGAGCGCGGGCGTTTGTTTTTGGCAGGTTTTGCGGACAGGAGCTGGCTGTGCCGTCGGTTGGTGGACGAGAAGAAGGGGGTTTAGGTCTGGCGGGCTGGAATATTTTGTGCCTGGACGTAGGGGGGGCAACGGCCTGATCAGCGGAGCTGCGGGACGGACACGTCGGGGGGGGGTGCTGTTGGAGGGAGCTACTAGCTGCGGCCGGAGCTTATCGTGGAGACGAAGAGCTAGCGGACCTTGGCCGTAGGGAGGGAATGGAAAATGGGCGTTTGCTCTCGCACGTACCTTGACGAGGGAGGAGATGCTGCAGCAGCACGAGGGGGGGAGACGGCAGATGGCAGATGGAAGATGAAGATGAAGCAAGAAGGAGAGCAGGAAGGAGGTGGAGGAGGGAGGAGGAGGGCACGGAGGTAATGATGACGGAGTGCTTGCGAGACAAGCCAGACACGGGAGCAGGAAATCGAATCGAATCGATGGGGGAGGGGGGTGGAGGGAAGAGGAGCCTGGCCTGCCTAGGGAAGGGCCTGGGGCTTGCTGGCTGGCTGGCTGCTGCTGTGGGCTGCTGCGCTGTGTGGCGCCCCGGCCGATGCGCACGCAGGTGCTTTTTTTTTTTCTCTCGTCTCGCTGGAGCTTCTGCCCAGCTGCCCAGCTTTTTCCAAACGGCCCGGGTTGGGCTGGCCGGAGCTTCCATCCATGGCAGCAGCCCGGAAGCATGTGCCCGCCCGTGCCAGCCTGGTGGGCTTCTGAGACGGGCCCTGGAAGAAAGATACCTAGCGAGTCGCGCCCTGGTGGAGCAGTGCTCATCTGCTGCGGTTGCAGGTGCAGGTGCTCGGTGGTGGCGTTTGGACCCGCTGGCGGCCTGAGCTGCGCGCGTCCCGTCCAGCAGGGTCAACGGCGTCCCGGCGCCGCCCACCACCACTACCGCCTCCTAGGTATCATCCTCTACGGCAGCTTCCAGGGCACCTGCAGCTGGCGGGAGGTGCTGGTCATGGAGCTCCGGGCAGGGCCTGTGGCTGGAGTGCCGGATGACGCAGGGGTCTGGGCCGCCGCGATAAGGTCGCGCCACAGTAGGCGTCACCCGCTCGGCAGGCCACCAACTGCCAGCTTCATTAGTGACTGTCCGTTCGTATCGCTGCTGAGACGCGAATCACGATGGATGGCGTCTTGGTTGGCCTTGAGAGGGGGTTGCCTTATCATTTACCTTGGGCGGCCTTGGCTATACCAAGCTCCTTCGCACGCGAGCACAAGCTGGAATGAGGGAGCGCAGGCCCGTCTACGTCGTGTGGCGGTGCTGCGCTACAAGTCCTAGGCCCTCGCACCGGCCAAGGAACGGAGCTCGCGAGTCCGGCCTGTTAGCTACCTGCGAGGCCATCACAAAATGACGAGGTCGTTCTTTTTTTCTGCTCTCGCTCTTCCAGGTTTGGCCGACGCATTACCGCATCGCACGGGCGGGTGCCTTGCAATTTCACCACCACCCCCATCACGTCCTAACTCATCACCTCTTTTTACGGCGCAGCCTGTTGACCGAACAGGTGAAGAAAAACCACAAATGTGTTTCTCCATGCATGCCCACGCGCGCGTTCAGTGTGATTCCCCCCGTGCCCCCCGCCTGTCCGCCCGCCCAAATCATATGATTCTGCTCCCAGCGCCACGCCCGCCCCGCGGCGTGCACATGAGCGTCCGCCGCCGCCGCCGCCGCCCCCTTCCCCTCCCCGCGGGGCCGGCGACGCGGGCAGACCGGCCGTCCCGAATGCCTCCCTCCCCTCCCCCAAAGATGCCGAGGATGTTGTCCCGTCCTGCTCGCGTGAGCGACGCATCTGCCGTGGGTGGTCGCACCAACGCGCGTGCTCGCGCCGCTTCCTACTGGCCCTGGGCACACCACACTCGCGCAGGGCGCGTTATGCGAGCCCCTGCAGGGGTGGCGTGGCGTGGCCCGCCGAATAACCGCCAGAGGTGTGTGTCTGTGTTTGTGTCCTTGCGTGCGAAGACCGGACGTGCTTCGTAGATTTCGTTGCGTACGTGCCAAGCGTGCCTAGGTAGGTAGGTAGGTATGTACCCGTCGTGAAGCCTCCAAGGGTCCATTCTTGTGGAACGTCAAGCCTGTGTGGGGAGACTTCTCTCTGCCTGCCAGCTCTCCGGCCAGTATCGAAACCACACTGGTCACTCATCAGTACCCGCTGGGTGACGATCCCTTGCACACGTCCTTGGGGGGGGTTCAGGAGGGGCGTCGACCAGCTCAACACCACACGCATATGCCGCTCCATCAACCAAAATAACGAAACCCAAAAATGGCGCCCTCCCAAGACCAAGCCCATGATCAAGGTCCCTCATATGACGTCCTCTCCTCCCTCCCCCAACGCTTCTTCTCCGCCGTAGACCGCAAGGACCTCGACGCCCTCATCGCCCTCTTCGCCCCCGACGCCACGCTCACCGTCCAGACCGACCACGTCACCCTGCGCGGCGCCGCCGCCATCCGCGACATGTTTGCGCGCTTCATGGACTCGTCCGTGAGCATGTCGCACGAGGTCACCGGCGTCGTCGTCGACGCGAAGAGCCGCCGCGTCGCGACGGAGCAGCGCTACTCGGGTACGCTCGCGGACGGGACGACCAACGACATGTGCAACTGCAACTTCTTTGACGTGGGGCCCGATGGGCGGTTTACACGAGTGGTCATCTGGATGGGTGGGGGGAGTCCGTTGAAGTAGTCGCGTCTAAGTGAGTTGAGGAAAGGAGGAAGAGACGAAAGAGACGAAATAGACCCGACATGCCCGCGGAACTACGTTTGCCAGAAAAGAGGAGGGTACACAGGCTATCATCATGAGCGTTACTATCTGGACGAGGGGGGACATGGAGTCTGTTAAAGTAGTCACGTCTAAGTGAGTTGACGAAAGGAGAGAGAGACCTAGAGACGAAACAGACGGACCAGCCCGCGAAACTATGTTAATTGCCAGAAAAGAGGAGGCTCGACAGGCTGTGCTATCATGAGCGTTACTGTTTGGGCGAGTGGGGAGCCCGTTGAAATAGGCACGTCTAGATGAGACGAAAAGAGAAAGAGACATAAATAGACGAAAGAGACCAGTATCTTTGCAAATCTTTATTGGTTTTCAGGAAAGATACTCGATAGGCGATTATTGAACGGTACTATCCGGATGGGAGGAGAGAGTCCGTTAGAGTAATTACATCTACATGGGACGAAAGGGGGGTGGGCCGAATTAGACGAAATAGATCAATGTCTCTTCGAAGTACACAACTGCATAGCTGTCGGGCTATCGTGGACAAAGCCTCCTTGCCCGAGTCACCGTCACTCTCACAGACAAATGGCAATCTCCCCCAGCACATCTCACAGTCACAGTCACACACACAGAGTGTCAATCACAACGCGCTCGTTCAGAGACCGAGAGATTCACAAGGCCGTCAAAGACAGCCCGTCAACTGCATTCGTGTCCTAGCAGCTACCCGCAAAACTCCGTGCTAAGTCAAGCCTCCCTCGCCGTCTCCCTCTTCCTTCCCTTCCCTTCCACCCTCGCTACCTAGTATATCCCCAGCGTATTGGCCCATGACATTCTAAGTATTGGTATAATGCCCGGAGAAAGAATAAATCACCAGAGTGGGCCGCGCACAGTCCCAGGATGTGGGACACGCTCTCCTTGGCCCCTCCTTTTACCCCCTAAACACTGCACAGTTGAGCCTACCGACGCAAGTCGACGTACTCTGTGCAGAATGGCCAAGATGAAGGCCATGTGGAAATAGAACTCCGGCCTCACACATGATTGATGCAAAACTCCAAACCCACAACACTGCAAGTCCGCTCTCAGCTCACCGTCGCCAGCCCCAGAATCCGCCGGCGGCAGGAGGAGTACCTGACGTTGATCCCGGTGGCTTGGCGCTCTGGTCCGAGGATGGCGTTGGAGCATGCCCAGTAAGCCGTCCAAACACCCCCATGCCAAGTGTTGGGTTCGCAGCTCCGGGGGAGTCGCCCGGCGCCATGCCGTAGGCCTTGCGGAGGGCTTCCAACTTTTGCTTCGCCTCTTCCGCTTCCTGCTTCGCCGTCGCCTCGGCCGTCTTGGCCTGCACGAGCTCCAGAAGCAGGGCCTCTTGCTCATTGGGCGGGGTCACGGTCCCAGACGACGCGGCAGATGACGCGATATGCTCGTGCGGTTGCGGCAGCGACGATTGCCGCTTGTTGAACTCGGGTGCATGTGAGGGCGTCGACACACTGCGACCGAGTTTGAATTCTCTCAGCCCACCGCTGCTGCTGCTCTTGAGAGGCCACTCCGACTCCGTCTCTCGGCTGGGCTCAATCGCTGATCCCGCCGACGCTCTCGTGCGAAGGCCGTGAATCTGCTTCTCTAACCTTTGGTTGTCCTGATGAAGCGTCCGCACATGCCCGTGCCGCTCTCGCAACTGCTCCTTCAAAGATGTTATCTCCTGGTTCATGTCGTAGATTCGGCGATTCAATTCCTGAGACAGGGACATTGCGCTGACCAGCTGGTCCTTGACCGTCAGTAGCTCCTCTCGGAGTTGGGACTTGGACTGTGCCAGTGAAGACCGATGCTTCTTGCTCTCGTCTCCAAATCGTGTCTCTACCCTGTCGAGTAGCTCTGAGAGATCCTCAGTTGACGGTGCAGGGGTCTCGGTAGGAGTAGCTGGTTCGGATACTGCCTCCGAGTCCGTGGCAGAATCAACAGCCGCGTCATCTGCCGCCTCTTCGTCCGCCGGTGCATCCTGGCTTGTTGCCCTCTTCCTCAGCCCGTCGAGCAACAATCGGACCGCCTTACGGTCCTCTTCTCGCTCCTCCCGCTCCCACTGCAGCTGGTTGGTCTGAAGGGCATGGTTCCGCTGCAGCTCGCTAAGGGCCGTTAACAAGTCCTCAATCTGGCTGTGCAGATATCTCTCGTCGGCGGACTTGGCGCCGCCTGTCGCCAACTTGGGGCCAACGGGCGTTGATTCGCGACTCGATGATTCATCCTCGGCATTGGAGGACGCGCGGGAGACGGTGGTGGCGTCTGTCAAGGAGGAGCTCGCGACGCTGGCCGAGCTGGCCTCGATGGAGTTCAGCGTTGACGCTATGCTCTGCTTTGATGCGCTGCGCCGTAGCATACTCAACGGCCGTGACGGGGCGGTAAGACCGGGGGCGAGCGTGGCATGCTTGGCACCAGCCGACGATGCCCATATTCGGCCGAGGAAGCGGGTCGCAGCAGTGGTGATGTCCGAAGCTCGCGCCGCGTTGGCCGTCACAACCAGAGACTCCCTGTAGCCCTGCTCCAGTTGCGAGAGTCTTTCCCTTGACACGACGGCAGTGAGGCCCACAAAGTCTTGGACGAACTCGTCGGCGTCGTAGTGATAGCAGTCCCACAGCCCTCGAGAAAGGAGCAGCTGCATCACATCTTCTAGCTCCGTGCAAGCAAGCAATCGTTCTTCGTTCTTCCTCATGAGAGAGAGGGCAACCCTCATCAGGGTCTCGGAAGCCCCTTCGGCGAAGATCACGTCGTAGATGCGAAACAGCATGGGCAACGGGCATGTGACCGCGAAGAAGCTGAGGAACCACTGTGAGACGTAGGCAGTCTCCACCTGCAGCTCATCCAGGTGAGCTGACAACGTCGGAAGACTTTGGCGAAGCAGCTGGCGGAACTGATATATGCGGACATGCAGTCCAGAGAGGTCCGGCAGGAAGCAGGCGCGCAAGTCATATCGCTCCATCAACCTAACAACATGTCAGCATTGGGGACGACAAAGAATAGCGAATGAGGGCATGAGTCGTACCTGACCAGAACGCAAAACGCCTGTTTGTCCGGCATGTGCATCAACAGCGGGCCAACCAGAAATGCGAGACCTTGGCAATAGCCAATCTTGGTGTCGTACAGACTGAAAGACTTGAGGACACGTCCGAGCATGCGCTGTCCGTCTCCTTCCGAGTCGCGGAACATGTCGACGCCCGGAAAGCTTCTACCCAGGTCCTTGCCGATGAGGGGCTCGTAAGGGCTGGACTCGCCGCAGAAACGCTCATATTGCTCCTCGAGGACCGAGTCGCGCGCACCAGACATGCTCTGCCAGACGACACCACGCAAGGGCGGTGGGATGCCTTTGCGGATCTTGTTTGACAAGAGGGTCGGCAATCGCGCGGCCGTCTGTTGATAGTCCTTGACCAGAGCGGCATAGAATTCCAGGTCCGTCATGGGAGGGGGCGGGAGCATCGAGTACCTGAGCGCCGGAGGCGTCGGGCCGTGGACCATCTGGCGCAGCTGAGCCATGGAAGGTGGCCGAGGCCTACTGGTACTCGGCCGCTCAACGGCGGCCTGCACCTTGACGCTCTTTGGGTTAGTAGCCAGTTTTGCATTCTCTTGTTCCAGTCGCGCCAGGAGCAGTGCCGTCGACTACAAAACGTCAGCACAGTGTTCAAGGAAAAGCCGCGAGATAAGGGGAACGGCACGCACGTTGTCGGTCTCGTCGTCCTTGACCTGCTCATCCTCCGTCTTTTCCAGCTGCTCCCAATCCACCTCCTCCTGGTCATCGTCACTTTCGGTGCTGCCTTCGGTAGCGTAGTCCCCTAGTTCATCTTGCAGGTTGCGGCTGCTGGCCCCGGTGGACGATATGGTGACGAACGAGTCTCGTTGCGAGGCGGAGAAGCCGCTGGCCCTGTCGCTGCTCGCGTCGAGCAGCTCGCCGTCGATAGCCGACGGCAAGGCGGAATCTTGTTCGGCACCGTCGACCGGTGTCGTATCGAGGGTGAGCGTGGGCGGCTCCGAGAGCCTCACGGTAACCATCGAGTCGTGAGCCATCTTGGGCGTCTCGGCTCCCGTTTCGTCTGTAGTGTCTGCAGTGTTCGTGGTATTCGTCGCATCCGCAGCTGCGGTGCTGGGCTCGCCGTTCTCCGCGGGGAAGGATTGCGCGGCATGGTTGTCGTCTTCCTTCCCGCTCAAGACCATTGCCGTCATCGGGGGCGGAGGACGGATCGAGGGGTGGTCGGGGCTGGAATGCGGTATGACGGAGCAGGGCGCAGGCCGCGCTTCGAGACGAGGCCGGCGGTGTCAGGCAAAGATTCAAGTCTGGCCACGGCGGAGACAGCCCACTATCCTCCACCAGGGGGACCCAGATTCCCGCTTCGGGGCGGTGGATATTACGTGCCGGCGGCTCGAAGTCAATGACGGTTTTCGAAATGCAAGTGGCCGGTCGGCAGGCCAGAGGAGACGGCGGCGCGGTCTCGTCGTTTCATCGAGCGGCTCGAAGGGGCTGAGACAAGGCGGATGGCAGAGCCGGCCGAGGCCTTGAGTCTGGACGTCTGGCTGGATATCGGGGGGCCAGAGATGGAATGCCAACCAAGGGCAGGCAATTGCAAGTTACAAGAACGCTGTAGCAGGGGGGGCGAGAGACGGCCAAGCAACGAGAGCAACCAAGCGAGTACGGCGTAGTAGTGGGCCGGCAGTCAAAGGGACTGTACGGAGTAGAAACAAGAGCACGGCAGGGCTAGAGGACCGACGACGCGATACGGGGGGGAAACAAGGGAACGCCGGACAAGCTGGTGTGGAGTCGATGGTCGAGGTCGAGGTCGCGTTGCCGGAGGGTCGCGGCCGCTGGCACTGGGAGAAGCTGCCGGGAGCTGCTCCAAGCCCGCGGACTGTTAGAGGCTACAGGCCGTTCAGGGGCAGCCGGCTCGTTGATCAGGGGCAGTTGCGTCTGGGCCCGGAGTAACCGTTAACAATGCATTGTAACGGCGGCGCGTCAGGGCGGGTGCCGTTTTCCATTGGCCTCCGGCACTGCGAGCGTCACCTGAGGTGCAGTGGCAGAGCACTGAGCGCACTGTACCTTGCATTGTGCCCTGTAGGTACGTTAGACGGCGGGATGACCTCCCCCCTGGCGCCACTGCGAAATTGGGGGCGTTGACGGTTCCCCCCTCCCTCCCCCTGTCCCATTGGATCCCGCCCGCCAAATCGTCGAACCCGTGGTCGTTGGCGCAAATCCCGTCTGGTTGGTCCCGCGGCCAAGATTCGGCAAGCGGCCGGACGCCCCCTGAGCGCGCCGGCCGTGAAATTATGTCTGATGGGCGCTCATGCGCGGACCGCCCTGCCCGTGTCATTGGATCCATGCAATGCAATCCATGCATCGGCATCGTCCCCCACTACAAAACAAGAGCGTCGGCCCCCCCTTGTTGGTGGTCATCTGAACGTGACTACAAGCACCGCGGGTTTGGTGTTTGCTCAATCCTGAACGCCTCAGGGCATGACATTGAACCAATCGCCTCCCGTGCAATGCACAAGCCAGACATTGGATTCCGTGTCACGCTTCGGTCATGCATCCCTCGCATTCTCGCCCTCGATGGCTCTCTGATATCAATGTACATAGGTATAGAAACATTCGGTAGCTTTGCCCTGTGTACCATCAACAGTTCTACATCGGCCGTAAACCTTGTGGTGACTTGTAGATCCCACTAACAATACCGCATGGCGACCACGCGACTAGGTACCAAACCCGCAAGGGAGCACACGCAAACCACGACGTCTTTCACAGGCGCAAACTCAGCGAAACGTGGAAAACAAGTTTCGTTCATGACAAGTGTCTATCCGCTCTATATTGTACATCAATCAAATCGCCCCCTTGAGCTCGCTCACCTGCGCCACCGTCTCCTCCATCTTCTCCTTGGCCAGAGATGCGTTGCGCGGGTTGGGCGCCTTGAAGATCTCGTTGAGCTCCTCGAGCGTGTGGCCCTTGGTCTCCACCATGAGGAAGAAGTAGTAGACCGCCTCGCACGAGCACGTCGCCAGGTAGATGAAGTACGTCTTCCACGCAATCTTCTCCAGGGCGATGGGCAGGGCAAACTGGTTGACCAGGCCGGCCGCGTTGCCGGCAATGTTCTGCAGGGCCATGCCCTTGGCGCGCTGCTCAAACGACAGCACCTCGACCGGGTATAGAGCCTGCAGCGGGGTGTAGGCGCACGAGAAGACGATGTTGATGAGGAAGATGAACGAGATGGACGCCCTCGCCGCCGCCGTGTTGCCCGAGGTCGTGAAAGCACCGGTGCCGCCAATCATGCCACCCCAGAGCAGCGCCAGGGCGATACAGCAAGTGATGAGCATCTTGCGGCGGCCGAAGCGGTCCATGAGGGTGGCGCCCGTGCACGAGGCCACGCCGCCGGCGATGGTGATGCCGAGGTTGATGTCTAGCACTGTCGTCGCGTCCGTGATGCCCGTCGTCTGCAGCATGCCCGGCAAAAAGTAGGACACGCCGCCCTGGCCGGTCCACTGACTGAAGGCGGACACGGCCACGGCGCAGAGGATGGCGCGGTACACGGCCGCGCGGGAGTTGAAGAGACACCGGTAGTCCCACCAGCGCTTGTCGGCGCCGTCCATCTCCAGCTCGTCTTCGAATTCGCGCAGCTGGAGCTGCACGTACAGCGAGTCGGGGTTGTCGTTGCCGTGGTACTTGACCAGAATGTCGCGGCACTGGGTCAGCTTGCCGTGCACGTACAGCCAACGCGGGGACTCGGGAGAGAAGAAGCATGCCGGGATCAGCATGGCCGGGAACATGAGCTGGAGGTAGGTCGGGATCAGCCACGAGGCGTTGCCCGTGAGGCCGGCGCAGCCGCGCAGCACCGCCGCGGCCAGGACGGCGCCGAGGTAGTAGCCGCAGTTGTACAGGCCGGTGATGACGCCGCGGTAGGCGGGGTGTGCGAACTCGACCACGTACGACGGGCAGGCAACGTTGGCGATGCAGGCGCCGAAGCCGAGGAAGAAGCGCCCGGCCAGGTACTGCGGGAGGTTGTGCGAGGTCACTTGGATGATGACGCCTATGATGACGAAGACGCACCCGATGACGATGCCAACGCGGCGGCCCCATGTGTCGGTGGCCGGCCCGACAAACGGCAGGGCGCACACAGAGCCGATGGAGTACATGCTCGAGATGTAGGCCGTCTTGACGCCAACAATGGTGGCCCCAAACTGGTCCTGGAAGGAGGGCATGGCGAGCATGTTGCCCATGAGGGCGCCGTCGAAGCCTCCCATGGTCGAGCCGAGAAACATGAAGCCGCAGATGATGTACAGCTGTATCATCCTCTTGCTGCTCTTCTTGATGGGCTCGAGTTGCTGGACCACCTCAAGGGCGGCCACTCCGCGCTGGTGCACGAGAACATCGACGGCGTCGGTCGGCTGCTCGACATGGTCCGAGTCGACCTCGTGCTTGCCTTGGGCGGTAGCCATGACGGCGCAGGATTATATCGGGGATTCAGTAGAACAAAAGCTGCAAGGCGAGTGGGTTTGCGATCTGCACGATATGGGCCCCCCGGATTCCTGCAGACGCATGGCCGAGATTTTATACAAGCGCGGAGAGGACGAGTTCGGTGATGGAATAGAGAAGGAGAGAAGTTGGCCTGGCCTCCTCCTTCTCGTCGACGGAGGCGTCGTGCCAAATTCCCGACAATTTTGCCGCTCGCATGCTTGGGAACTGGAGACTGGGTTGGGAATCTGGACCGCACCCACGCCGCCGAGCCAGACGGCATTTCTCGTACCGACTCCGGCCCATGGCAAGATCGTGTGGGGAAGACGTGTGTGCCGTGGCGTTAGTTGTTGCGTGTGAGTGTGTGCGAGTTCGCAAGGAGAGGCCGACGTTTTTTCCGACCTAGGGGTGCAGCCTTGACCGGTCGGCCGAGTCGATGGACCCCCTCGATGAGCCCAGCAGGACGGAACCGTCCCGCCAAACTCGCCGTGGGTGGTCCGTCGGTCGGTCGTCACCCCACGGCGATCGACTTTCTGGCATCACCCCACGATGCGGGGATGCGGTGGTGTCCCAGTGCTGACAGCGGCCCACTTCGGTCGTCTGACTAGCCGTTTTGTTTTTCAATTTCTCCGGGCGCCTGCAATGGCCAGAAATGTCAGCCAGAATGGAGCGTTTCTGTGTGTGTCTGTATGAGCGAGACGGGAGCGCCACAGCGGGCTCGTCGACGCTATGGGACGTAGTCTCGTCTAATTCTCCTGGAATCAGGCGGTTGTGTCCACTGTCCCGCCCAAGTGGCACGGGGGCGCCCGTCAACTCACCTTGACACCTTGTAACTCTTGCCCGGTACCTGGCCGGTTGGTATAGTCCTTGTAACCGGCGGTTGGAGGTCGGCATTGCTCCCCCAACTGTGTGATCCCGACGTTTTTTCCGCCGCCATCGGACCATGGCACTGCTAACCTCCTTGGCAGCATCCCTCAAAGGACCGGATATAAATCAAGAACCCAAAGAGGACTTGTAGACGTCGTTCGCTCCTTCATCGTCCAAGACGCCGCCCTCCATCAACAGCATCCGCCATGTCTCCGTCCACAGCATACTCGTCGACGCCGCCCAAAATCACGCCCGCCTCTCGCGAGGGTGACGCCAACTACAAGGCGCCCATCTTCCCCATCGGCCCCTTCACAAAGTATGAGCAGAACCCGCTCCTGGTGCCCAACCCCAAGAACGAGTTTGAGTCGGGGTACATCTACAATGCGGCCGCCATCGTCCTGGACGACACCATCTTCCTCCTCTACCGCGCGCAGAACCCCCAGCTGAAGTCCAGCGTCGGCCTGGCCTGGTCCACCGATGGCTTCAACTTCACCCGTCTCGACCGGCCTGTGCTGGAAGCCAGCGAGCCTTGGGAGGCCGGTGGTGGCGTGGAAGACCCGCGCATCGCGCGCTTCGACGGCGTCTTTTACATGACCTACACCTCCTGGGACTTCAAGACACCGCGTCTGTGCCTCGCCACGTCGACGGATTTGGTGCATTGGGAGAAGCGCCCACCTCTGTTCCCGAACATGAAGGACGTCGAGTTCAATAGCGAGGGGCGCACCCTGTATCGCGAAGGACATTCCAAGTCGGGTGCCATCTTTCCTGAGAAGAACGCCGAGGGCCGCTATGTCATGATCTTTGGCGACTCGCATCTGTACCTCGCCGAGAGCGACGACCTGCTCAACTGGACTGCCAAGCCGTTCAGTGAGCACTTCGCAGCGCCCACCCTTGCATGGGAAAGCCGTCTGCTTGAGCCCGGCCCAGCTCCCGTCAAGACTCGCGACGGAAAGTGGATTCTTGTGTACAACGCCGCGACGCTCGGGACGGCTCGCTACCGCAACAACCAGTATTCCATCAGCCAGATGCTCATCGACTACCAGCATCTTGAGAACGGCCCGGTCGCTCGACTGGATCAGCCGTCAGTGGTGGTTTCGGCTCAGAACGAGCGCGAGGGCCTGGTGAACGAGGTTGTCTTCACCGAGGGCATGGTGCAGTTCAAGGGGCAGTGGTTCCTCTACTTTGGACAGGCGGATAGCGAATTGGGGGTAGCAACGGCGCCTGTAAACTAGAGAAAAAGTGGTGGGGACTCGAGAATTGGCGACAATACAGGGTATCACGGACAGTTATAGAATAATAAAAAGGTCAAGGCGTCATGTTCCGACTGTCGATGATGAATTTCGCGGCCAGGGTGCGCAGGTCGCGAAACGTCCAGAAAACTGAGTAGCCATCAATCTCCTCAATCGTCCACGGACCGGTCCCAATCTCTTCGCGCACTTGCTGTTTGAGATCCGGGAATAGGTTGTGGCTGTCCTCCCAAAGATTGCACAGAGCTCGGCAATTCTCGAATCCGGTCTGTCTCCAAAGACGCAGCATTATGCGGACAGTCGCAGCCTGCATGTGGAGAAGCAGTGCCCAACGGTCGAGCAAGTTGCGAGGGCAGATGAATGTGCTGCGGGCGAGAGCGCACAAAAAGAGCAGGACCCCTGGGACCGGCCGCAGTGCCATTTGGACACCCAGGGTATCTGCGTGTTCGAGAACGTCGCTATAAAACGACAGCAGGAGCATGCTTGATAGGCAGTGCATCAAGACGGACTGCGGAGTTGCCGGGAGATCATCGCGACCATCCAAGAGGGTCGTCGGCAGACGAACCTGCCACAGAAGAAAGTCATATTCGAGTTTCGCCCATGCGAGTGATGTGTCCGGCAGAATCCCCTCGAGGCTCATCGCCATGCGGCGCTGGCCAAGCTCTACGGCCAGCTGGGAGAGGCGTATGAAATGATGGGCGGGAGTTGTCGGGCTCAGCGATTCAGCGTAGCTTTGGAGAATGTCTGACTGCAGACGGAGCGGAGGATGGGAGTAGCCAGCAAGTTGGCGCCATATATGCGTAATGAGTGCCCCGGACAGTATCGGCGGTGGCACCGAGCCCGCGGCACTTGCAGATTCAACCATGAGGAAGATCTGTTTCTACAATCAGTTTGAAAGAACGCCAAATAAATGGAATGGCTTACCTGCTGGACCAGTCCTTCTTCCAAGGGGATGGATGGGATCAGGAGGAGGAGACCGGCAATAGCCGAGTTGGACAGGGAGCCGTGGCGCAGCATGGAGAGCAGCTGGTCTGTGAGCAGGGGGCCTTCAACGTCCTCGTTGATGAAGTTGAAGGACAAACGAGAGGCTAGGTCAACGCAATGCTCCAGATCCGGATCCCTCCCCAGGTCCGCCTCCTCCAGCATCTCTGCAGGGACAAATGGCATGAATGGATGTACATTCCGCCAGTATTTCGCGCTGGTTGTTTGAAGCTCGTCCTCATGGTGGACGTCAGAAGCATGTGCCTGTACCAGACGCTTGTTGGCCATGTCGCGCTTTCCCGCCAGAGGTATCTGACAGTCGCCGTCCTTCAGGTTCGCCACATCTTCGTCGCTGTCGGTCCGGGTCATGGGCCAATCCGTGGCGAGATCCTCCATGAGACGAGCCGCGAGCCGCTGGGACGTTTTGCGGCGCTTCAAGCTCGGATGACGGGAGCTGAAGGTGCACACGAGGTCAAGATGCTCGCAATCGGAGCACCGTGCCGTGATGGGAGACCCCACCGGGAGGATGCATCGTTTTTTACGATGGCGGCAGTAATCGCAAGACTTGAACATGATGTCGCGGCCAACACGGCAGATCCGACGCATGTGCTGACAAGGGGTCGCGTGAGGCACAGGGCCAAGAGGGCGCCAAGGCAGATATTGCAACGGGAAGTCGAGCGGCGAGAGCGGCGAGAACGGCGGCGAGAGGGCAAGAGGGGGCTTTTGCCTGGGAGGGAGGTCAGAGGTCGTGAGGACGGGGAACTTACACCAAAGTACCTCTGCAAGTACCGCCAGCACGACTCCACAGGCCACGAGCCCCGACTCCCCGAGCAGTGGACCGACCCCATAATCTGCAGGCACGATGGACCCCAGGTTGCCCGACTTGTTGCCCCCACGATTCGACTGAGTCCTGTCGGAAAAAACGTCGGCGAAACAATGCACGACTCCACGGCGACAGCCCACGCAAGAGATGGGAGAAGATTACACGGACAGCGCGACACTCCCTCATAAAGTCGCCATGCCTCTTTTTCGCGGCTCTTTCCTTTGCTCTGGCTCGCCAGTAGCCTCTTCACCTTCGCCATGGCATCAACCTCGCAGACTCTCGCCGGCTGGCGATGGCGCCAACATGGGAGCGCTGCCAAAGAATGGCACCCGTGTTCGCACTCGCGACCAACAACGGAAATCTTCACGGACCTCCTCGACGCAAAACGCATTCCCGATCCCTTTCTCGACCGGAATGATCGCCTCGTACAATGGGTAGGAGAAACGGACTGGGAGTACGAGTGCGACTTTGTACACCAGCCGAGCGACAGCCATGCACGACAGGACCTGGTCTTCGAGGGCCTCGACACCTTTGCCTCTGTGTACCTGAACGAGCAGCTCATACTCACATCGTCCAACATGTTTCATCGCCACCGGGTCAACGTCACAGACAAATTGCGCAGTGGGATCAATGTTCTGCGCATCACCTTCCGAAGCGCCTTACACGAAGGTCGTGCCATCGAGGCCAAACACGGCAAGCTGCGCGCGTTCAACGGCGACAGTTCTCGCGTGCACGTCCGCAAGGCACCTTATCACTATGGCTGGGACTGGGGCCCAATTTTACTCACCTGCGGGCCCTATCGCGAGATTCATCTTGAAAGCTACTCCTCAATGATCTCCGACGTGTTCGCCAACCCCGCCGTCACCGAGGACCTGCAGCGTTGCACGCTGGACGTCTCATGGAGCGCCTCACTAGACCAGGACGCAGTAGTGGACGTCACCGTCACTTCTCCCAGCAAGCTCGTCTTTCATGTCCAGTCCACCTTGGCTGCGCACGAGACCCACGGGCGTGTCTCCCTCGACATCCCGCAGCCGGAGCTCTGGTACCCTGCTGGACACGGAGCTCAGGTTTTCTACAACGTCGAAGTGCAAGTACGCAGCAACAGCGGCGCCACTCTTCATACAGATACAACGCAGATCGGTATCCGCCGCCTGCGCTTGGTGCAACAGCCTTTGCAAGAGGAGCCTGGGACGAGCTTCTTTGTCGAGGTCAACAACCACCCGGTCTACATCTCCGGATCCAATTGGATTCCTGATCATTCCTTCTTGACGGCCCTGACGCCAGAAGACTACAAAAAGTCTGTCGAGGCGTGCTTGGAGGGCAACCAAAACATGCTGAGAATATGGGGTGGTGGCATATACGAGCACGACGCCCTCTACGCCGAATGCGACCGTCAGGGCGTGCTTGTCTGGCAAGACTTCATGTTCGCTTGTGGCCAGTACCCATGCTATCCCGAGTTTGCGGCTAGCGTAGAGCGGGAGGCTGTAGACCAGCTCAAGCGACTCCGACAGTACTGCTCCGTGGTGCTCTACGCAGGCAACAATGAGGATTATCAGGTTGCCGAAATGCTCAAGCTGGACTGGGACCCGAATGATCACTCTGGCGACTGGACAAAGTCCAATTTCCCAGCTCGGACGATTTACGAGACCATTCTCCCCGCCGTCGTTTCTGAGTACTCACCAGGGGTCCCGTACCATCCTGCGTCTCCGTGGGGCGGCAACGGCACAGAAGACCGTACTATTGGTGATATTCATCAGTGGAATGTATGGCACGGCTCCCAGGAGAAGTACCAGCTTTGGGACAAACTCACCGGAAGATTTGTGTCCGAGTTTGGCATGCTGGGATTCCCGTCTGCCAAATCCGTCTCTCGTTTCGTGACGGATCCTGCACAGCGGTTCCCTCAGAGCGCGGTGCTGGACCACCACAACAAAGCCGACGGGGCTGAGCGCAGACTGGCGTTGTACGCCATGGAGAATATTCGCGTCGACTCGATGCGATTAGACAGTTGGATATATGGCACGCAGCTCATACAGGCCGAGTGCCTTGCTTTTGCTGTTCGCAGCTGCCGTCGTCAGTGGAAGGGCCCCGGACGCGAATACTGCGGCGGCCAACTCATATGGCAGGTGTGTATTCATCCCCGGTGGCCGTCGTATCTGAGGCGTGCTGACATTTTCTTCAGATCAATGACTGTTGGCCCGTCTCCAGTTGGTCGCTCATCGACTTCTACGGAGAACGTAAGCTAGCATTTTTCGCGACAAAGCGCGAGTCGGCGCCTCTCGCGATCGGAATCGGTCGCTCCACTCCAGAGCTCAAGAAGTTGAAATCGCCGCCGCCTCAATTGCTGGGCCCTCCACACGATCTCGTCGATAAAAAGTACATCTTTGACGTGTGGGCAGTGAACACGACGCTGCAGAAGGCGGCAGTCAGCGTTGAGGTGCGCCTCTTTGACACGCAGACCGGCGAGCTTCGGCAGAAAATGCCCTTGGGGAACCAAATCCTTGGCGCCAACCGCTCAATGGAGCTGGCTGAGGACTGCACCATTGACAACAGGACTGCGGTCCAAGCCATCATGCTTCACCCCGATGGGCGCGTCGTTTCTCGAGCATCGGATTGGCCTCAACCACTGAAGTATGTTACGCTACCGAGTACGTACAACATCGAGCTTCAAGTGTTGGACGGCCGGGTCGACATTACCTCGACCGCTCCTGTGAAGGGCTTGGAGCTGTACCTGGCCGACGAGGAGCGTGAGGTCCGGTGGGGTGATAACTGCGTGGATGTGTTCCCCGGGGATACGTACGTTGTTCAAGCTCAGGGTCTCGTTAAGGGAGATGACGTGCGTGTCCGTTACTACGGATCGGACTGGATTCCGAACCGGGCGGTTTCGAATGCCTAAGCCGTGGGAATGAATACAAGGCTGTAGAAAACCAGGCAAATAGACTATGATTCTCCGTCCATGGCCATTTCATGCATATAGTACATACAGCAGTTGTAGCACATGTCTCCTGACCTGTAATTCCTGCGTACGAAGCCCGTGCCGTGTCCGACTTACACGCTTCGGTAAAGCCCCACACCGAGATGGACGAGGCGGGTGGGCCATGCACGAGCCACCTCCTGTGGCGCGAGCTCGTGCCATGTGCCAGGGTATAGCTTCAGCCACAATAGCCTGCCACGGACCAACAACCGCCTCGAGTGACATACCTTACCCTGCAGAGAGGTGATGCCTGCCACTCTTTTTTATATCTCATGCCCCCCCCAAGCGTATGGCTGGCAGTCTTGCATGAATCGTGGGCAAGATAATAAAGACTTGTTGCCAATGTGTACAGGCGACTTGACTTCAAGTCGTCTGGGTTGTCGTCGCCATCGTGGTAATGACTGCCCATCAATTGGCGCCGTCTGCCCTCATGCCATCCACCCTTCCGTCTGCGCGGGATTGGACCGCGTGAGACGATTCAACCATCGACATCCTGGGAGAAACACGACTGCAAAGGGACCTAGATACAGGCTCAACTGCGGCTTGGCTTTGCACGGCAATGAACGGTGGTGCTGCCTCGGCGTCGCGCAACCCGGGGCACGATGGCCACCATCCCCGGCTAGATGAGGGTGCCGGGGCATGTCATCAGCAACATGGAATATCGCGCAGCAAATGCCTCGCACGAGGTCGCCGCCGGGCCATGTGGCGAGGGAAACCCACCAGACGAGGCATCTGGTCTGTCCCCCTGGTCCGTGCATGTCTGCATCCCGCTGCGGGTGGACTTTGCAAGGGAGGCTGGAGGAGGATCGTGCGAAAGGGCAACAACGGAGCAGGCAACACAACCCCCTTGTGTGTGAAGGCGGGGTTGGAGAGACCGCGCGCGCATGCCCCGCGAGTCAGCGCATTGAAAACGGTCAAACAGCGTAAGTGACATGCTGCCGGTTCGGAGGAGGAGCAGCAGCATCAGGTAGACGGCCACATGCGTGCGTGCCAGCCCAGGTCAGGCAGGGCAGGGCCATGCTTGTCTGGCGCCAAAAGCGACGACGACGAATGTATGAAGAAAACGGATCCCCGAGGGGGCCATGTTGATGCAACCCGTCGCGTCAGACGCAGGTCACGACACCTCCCGAGCGAGACCACGACCGGGGCAGGGGAGGGGAGGAGGGGGAAACCTGGAGCAGAGCAGACGGCCGATGCTGTCAACGGTGCATCATCGCGGGTCGCGCCACGCCCATGCCCATGTCCCATGCCCATGCGTGCGTACGGCATTCTGCAACCACCCACACGGCAGCAGCAGCAGGAATACCTCGGAGCAGCAGTGGGAGCAGTTCCGCGCTTGGTCCAGACAGGCATGCCGATGCCATGCATGCATGCACGACCTTCACACCGCCCCCGGGTCCAGGGAGCGAGCGAGCGAGCGGGACACACGCCTGAGACGAGACACGAAAGCCCGACCGCTCGGTCGGTCGCCGTCCTCGTGGTTCGCAGCAGCAGGGCCTCCATCCGGGTTAGCGGGCGGCGCGCGCGCGGAGCAGATGCAGCGGAAGGGGGATGGATGGAGTCGGCGGCGGCGGCGGCGGCGGGGAAGACAAGGAGACAGACGAGAGACGCGCGCGCCGCCGCCAATGGCACCGGGTTGGCTGCGGCATGTGCATGTGCGGCGGCGCACACCCTGCGTCTGGGCGAGGCAAGGGTGTGTGGTCATGCGGCCAATCTCGAATGCGCGCCGCAAGCCAAAGCCGGGTGGTTGCAGCGCCATCGGATGGGAGATGGTGGTGGTGGTGGAGGCGAGGCGAGGCAGTTCGTCGACTGTCTTTTTTTTCTTTCTTGTTTGTTGCTCGTCGTCGAGGCGGTGGACGGCGATGGTGCCAGAATCGCGGTCACCACCACCTCCACCACCACCACTATCAGCGTATCCCCCATCCATCCATCCATCCATCCAGCCCATGTCTCGCCTTGCCGCGCCGATCAAGGAATTTGTCGGATGCGGTGCAGGACGCTTCACCTCTCTTGCAGACTACAATTCAACCAACCCATGCTCCCACGGAATGATGGAACCTGCTCCTGGACTGATCGCCGAATACCATACACCCACTGCCACTGACGGAACGCGCGCTCGTAAACTCGATCGTGAGGACGGCGGCAGGGAAACGAAAAGGAAATTCAGGCAAACGCATGGCCCAACCTTGAACGCTCGGCAGCCCCGTGCGTAATTTGAGCCCGGCCCACCGCGCATCACCACCACCGCGGGCGCCGTGTAAGTCAGTCGGCCGCCGGTCCACTATAGTGGGCAACGGACGCCCGTTTTGGCGCGCCACGAGCAACGCTGAGCCGCGTCGAACGAGAGACGCGGGCAGGATAGGTACTGTACTGTACCGTACTGCACTAAAGGAAAGTGATGAGCAGAAAATTTTCTACGATGCCCGAGTCGTCGCCCAACCGCATGAGATGCGTTTCCACTGTTCCTCGTCTGCTGCTCCGGCAACAAGTAAAAAGTGAAGCCTTGCGCGATAAGCCGCGCTGCACTCGGTTGCGCGCTGTTGGTGCGACGTGACCACCTCTGACCAGCCCCCCCCCCCCCGACCTTGAACAGGGGGCGGGGCCTCCCTCTAGCGGCCCCGTCCAGTTGGCCTGGCCGCCTGCAGTGGCCCACGGCACTGGGCCCGGGGGGGCCATTCGCGGCCCCGTCCAGGAGCCTCGAGGTCGTCAGATCGGGCCCAGTCCCTCCATCCATCCCTCAGGTCAGGTCCAGCCCCGCGCCAGCCCGCCGTCGCGTCCAGCCCGGCCCAGCCCAGCAGCCAAGTCAACTAACGGCCGGGAGCTGAGGTGGGCTTTTGGCTTGCCTGGGCTGCTGCCCGTCCGTTGCCGCCCGCTGCTGGGATCCATTGGACAAGTTTGGACGCCGGGGTTGGCAGCCAGGCCAGGCGGGCAGGCAGATTCTTTTGCACCAAGGCACGACGAATACGTCCTGCCCTCCTTTCACTGCACTTCACCTTTCACTTCCACCCTCCTCCCACCTGTCGTTCCGTTCCCTCTTCCGCGGGATCGAGAACCCTTCGTCTCCATGGCGCTGCTGCCGCTGCTGCCCTGAGACGCGTCCACCACTCGGCGGCCAAGCTGGATTCCACGAGCCACACGTCGCGGCCCGGAATCATGTTCTCCTCGCTGCTGCGCCGCCCAAGCCACGGCTCCCGTCGCGTCGACCTGCGCGAGCCGAGCCTCTCGCCCTCGTCCCGCCCCGGCGCCCGTCGACGATATGGCGGACGCACGCACGCCACGGCCGACTTTACAGAGGCCGATGACGATGACGAAGACTCCAACGAGGAGCGCGTGCTGCGCTTCGAAGAGGGCGGCGACGATGATGCGCAGGACGAGGACGGGGACGGGGACGGCGATGGCGACGACGCGGACGAGGATGGCAGGACGGGCAAGGCGCTGCCCGTCTTGCCGCTCTTCTCTGCCACGCATCTCGGTACAGTCTTCATCCCCTGAATAAGGCGGTTTGGCAAACACGGCATTGCATTGTATAGCTGACCCCCCTGTTGTACACCAGACTCGCTGCCCATCTACAGCATCACGCATGCCATCCGCATCATAGTCTCGGCGCGAACTGAGACGACGCTTACATGGGAGCAGCTGCGCTCGCCCCAGGTCTCCCAATTCCTCGTCAAGCCCATGCAGCAGCAGATTCGCACCCAGCACTTCTCCCGCGCGACTCTATACGCCCTCATGGCCAACTGCCTCCAGTTCACAAAGGAGGGGCAGCGATACGCCGCCAACGCCGGCATCAGCAACACCCGGTCCAAGGTCTGCGAGCTGCTCGCGCTCAAGCTGCTCAAGGAGTACACCACGAGGGAGCTCATTGACGCCCTGGCGTATGACTTTTATCCTCTCCAGGGGCTGCCGGGAGCGCAGTCACCCATACCCGCTGGTGGCCGGCCCAACTCCAAGTCGAAGCAAGCGATGACGGCCTCGAGGACTTCCACGCTCGAGGTTGCCATTCGCGCCTCTGCCAAGCACTTCCTCGCACATCCCGTGGTGATTCAGCAGCTGGAGGCTGTCTGGAATGGTGCCATCACCTTTTACTCCGCGGCGGATAGTCTGCACCGGGAGGCCCCGCCAGGTTCCATCCAGGGTATGAATGGCGATGCCCGCCAGGCGAATGACCGGACTCCGCTGCTCGGATCTCTGCCTCCCAAGCCAGGACATTTCCATGTGCCCCCAGGGAGAAGGACTGTGATGCTCTATGATCCCCGCCAGGCCTCCATGCTCAAGCTGTCGCGCCTGCGTGTCCCGCGGTATAGGTCGTTTCTGTCTACCTTGTCTCTTGCGGTCTTGATCGGCCTCTTCCTGGCGGTTCTCTCGCAGAGATCAGTGCAGATAACAGGACTCGAGCTGGTCTTCTGGTTCTGGAGCGCCGGATTCATGCTGGATGAACTCGTTGGTTTCAACGAACAGGGCTTCGCCCTATACATCATGAGCTTTTGGAACATCTTTGACCTGGGGATCCTTGTCTTGCTGATCGCGTACTACTGCATGCGCGCCTATGGCGTCTTTCTGGTTGACCCGCACCACTGGAACGACATGGCGTACGATGTCCTGGCCGCCAATGCCATCCTCCTCCTGCCGCGGATCTTTAGCATCCTGGACCATTACCAATACTTCTCTCAGCTCTTGATTGCCTTCCGCCTTATGGCCGTGGACTTGGCTGCCGTGTTTGTGCTGGTTCTCATCATGTGCAGCGGATTCTATGTCTTCTTCACCCTTTCGCAGAGCGCCAACAGCGGCAGCGACGTGGCCTACAAGATCTTCCAGATCCTCATGGGCTTTACTCCTGCCGCGTGGGACGTGTAAGTTCACCAAGAGACGGGCTTTGCCACACTGGGCGCGATGCTGACCGTACACTAGGTGGCCACAGTACAATTGGCTTGCTCGGATCCTGATGATGATGTTTCTGATTATTTGTCACTTCTTGGTCGTGTGAGTAAACCGGCTTCTGCTCTGGTGCGGCGGACGCTAATACGTTGACCCAGGACTATTCTCATCACCGTTTTGACCAATTCCTTCATGACGATTGCGTCAAATGCCACCGAGGAACATCAGTGAGTTCTGTTTGCCCAAAAATGTAACTATGAACACTCCGTCTGACGTCTCTTTCAGGTTCCTATTTGCCATCAACACCATATCCATGGTCAAGAACGATGCGCTGTTCTCGTACATTGCACCCAGCAACATCTTCGCCTGGCTTCTGATGCCCTTGCGGTATTTTATGCCCTTGAGACACTTCGTCTGGCTTAACCGCACCATCATCAAGGTCACTCACTTCCCCGTCCTCTTCTTCATCTACTTGTACGAGAGGTTCTGGCTGGCGCCGTCCATGTTTGAGCCTACGGACCTGGTCGAGAACCACGGGAGGAGCCGCCCGAGGACAATCTCGTTTCGTGACCCGGTCGAGAGGACGGCCATGTTCAGCCCCAACGTTCGGGTCCGGGAGGAGTCCGTGGCGGGTTTCCACAAGGACCGGGCCTTGGAAGAAGTCTTTCGACGCATGCCTGAATCGTCCACCCTGCGTACACAAAGGAGGAACGAGCGTCGCAAGACGCAAACTGCCATTCGCAACTGGATGGACCAACACGATGACGACGGGATGCCGCTGTCAAATTGGCCCACCGTGGACAGCAGAGCAGTGCCGGACTGGCAGAAGCGCCTCAGCGTGGCGTGGGACCGATCGTCGCATCGGCAGGTCTCTGATGTCAGATCAACTGCGAGCGATCCTGCCGACTTGCTCTCAAACCAAGGGGCGTCGTTCGCGCGCCGCCGGTCCAACTTGGACGTTGTGGCACCGGATTACAAGGATCACACGGACGCGGACGGCGACGACGAACTGGTGACGAACGATGAGGACGAGGATGACGCTGTGACCAACGCCGGCCGCAGCAACCAGTTTGAGAAGCACGGAATCGAGGAGGAAGATTACTTTACGACACCAATGGCGGCGCGGTCGGCGAAGCTGGCTTCTTCGCACGGCTCGTCGGCCAAGGGAATTCCCAGCCCTCGACCGGGCAACAGGCGCGGCATGCATGGCCGCACGCTCTCGACGAACACGATCCTCTACAACCCGGAGGAGATGGCCCAAGCCGCCCCGCCCGCCACCAAGTCGCCGCCGAAAGCTGCCCCGGCGAAGAAGCTTGGGCCGAGCGGCCGAGGTACCGGCGGCGCAGCGTCGCCCGCTCAGGCAAGTCGTCGGACTTCGCCTCGCCGAATGGCGCAAATTCCTAGCTCGCACCCGCGTCCGATTCTTCCACCGCCTGGTCTCTCACAGACTGGTGGCGTGAGCAGGACGGCGATGCTCAGCCTCGACCCCCGCGACCGCCTGCGCGATGCCAGAAGGCTCTCATCTATCGACCTGAGTGTTCTCTCGGACCAGTTTGCCCCGGAAGACGCCAATGCCGGAATGGCGGGGAGCTTTCAGACGCAGATGGCCATGGCGATGATGAAAGACAACCGACTGCGGGCTGCGGGTGGGGTGGACGTTGCCGATCGCGATAGGATGGGGAGGTTGGTTCTGGCTCGCATGAAGACGCTGGAGGAGAGCTTCGCCGATGTCATCAAGGAGATGCGAGACCTCAAGAACAGCTCCACGGGCCCCCACACGACGCGCAACTCGTCGGCCGAAGAGGCGAGGGCCACGGGCATCGACAGCGGCGATTATGACCGCGTGCGGAGGACCAAGGGCGACGCGGCGCTCAGGAGACCGCACCAAAGCCGCCCGGTCAGCCGACGAAGCATGAAAGAAGGCAAAGTCGGCATGGGCCTGCGGCGAGACGCCAGGGCCAAGGGCAAAGAGATTGTATACGCGACCACGGACGACGAAGGCGAGGCGGACGACGGCCTGGGAGCCAAGGGGAGCTCCATGTAATGGGACGGAAGAGAGGGAGGCGGTAATGATGAGAGATTGACTGCATTATCAGGCGTTGAGGTCCGCGAAGCATATATACCTTACAAGCGGGTTGTAAGATTTATTATTGGCGGCGACCAGGCGTATGGCGGCGGGCAGAACGATTGCGCGTTGATGTCAGGGCACGGCGCCGTTTGGGGTATCTGCAGTCGGGTTCGGCAAGAGTGAGGAATGAATCGCATTGCGTGTTTGCCGTGCTGTTGAGGTCCATGCCGCTTGACACCGACGCCGTGATGTTGTCATTGATTGTGTCTTCTTACACCGTGCCATGCGGCGCACTCGGGTTGAACAAGAGGCGCTGTTTTCTGTTAACTTCGGCCTTTGCTGTGGCCGATACTGACGGACGCGTCGGGCGGTGCCTCATGCCCTTGCTGCGGCGTATCAACCTCGTTGATGACGCGAGGGGCGGCGGCGGCGGCGGCGTCCTCGGGCCGGAACTTGAAGGTGATTGCGATGGCGACGGCGGCGGTTTGGCTGGCGAGCGGGCGGACGCCACTGGTGGGTGTGCCAACGCGATGCGCCGTTAGCATTGACTTGTACTTGAGGAAGGGCCTTGAAGGCAGACATTAATGGTATTCTGGCTGTAGGCTTTTGTGGGTGGCGTACTGTATGGTTGTTGGCTTTGCCATTGCAGCTAGGCTTGTACAGTATTTGCGTGAGACGCAGGCAAACGTATCCAACGGCGGCAGTCTCCCCCATCAGGTGAAGTGTCGTCGTTCACAAAAATTGCACATCTTACAATGTGGAAATATCAGATATGGCCGGTCAGGCGAACGGATGGCCGCCTTTATGAGCAGAACGAGCAACCCGCAACCACCCTGCGGATTGCTGTACGAATTACGGAGCACTGCCCATACACGAAGTCCTACACTTGACAGCCCTGAAAGACGTCGATAAAACCAGGGTGGGGATTGAGGGATGGATGAGACGAACGGACAGACAGGTGGGCGGGGCGGAGCTGGGGCTGCTCTGCTGGGGTGGCGCCTCGCTGCCGAACTGCAAACCGGGGCGACGGGCGGGTTGGCCGCCAACTGGAAACTGACCTTGCTGTTGGTCGTGCTGCTCCCAGAGCTTGAGCCTCTTTCCCCATCGCTGAGGGTGGGGACGACAGATGGGAGGCGACAGACGCAGATGCAGATGGAGATGCAGACGGGAGGGGCCACGCGGGCGGGCGGGGCTGGGGCTGGGCTCGGTGGGTGCCCGCTCACTGGGAGGCCCAACAGCTGCTGCTCCTCTTCGAATTTGTTTGCGTCACAGCTTGCCAGGCTAGGGGTTGGGTTGTGAGTCGCAACGAGGCAATCAGGCAGACGGCCAGGCAGGCAGGCAGGCAGGCAGGCAGGCAGGCAGGCAACAGCGCGGCTCGGCCGATGGGGAGGGAGGGAGGGAGGGGGTTTGCGATCCATCCCGTGGGCCATGACTGCAAACCAGGTCGGCGGGCAAGGCGGGTACCTGTGCCAGGTGCAGAGATCAAACACGATCTGCTGATCCATTTACACGGCGCGTCTAGGTTCAGTACTGTACGCCGTCGGTTTGTTAGCCCAACGGCGCCGGCACTGTATGTGAAAGTACTGTACTGTACAGCCCACCAGCACTGCCCTGAGACAGGCGAGGCAACACCTCACTCGCAGGCCGGGCACAGTTAGTGCCCCCCCCCCAGCAGCTCACTGGAGGTGACAGGGAGGCGATGCTCCAAAAGACGGGTGACTCACTACCTGAGGCACCGAGGGCAAAAGTTGGTGGGCAGTGCAGCAAGTGCCATCCCAGGCAGGCGCGGCTCCCTGCTGCGTTTGGCTTCTCCAACTCCAGGCCAGGGATAAATACATCAGCGTGCAGTCATTGCCCACAGGCAGGCCTCTCGTGCCAGGAACTGGAGCCAGGCTCGTTAGTGCTCGCTCCTCGTCGCAACAGCTTGGCCTATCAATCCAGACACAAGATATAGGCCCCTCCCGGCCGCAAGGAATGTGCCAGCGCTGCTGCTACACACACCTCAGTACAGTGCCGGACCAGGTACAAAGTACACGGCGGATCTGCTTGCCCGTTCCATGAGCCAGCGCCGCTGCATGTAAGAGCCTAGACGTGTCACGAGGGACATGCAGACAGGCAGTATTACCTGAGCTGCCTGGGCTTGCTGCACCCAACAGCAACCTCGCATCGCCGTCATTCGTCTTTGCTTTCTTCATCCCATCATCGACCGCTTCATCGCGAAACGCGCAAATCGAAATCATCACAGTGCAGCGGTCGACTGTGGAATTGCGTTGCCTGCTTCTTGAGCCTCCTGTTGCCCTTCCGCGAAAGCTCATCAATTGGCTGCCGAGACGCTGTTGCTCGCTCGTCCGTCAGCGACGGGCCGGGGCGTACATCATCCGCTACCTATCGTGAAGCTGACACGGACCGCCAAGCTCGCCTACCAGGGAACTTACTTCCATCCTTCTCTCCATCCATACATCCGCCACCATGGCGGCCCATCACGAACCAGGGCGGCCCGAGCAGGGCCTCACCCCTTGGCCAATGTCGGACCCGTGGACTGCCTGCTCCCAAGGTGGCACCGGCAATCCCCAAGACGGCGTGATACGCCAGGGCAGCCCATTGCCACGAACAGTTGCTTCCGACGTGGATCCCAGAGACCTTCCCGACCGGATCCTCAACACGCGCCCCAACGCCGTCTTCAACAAGCTGACGTCGTGGCCTCTGAGCCCCAAACTGAGGCGTGACAAGTCCCAGATCAAGGAGTATAGGAACATGGAGCTGCACATTCTCCACAATGCCGAGTTTGAGCTCAAGGATGGCGACACGATTGCCTTTGTCGACTTGCCGAGCACCCTCAAGGAGACATGGAGGCATACCGACTGCGACGGGGTGCCCTTTGCCAGGACTCAAAAGTTCCGCGTCCACTCCGAGAGGCTCTTGGCGACTGGGTCTTCCAAATTCGCCGACATGCTTGGCCCGACGTATCAGTTTAGGATACAGCGCCGGCGCAAGATGGTCAACAAGATGCCCCCCGGCGTCAAGTTCCTCGTCGACCTCACGCCCCCTTCCGAGGGCGACGAACTCGTCTTCCAAATGACGGAGCTCTCCCTCACCCCCGGCATCATGAGCTGGTGGAGCTCCAGCAAGCTGCACGATACAGACCCAAGCCTCGTCAGCGGCCATGACGACGTTTGCTCGTGCCGACTTTCTAAACGCTCTTCTGTCGACGTCGATAGCGACGATGAGTTCTTGGGAGACCTGAAGCACGACATCAATGTCGCCAACGTTGCACCGCGCGAATTTGAACAAACTGTTCAAGACGACAAAAAGCCAGAGAGCCAGCAGATGATGCCAGATACTCTCCTGAGACTAAAGAACAGGGGGAAGACTGACCGCTATATGACGCCAGCGTTCCGGCAAGTACCCGACTATTGCCCCGTGCGCCACCGCAACGCCATAGTCCGCCTGCTGTTCATTATTGAGGGGCGAGATGTGCTCATCGATTCGGCCAGCCGAGTCTGGACACTTCTTGGCCTTGCCAAGATATTTGACTGCATCCACGTCGTCCGCGATCTGATTGTGCAGTGGTTCATGCACGGGAACAACATTCGATTTATCGAAGTGCTTCCCGAGGAGTCGCTTCGCATTGGCTTCGCCCTCGAGAACATGCAGATTACCCAAAATGCGTTTCGCATTCTCGTCAACGAACTTGCCCTTCAAGAGGCGGCGAGTGACGGGTCTAAACCAGCGTCACCCCGCACGACGATTTTCGGACGAAGAACGGGAGACTGTACCGACGAACACTCCAACCTCATACAGCATGCCGCGCGGACACTGGTCGATAGAATTTCGACGCTCAAAAATGAGCTACAGAGCCCGGACCTGTTCAACATATGGCACATTGAGGAATGGGACAAGCTGCGAAGGCTTGAAGCCATCCTCGCCAAGGGGGAAAGCCTCTCATGCGCCATGGCCCTGACCAGGTTGCGGACACTTATGGAGGCTCTGCCCACTGCCGTGACTGAAATTGTGCGGCAGATTCTATCAGACCCCATCACAGAAAAGCGCTATACGTTCTGGAACATGGACGTGGACCGGGCAACCTACATGCTGCCACAGGACTTTGAAGGCCTTGAAACGATAGTCCCGCGCTTTAACGACACCCAGAAGCTGCTGTGCCCGTTTTTCTACAACGACCTCGGCGAGCGATGCAGCTGGCATCTATATCTTGGGGCTCACCCAAGGAAGAGCCGCGTCCCATTTCAGTCTCTGGTCAAGGAGCTTGACAAGGCTCTCGAAAATGTCTCCCGCGAACAGCCTGCCATTATGCGCAGCCCTGAATGCGCCGAATTTGTCCGGGCATACGATACCTCCGCCAGATTAATGGTCTACCATTTCATCACCGTGGTGGATCTGGATCGTTTGGACTGGCAAGTTAAGGACGCTCTACAGCCCATAACCGTGTCCTGGATACGCCACGACGTCGACCCGCCGCTGAATCTCACTCGCCACATGCTTCTGACATTATCGATGAACGAAATGAAGTTTCTGCCGCTGTGGGCGGGCGGATTCGACGACGGCACTGGAGGCGTATTTGAGAGCTATGTTCCCCCGACTGACATGGGGCCAAACGGGCCAGGGCCATCGTACCATACGGGGTACACTTTGCCGTCCGCCCCGGCAAGCATATCGGAATCCATGATTGAGGAGATGTCCGCCATGAGGTTCAAGGGGAGCACCACGGCGGGGTCAGTCGATGTTCACGACAGCATCTCGACCGTGTACCGGCCCGACAAGGTCATCGCCGACGACGTCTCCATCGCGACCGAGTCGTTTACGATGGCTGGCTCGGAGTACCAACAGGCGCGGTTTGCGGTGCCGGCGGCGCACCAGGGACCGGGGCAGGTCCTCGAGATGATGGTCGACTCGGACGCGGACACGGACGCCTCCTGCACGCTCGATGGCGAATCGGTCGCCGGGGGCGCGAGGGGCAGACGAGACGACACTGTGGGGCCGTACAGCGAGGATAGCGACAGCGAGGGCAGCCTGGTGGTGGTTTGAGGCGCCAGATACATCGTACGTGAAGTACCTCACGGAACGCGACAGGGCGGATGGGAAAGAAGAACAAGGGCACGAAGAAGACTGCTTCGGGACTGTGCCGCTAAAAGCAATGCTTGGAGGATGCTTTCAGGGCACAACGGACGGACAAAGGACTTCAATATTAATGAGCCAACGACATGTCATGACGAGGGAGGGAGGGACGGGGGCTATGTTTGGTCCTGGGTTTAAAATATAGGGGTATCTATCATGCAAGACACTTTTTGTGTTGATGAGCCTGGCCTGTCTATCCTCTGTCCGTTTGACGTTGGTTGTAGTCCCGCTCTGCCGTGTCCATGCCCATGCCCGTGCCCATGCTGAAATCAGACTCCAACGCCGTGAAAGAATGCCCACCTGCCCAAGCAAATAAGCAAGCAACATGCAAGAGAACCTCAGTGCTGCTGCTGCTGCCACCGGCGCCACAGCTACCCCATGTTGAGCGTATTGCCCGACCCGCGCGGGTTCTCATCCTTGAAGTCATCCCACTCGCGCGCCTTGTACGTCTCGCGGTCCACAGCCTCCTCGTCATCCTCGTCGACCTGCGGCTTGGCCGGGTCGGTGCCGCCCTCGAGGATGCCGCCGCGCCGCCGCTCCTCCTCGAGGTACTCGTCGATGCTCATCGTCGGCAGGTTGTGGCCCGGGCGGAACACGCCACGCGCCAGGTCCGCGCGCGACCCCACGAGCGTGAAGGGCTGCAGCGGCTTGCCCTGCTGCGAGAGGAGCGGCCCGCCTGTGTTGCCTGGGCCGCGACGTAGCGGCTGGTCGAGGCGCCATGACGTGTCGTCGGCGTTGGCGTCGGCGCGGAGGCGTTCCCGCCCTGAGGGGTCGGTGGTGTTGCTGTTGTTGGTGGGGTGGTGGTGGTGGTCGGGTGTCGGAGGGGCTTGCGCGAGGAGCGGCACCTCGCGGTTCATCGAGTCGAGCGCCTGGAACGTCTGATGCACGGCCTGTGCCACGGTTGCGAGGTGCACCTCACGCACGAGCTCGTCGTCGGCGCCACCATCGCCCTCCTCGTCGGCGTAGCGGCTGCTCCTAGCTTTCAAGTACGCGAGCTTATCGCGCAGGGCCTTTTCCGCGCGAAACCCCGCAATCTTGCCCTCACGCCGCGCCGCCGCGTCCTTCCCAGGCGGCACCACAGCGAAGCCCTCCCTATCATCGCGATACCGCTCCAGCATCTCGCCATACGGCTGCGCAGCCACGAGGCCATACGCGTCAACCAAGTTGAGGAAGCGCTCATAGGCGTCCCGCGCACGGCGCAGCACATCGAGCCGCCGCGCCGCGATGCCGCCACCGTCGCCGGGGATCATAGTGGGCGTCCGCTGCACCACCTCAGCGAGGTGGAAGCTCGCGAGCAGGTACGGGAGCGACGACGTGGCCAGGTCCTCGAGCGACTCGTTGGGGGAGAAGACGCCGAGCGCGGAGACGAGCTCCATGGCGCGGCCGTACAGCGCGAGCGTGGCGTCCACGTCGGCGGCGTAGCGCGGCGAGGTCGCGTCGGGGGACGCCTCGAGCGCCTGGCGCTTCTCCTCTGCGTCCTCGAAGACGGCGCGGAGCGACCGAGGCTCCTCGTCGGGGGAGGAGGCGGAGGCCATGGTGGGTTTGTGGTTTGGTTGCTGGGTTTCGCCGCTGTGCTGCTGCTTTTGCCTTTGCTTTTGTTTTTTCGGGGTTGAGCGTGCTTGGGAGGCGACGTGGAGGAAGGGAGGTCGTTGGATGGAGGTTGTGGGAGCTTGAGATGGGAGTGGTGGTTGAGGCAACTGACTTGGTGGTCGTGCAGTCAAGCTTGTTGCCCCTCCCGCCCCTCCAACATTTCTTATCGATAGGTAGCCAACGCCGCCGCCAACGCCACCCACTGGCGCTTACTGGTTTCGAACAAGCACCAGGCCAGCAGCATAGACGAGCTACGACAGAGACACGCACATAGTTTGCATATCGGCATTCATCGCAACTCTTCTTCATAGTCGGGCAAGGTATATCAGATTGAGAAAGACTGAGCGAATTCATTCGTTCCCTGTTGCCAACGCCCAAAACCAAAACGAGCACGCTCGTTTAGCCCGCAAGAACAGCTATTCTCATCACTCTAAGAAAGCAAAGCTAACCATCAGCACTCGGGCCACTCAGGCACTCACTGTGCGCCAACACGTCTAGTCATCATAGTCGTCCATCTCAAATGGGTCGTCACTGTCTTCCTCTTCCTGCAGATCCATCGACGAGTCCGGGTCGACCACGACGCGCCGCTTCGCCGCCGCAGCCCGACCAGGCCGCCCACGCGCCGCAGGCTTTGCCACTGGCGAGGGAGAACCCGCCATCTCCACGTCCGAGTCGCCGAGCGCCGCCAGGACGCTCTTCTTGACGCCCTTCTTCGCCGCGTAGGCCTTAGCTGCGGGCGAGAGCGTTGTCGCCTTGGGCGCCGCCTTGGCCTTGGGCTCGGCCTTGGTGACCTTGTTCTTGGAACCCGCCGGCCGTCCTCGTGCCTTCTTGACTGTCGCAAGCCCGGCCGATGCGCTCGAAGACGCCTTGGCCGAAGCCGCCTTGGCTTGTGGCACGATGGGGTCGTCGTCCGACAGGAAGCTGTCAATCTTGTGCGGCGACGACTTCGCCAGCAGCTCGTAGTTGGTCTCATCCGGACTGTCGACGTCAAAGGTTGACTTGGACGCCTTCGTCTTCAGCTTTGGCAGCCCGCTGGACCCGCCGTTGCCGTGGCTCGACTCTGGTCGGTTCATCGCGTACAGGCTGAGACGACCGCTCGACTCGCCCTCCGTCTTGCCGATGCCCTTGACCATGTCTCCAATGTCGCCGAGCAGGTTGTCGTTGTAGTCATCGTCACTATCTGAGGACAGCTCAAACACCTTCCTCGCCTTGGAGGCGGCCGCACGCTTCGTCCGCCCGGCATCGGGGTCCTCGGATTGGGACGCTGACACGGACTGAGATTGCGAGGCCTTGGGCGCAGCCGCCGGCTTGCTTCTGCTGAGCGCCGCGAAGTCGTCGTCGGAAAAGTTGTCCTCGGAGAAGCCCGACGTCTCCTGTTTCGGCTCCTTCTTGGTCTTGGGCTTCGCGCTGAACATCTCGGCAAACCTCTGGGAGCTCTTCGTCTCTGCCTTCGGCGCAGCCTTGGCCCTGCCCTTGCCCTTTGTCTTCTTCTCGGGCTCGTAGTCGTCGTCGTCCTTGGGCTTGCGGTTTCGGCCAGCTCCTATCTTCTGGGATACGCGTCGGCCCATGCGACGAATGTTCGTCTGGATCTCTGCGTCGAGGGCGAGCTGGTTCTCCCACTCAACCGTGAACTCGTCCAGATCACTGCACCAGAGGTCTTTTTCGCTCTTGGCCAGAAGGTCGTCATGCTCGCCCTTCTTCCTGGCGATGGCGTCGTTGAGCTTGTCCAGCCGCTCTGCTGTCAGAGACCAGATCGGCATCTGGAATTGTTAGCTGGACCGCCATCAGTGCGGGTGTCGCAGCTTCACTTACCGAGAGCAGATAATCGTAGTCCCGAGCACCACTGTCAGCCATGTCATCGTCCTCATCTCCATTGTCCTCTCCTCCCGAGGCATCGTCTTCTCCATCGGTTGCCTTCTTCTTAAGGTCCTTGCCGCGCGGGAACGCCTCGTACTTGCGCTGGCGAAGTTCGCGCACGAGGACGTCCTTTTTCTTCTTGCCTACAATCAGGTCGCCGTCGATGATCTCTTTGATGAATCTGGCCTGGTTTTGCAACTTCCGCCACTCGGCATGGTAGACGCTGAGCCAGTGTTTCTGGGCCTGGTCAGTGCTGCACATGTGAACATGAGGGGACGGAACATACCTTTCGCTCCAAGTACATGGACAGACGATACTGGTAGTACTCCTCAAGAATATCCTCCACCTTTTCGTACTTGCGGATCATGCCGTTGGTGTCAAAGGCAACGAGGTTTGAGGTGGCAACCTGCTTCTGGAGCTTGAAGCGCTCAAGCAGGCCCTCCTCGAGGACCTTGGCCATGTGCTTCTCGTCGACCATAATCTCAAAGTGGACCGTCTTGTGGTCGTTGAACTCCTTGTAGTCCTTGATCCAGCTTGGGCCATCAACGCCACTGATGACCTTTTCAAGCCTGGCCTTGAAGTCGTCCGTCCACATGCGGATCGGCAGCTCGGTGATGACCACCTCGTTCGGGTTTGCGTCGTTCTGGTAGGCCATGCCGTTGAACTTGTACCGATCCGGGCCGGCTGGCTCGGGTGATCCCTTCCAGCCTCGGAACCATGGCATCATGGTCTCGAATGGCCTCTCCTCTGGGTCCTCCTCGTCCAAACGACCCATGCGCCGCTTCAGGTTGTTGACGATGTCGACAGGATGGTAGTTGGGGATGGTCGTGCTCCATCCTGTGCCGATGCCGTCGGCGCCGTTCACCAGCACCATGGGAATGATGGGAGCATACACTTCGGGCTCGATTTTGTTGTTGTCGTCGTACTGAAACTTCAGGTTCGGCTCGTCAAGCGCCGAGAAAATCTTGCGCGCGAACGGAGAAAGACGCGTGAAGGTATAACGAGGGCTGGCGGCGTCGGATCCTCCGGCAAGTCGCGAACCGAAGTTACCGCTGGGTTCCAGACAGTTGATGTTGTTCGATCCCACGAAGTTCTGAGCCAGTCCGATGATGGTCTGCTGGAGAGACGCTTCGCCGTGGTGGTAGGCTGTCTGCTCGGAAACGTAACCCGCCAACTCCACGACCTTCTTGTCCTTGATCAGGTTGCGCTTGAAACACGCAAACATGACCTTTCGCTGACCGGGTTTCAGCCCGTCAAGAACCGAGGGGATGGATCGCATGTTGTCAGCCATGCTGAAAAGGATGAGTTCCTTGTTCACGAAGTCGCTGTAAGTGATGGACTTGGTGGAGTGATCCAGGAACGTCCCAGGCTTAAAGTTCCCAAGCCACTCCTTTCGGGCGTCTGCTTTCTTCTTGGAGAAGGCCAAATCGAACAGCTCGGCTTCGTGGGACGTCATCACATTGAATTCCTTCAAGTGCTCGTCCAAGTTGGTGAAGTAGACCTGAGCGTCCTCGTTGGAGCTGGTTCCCAGACCCTTGAAGTACTTGCTCGTCCACTTGCCGTTGGAGTGTTCAGCTGACTGCTTCCACTCTTCGTACTGCGGTTGCGTGAAGAAAGACCTGAGCTTGAGGGGCTTCTTTGGGTTCGGCCCTTGCCAGACTTTGACGATTGGCGTGATGAACTCGCGGAAGAACTCGGGAATCTTCAGGAGCGAGGGAAACTGAACCTGGAGGAAATTGATCAGGAGGCCCTTGATGTGACTACCGTCGTGATCCTGATCGGCCATGATCATCAGGTGGCCATAACGAAGGCTCTTGGTGTCTGTGTAGACCTGCTTATGCTTCAGGCCCAGGAACTGTTTGATGTTTTGAATTTCCTGATTCTTGGTGATTTGGTCGATCGAGGCGTCTCGCACGTTGAGAAGCTTTCCTCGAAGGGGGAAGACGCCGATGCGGTCGGGGTCGAGAATGGCTCGTCCAGACACCGCCAGGCCCTTGGCAGAGTCACCTTCCGTCAGGATCAGTGTGCACTCGTGCCCGCGGCGGGTACCAGCCAAGTTGGCCTCGACCAGCTTGGCGTTGCTGACGCGGGAGCGCTTGTTGCCATCGCTCTTGGACATCATTTTATCTGCCTTCTTCTGTGCAAAATCCATGATGTTCTCAATAGCCTCAGACTTGGCGATCTTCTTGAGGAAATCCTCGCCCAAGCTGCACCTGCTACCAAACTGACTAGCCTTGGTAGTGAGCTGCTCCTTGGTCTGCGACGTGAAGGCGGGGTTATTGACGAGGCAGTTGACGAAAATGAAGATGTGGTTGCGAAGATGCGTCTGCTTCAGAGTGTGACCCTTCTTCTTCTTGTTCAGCGCCTTCAGCAACGAGGCCGTGATCTGATCAGCAATGTAGTTGACATGGGTGCCACCTGAAGTCGTAGCGATCGAGTTGACAAAGGAAACCTGCTGAAAGGTGCCGTCGGAGACGGTGAAGCCGACCTCCCATCGTGGATGGCCCTTGTCCTTGTCGATCTCGACTGTGCAAGTAGGGGTACCGCCCTCTTCCGCGCTCCTCTCGGAGGCAATGGATTTGGCATAGAGATCGCAATAAGACTTGAAATCCTTGAGCTTGATCTGCGTGCCGTTGAGGTGGACTTTGACGCCGCGGACAGTGCCGGCCATGTCGTACACGCGTCGATAGAGGAGTGCTTCCAGGTCGTCGCTGATGCCCTCCGGCATGCCAAAGCGCTCGTAGTCTGGCTTGAACGTAACGCGCACAAAGTCGGCAGACTTGCTCGAAGTGATCTTGGCCTTTTGCATCTTCTGCATGTTGTCGGTCCACGTTTGCTTGTATCGTTTGCCGTGGGTGCTGTCCTGGCACTCCAAAGTGAACTCGGTGCTAAACACGTTGCAGAGCTTGGCTCCGTAGCCGTTACGGCCACCGACTGTCTTTTGTTCGTTGTCGTCAAAGTTGGAGCCGGCCAGCAGGTGACCGAAGATCAGCTCCGGGATATAAATCTTCTCCTTCTCGTGGATGACGACGGGAATTCCCTTGCCGTTGTTCTCCACGCTGATCTCACCGGACTCCCGGTTGATGGTGACCTTCATCGTGTTCATGGTGCTGTCTCGCTGCTTGTTGTCGGCGGCGTTGACGAGAATCTCGTCAAAGATCTTGTAGAAACCGGGAACGTAGGTGATGGATTTGTACTCCATCTGGGACGTTTCCTTGTTGAAAACCCACATTTGCTGGTCCGTCTTCTCGACGGATCCGATGTAGGTGTCGGGGCGCTTGATGATGTGCTCCAGCTGGGTGAGCTTCTGGTACGTCTCGGTCGCGGTCTTCTTGGACTTGGCTTGCGCCGGCGCATCAATGACCATGCTGTCATTTTCCAGCTCGGCCAACGGCACTCCACTCGACTTCTTTGGTGCCGGTCCCTTCTTCTGCTTCTTAGAGCTGGGCGGTGTGTGGGAGAAGCCGGACGTCTCGCCGAAAGAATCTTCGTCGTCGCTCTCAGGCTTCGCGCGCTTCTTCGTTGCAGGCTTCGCCTGTATCGCCTTCTTGGCGGCGGGCCGCCCGGCGGCCTTTTTGGCTCTCTGCTCGTCAGCCGTCAGCAGCCATTTCGCAAAGACAGATGGATTCGCATCCGGGCGCGGCGCGGGAGGGTGCTCCATTGCGCGGGCGGATGCTGTGCTGCGTTGTAAAAGAAGGGGTGGGTTGCGGCGTGAATGCAGAGAAGAGCGCGCGTTTTGAGTCACGTAGCCGGGCGCTCGTCAACGGCCGCTGTCGCTGGCGGCGCGCAGCTGGCGCACAGGATGCCTGCGCAGGCAGCGATGCGCCAGCCATCTCCAGCTCTGCGCGAGGCAACCGGTTAGGCAAACTTGGGGCGAGGCGCTCAACCTACCATTTCGGGGACAAAACCGTCAGACTCCTCGTCCAGGCTGAATACAGAATCGTCCATGATGTCGGAATCCATCTTGGCAACTCTTGATAACGGCCGTCAGGGGGAAAGCGAGGGTTCCAAGGAACAAAGAAACAGAAATTGTCTGAACACAAGAACAAAGAGCGACAGGGCGGCGAGACCGGTGCGACCGCAAAACGAGCCGGGCGACGGCGACGGAGCAATGCAAGACAAGAGGGCGTGCCGGTCTGGGGTGCCGTTCACATGACCCTTGAAGGAGTGCAGCGGGAGGTTGTTGATGTTGTTGATGTTGTTGTGGTCGCCGTCGGGTCCCCACCGCGTAAACAATCCCTCCGACACGCGCCTGGCCCCTCCGGGACCCTGAGCGACGATGAACCGTGTCTCGGTGCCTGAGGCCACAACGTCGCGAAAGGAGGTGATTATGTCAGCGTTTGCGGACCCCTGACCCCTGACCCCTGGTCGCTAAAACCGTACCACGTTCATCACCACTAACACCAACAAGCACCACGCCCTCCACAGCTTCGCACATCGGTATCGCAGCGCGCCAGCGCACGACAACAGTCCGACGGACAGCTGTTCCTTGCTGCTTGGCCAGAGTCACACTCGAGCCTCAGGGCCATATCTGAGCGTTTTTCTGCGAGCGAGCTACTTTATGCGTCCAATGTGGACAACGACTCCACGGTAGTGATTTCGTGACAACCCCCGTCCCGCACACGGACCGTTCGTTAGAGCTGCTGCAACACCATCGTCTGGCTCGCCTTTTCGCACTCTGGTGAAATCTGTCTGCAGCAGTATTGCCTCTCAGCCGAGTCCGGCTACACAATGCCCACATGTGACACGGGACAACGGCAGTTCGGACGCCACGGTAGGGGCTTGCGCCGTTCGTGCCACCCTGCTCGCAACGTCTGACAGCCATGCTGGCCTCACTCGATGATAGCGTACTGCGGTTCTGCCCGTCATGGCCTCCTGTCTTACCCACCTGCCGTTCGGGTCGCCAATGTCTCAACTTGAAGTTCGCACTTTGAGGAATAAGCTTCAATCTTTCGCCTAGTGGTGATGCTGTGGCAAGCGCACACGGACATAATTCTCCGATGCGCATGTTCGCGGATTCGATGCACCACAGCGGCACGTGGCGGCCGAGATGCGGCGGCAATCCCGGCGACTGCGGGAGCCCTCTGTGGTTGATATACCCAGAACGGTGGTGGTATATCGACCGAAACAGGGATAGGTTTGTCGAGACCGCTCGGGCTCCGTCGCAGGGCATACTTGCAGGGGCAAGACTCAGCCGATACGACTGGTTCAAAGGAAGCTCAGCGCAAAGGGAATGCTCATTCGTTGAGCACGAGAGGTGTGCAAAGATTGGAGAGCTGCGTCTTCGGTCGGACCCGAACGTCACCACGCTTTGGGTACCTTCTTACTGACAGGCCTTTGATGGCAACGTCGATGCAGGTGGACCTCCTTTGCGTGTCTGACAAGCGTTCATACGGTCCTCTCGCGCAACACCAGAGTCTTACAACCAGGTCGCGACAGCACGCAAGGCCGGACAACGCGCCATGGGTTGCAGCTGATGTTACACATGCTCCTGACTCCCGAGCACGGCCCAAGTCCGCAATTTTATTTCCAGGAATGGGCTTGTGCTCACTCGGGACATTTTTCGCTCTTGCGAGAGTGCGGCCCTATACGGTGTGGATCGGCAATAGGAAGTGTTGTTGTTACGTCCAGATTTGTTTGCCTTGCTTCCGTATCCTTGGTTATGCCGTTGATGTCTCTGGCCTCTCGCCGTGGACATGAGACTTAGGGTCCCCTGGAAGTCAACCTTCAGGAGTCACCATTTGCGCTCCGCCGACCGCATCAATCGCCATGCTGGATGACGGCACCCGACAACGCGGCAGTGGTGATTCGTCGATTGAATGAGGCCCAATTGACCGGGTGCAATGGGCTCAACACCACGGCACCGGGACAAGTCAACCATGACTCGCAGGGTCAGCGGCGTGTCATTCGTCAGGCAACAGAAAGTCAGCAGAATCTGGGGCGGTGAACTGGCTGGGAACGCACCGCGCCTCGCACCGCGTCTCTGCGGCCTCGAGCACAGGAGCGCCCGCCATGGGCGGCGGATGCTGCGGCACATGATGCGGACACCCGTGTCCCCAGTGCCTGCTGTCAAGCCCACCCTGCCTTCCGTCTCCGGAGGGTCTGCCACACAGGTTGTTTGGCATCCGAGGTGGCCTCTGCGATGCGGCAGAGCTGCCGCCTGTCAGCCGCCCTGGTCGGGAGACTTGGACGTCGGACAGGCATGCCCTCAGGACCAGTCCATCGCCCGAAACAACCGACTCATCCCTTCAGCTAAACCCACGCCCAACGGCTACCCGATGGGTGCCACAAAGCTAGCGACGGCAAGCAGACGGGTTCTTTCGCCCTTGCCGCTATCGGCAGTGGATGCCACATGAGTTCCGTCGAGCTGAGGCCAAAAACAATGAATTCATGGTGCCGTCCAAAGAGCATCACACTTGCACCAGGGAGTATTGACGCGCCGCAGAAATCTGCTCGGTCCTTGTCACCCAGAAGCACACTCTGGAACGGACTCAACGATCGTGCTGCCTCGAGAAAAGGATCCGACCAGCCAAGAGCTAAGCTTTCGGTTTGACTCAACGCCAGGCACACCACGGGCCGCGGGAACAGAAACAGGGTGGACCTGCAAACGGACTGGGAGATGGTGGGAGCATCACCAGAGACTCAGCACTGACGCTCTGGCCCGAGTCTAACGTTGTTGAGATCACTTGTGTGTGCGTTCATTATCTGACCTGCCAGCTGTCTCGGCCGTCAACTCCCTGGGCGGGAAGCAAGAAGAAGTGGAGGTTTTGGGTACGGCTGGGATACCAGGCAACACGCCCCGTGGCCAAAGGGCCCTCTACTCTCTGCGATTGTTTGCCGCGTCTGTTAAACGGCATACTGATGGACTCCTTGCGAAGCTGTGGTCGTATGTCAGTAGCAAGGCGTTGCATCCTTCTCTTGTCCACCACCATACCTTGGCTACGCTGTTGCAGGGAACCCGTCGCTGCAACCGGCTACCTGCAAAGGATCAGAGCAGCCTCCCGGGTACCTGCTCGCCCACTCTGACCCAGCCAACGTGCAAACGCCACATGCACGATGCTGCCACTGCGATCTCTTCTCAACCCGGACCATCCTGGCAGGCAGTCCGACCGACGACCTCTGCCAAACCATGCCGCACCCATGACCTCGGCTTGCGAAACCTCGTCGGCCCAGGCAACTACGATGAATGACCACCGACCTCCAAGCGCAAGAAGTTCCAGAAACGCAGCATGCGTACCGCGACCCAGAACCCAAGGGCCAGTGAGATATCCTCCATTCGAAGACGTCAACGATGCAGCCGCCAGGGAAGTCGCCAAGTACCAGATTGATGTGTTTGGCCGCATCCAGCAGTGCTGTGAGCACATACCTTACAACAGTACGAAAAAGGACTTTTTTGAAAAGACTGGACGAGAAAGCATCGAAGGTAAGATGAGACAGCTGGTTGAGATGCAGAAGCTGACCAGTTCGACGCAGCATTTACGTATGAGTTTTGCATTCCTGGGCAGCAGCTGAAGTACAAGGTGATGTGGGACTACAACATCGGGCTTGTTCGAATGACGCCATTCTTCAAGAGTCTGGGATATGCCAAGGTGAGATTACGGGCGATTTGCATGGAGACGCTTCGACGCTGATGCGTGGACAGACGAAACCGTCCCAGATGCTGGACAAGAACCCGGGCCTCAGAGACATCTCTCCCAGCATCACGGGGGGTTCAGTAAGCGCGCAAGGCAAGAGAAAGCCCTACATATGTTTCGAGCATGGAACTGACGTGCGTTTCAGGCTATTGGATGCCGTTCCGTTGCGCCAAAGCAGTCTGCGCCACATTTTGCTATGAGATCGCCGGGGCGCTGATTCCCCTTTTCGGCCCAGAATTTCCGATGGAGTGCATCCCCGCCACCTACCCCGAGTTTGGAGAGATGATCATCAATCGGCAGCTGGTGGCAGAGGCCACCATGGAAGCTGAAGCCTCCAGAAACGCCTATCGGTCGAAAAGATTCACGACACAGAATGTGCCGCTGATGTATGTACGTCACGACCATCATCGAGCGGTGCGCAGCGAGGAGATACATCCGTACCTGAGGCCTGCTGGTTCGTCTGCGTGGACACCGATACAGAGGCCTAATCCCGGTGTACGGGCGGTGATGAGGCACGAGCTTTCTTCTCACCACGGCTCCGCGACGCCGAGGACGTATCCGTATTCTGGCCCCGCCAGTATACCTCCCGTCGGCCTCCGCCAGGATGAGGCACTGGCACAGGATCCGAATTTTTATTGGGGTCTCTCGCATAAGGCCCGTGTCGATGTGCCCGCGCCAGTGTCAATGCCGTACGACCGGGAGCGCGGCTATGCCGGAGGATCTCCCCTTGCTTCGAGACAGAACATCGCGCCGCTCTCCTCTCCACCCGCAAGGGATGGTGCAGTGGCAACATGTACGGGCAGAGAAGGAAACGGGGCCGCCAATGGTTTGGTCGCAGACTACGCCGCCGCGGCGACGCTGGTAAGATTGCAGACAGAGGAACACGAACTGCCGCAGCCGACGGACGGACCTGCTCCAGTCGTGTCTGTGGCGGCGCCTACATACGGATGGGCGCTGCGGCCGGGCCGGGCCAACTCATGCTAATGATTATCGACTGCATGAGCGGCAGTGGCTGCGGTCTGACTAACATGAGAGACGTCATATGAGAGATGTCGTTGGGAGAAAATAGAGCAGGATCGCAAGAGCATCACACAAGTTTGGGCATCACGGCAGTACGATGGAGGGGCGTCGTTTGTTTGGAGGCTTAGTTGTGCAGTCATCTTGATGTACGAAGTAGCTGCATCCAGTTTTCGCGTTGCAGATAGAATGACTCCCATAATCGCACCAAGATCACACGACAAAAGCACGCATCATCCTCTGGTGACGACTCTGTTTGGTATATCCACGCGGGCTTCCTGTCCATGCATCCCTCGTTGCCGCAACCTTCCACTCTATTTTCGTCTTGTTTCTTTGTCCCTCCCACCTTCTTCACCGCCCGGCGTTGCCACCCCTCTCCGCCGCCCTCTTCTCCTTAAACTCCTTGGCCCACGCCTCGGCCTCCGGCGACGGCACGACAAAGATGCGCACCACCTCGTCCACGACCTCGACCTTGCCCGTGCCCAGCACCTTGAGCAGCGGCACGCGCTTGCCCATCTTGAGCAGCCCGCCGTCGCGCGTCTCGACGTAGCACGTCACCCCCGCGGGCGTGTACGCGCCGCGGCCCTCGTCCCACGGCAGGGGGAACACGTACGCCAGGTGGTCGTCGAGGGTCTGCGTCTCGTTGAAGGCCTTGATGAAGTCGCTCTCCAGGTGCAGCGGGTACAGCAGAACCGTGGGGAACGACAGCGTGCTGCGCGGGTCGTCCGGGTCCGGGACGAGCTCTAGTCGCGTGTCGCCCATCTCGGGGGGCTTGTCGGTGGTGCGCGTGGGGATGTTGCGCGCCGCGAGGGCCGCGTGGAGGAGCTGCTCGCGGCGGCGCTTCGTGGCGGCGCGCTCCTCTTCCTTTTTGCGCCGGGTGTCCAGCTCTGTCGCGCGCTTGATGATGTCGGCTGCCACGGCGCGCAGCCCCGCGTTGTCCGCGTCGACGGCCAGCCCCATGGCGCACACGTCGTCGGCCTCGGCGATGCGGTCCACCGCCAGGAGGGCCTTGGCGCTACGGTAGCACGCCTTGAGGTTCCGCGGGTTGAGCCGCAGCGCGGCCGCGCAGTCGAGCCAGCAGCTGCGGTAATTCTCCAGCCCGAGGTGGCACGCCGCGCGATTCACGTACAGCGCCTCGAGCATCTCCCTCTGCCGGCGGATCTCGTCGGCCGAGTCGGGCTCGCCCTCGGGGTTCGTCGTCGTCTCGCCCCGGGCGCGCTTGCGCTCCTCGGCCGCCAGGATCTGCACGCCCTTGGTGTAAAACTCCTTTGCGTCCACGTAGCCCCTGACCTTGAAGCACTCGTTGCCGCGCTCCTTGAAGTCGGCGCTGTTGTCCAGCGCCGAGCCCTCGTAGCTCAGCGCCTGCAGCGCCGCCACGTCGTCGTTGTCCTCCAGCTCCGTCATGAACAGCGGCGACTTGTTGAGCTCCGCCCACACCTCGTCGACCGTCTTGCCCGCGTTGACGGCCAGGCCGGGGGGTAATGAGGGTTTCGTCGCATCCGCCTCGCTCTGGCTGCCTGGTTGCTGCTGCTGCTGGCCCGGCTGAGCCATGTTCATGGCCCTCTCCATGAGTGATTCGATATCCATTGTGGCGTCTTGTCGGAGGCCGAAGCCGTCCCCGGCGGCGATACTAATTGTTCAAATAGGGCGCCCAAAGATTATCAAATGAAATCTGCTCTGCGAAAAGAGATTCTCTTGTTGGCCAGAGTCGCGCGGTGTTGAATGGGGTGAGGTGAGGTTGGTGTTGCTGGAAAAACGTCACTTGTCCGAGGGCCAAAATTCCCCGTTTCTCCAACTTTCCATGGCCAGCCGAAAATTCTATTGGGTATCGGCGCCACCACACCTCTGCATCACCACCACCACTACACTTCAACAACACAATGATTCCTAGATCCTCAGATGCGTTTTCTTTGGCCGTCTTTCAATCATCCGCAACACATTCTGCAAAAACGTAGGCTTGGCTTTGAAGGTCACATCGTAATCCGGTGCATCACAGACACTACACCATGGCGCATACCGTCAAAGCAATTCTATTACCTGTCTGCCTGCTATGTACCTGATCTGCCTCATTCTATTCGTGAGGTTGGAAAAAAGTAAAAGCAGTAGAGTACAACTTTTGCATGCTCCAAACGCCGACCCATGCCAATGCTAGTCTCGCCAACGACACGATCTACCATGGGTATTATTGCAACAGCACGCCAAAACTCGCTGAAAGAGCATCGTTCTCATCAGACAACACCACACCATGTGCCTTCCTCATCGCCTTCGTCGCTCGTAAACTGCTAAATGGTCAACTGTTTCCTCGTCACTCTTGGGGGAGAGTAGCACTCGAGGGTGGACAGCAAACTCCAGGGGGGTCGGGACTCAGTCGCAAAACAACGAGCAATCACTGCTCGTCGTCTGAAACTTCAGTAGCGATAACGGTTGGGCCTTGCTTGGGCTGTGCAACTGCGCCCTCTTCGGTCCGGTCGTCGTTTCGCTCGCGTGGCACAGAGAAGCACTGCACGGCTCCGAACGCGGCAACGATGACGCTACCGAACCAGGCCAGTGCAGTGCAGTTCATCCGGCTGCCATAGGTGTAGAGATAACCTGCGATCGGCGGGGCGATCATCCGGCATGCGGCGCCGGCGCTGGCAGCCAGGCCGTTGACCTTACCCAGAGCACTGGAGGTCGGGGTTGCCTCCTTGATGAGGATAAGGAGGAGAGGGTAAAGGGTAATGGAGAGAATATTTCGGATGGCAAGGCAAGTATAAATGGCGGGGAAAATGAGGGATTCAGGAACGAGGAGGAGGAAGGGGACAACGGCGTAAACGATGGGGTGTAGCACCGTGACAATGAGGAAGAGTTTGTACACACCGACTCTCTCCGCGGCGAGCGGGAAGATGACAGCTTGGACAAACAGGGCAATGACGCCGTTAACAGCCATGATCATTCCCACGTCGCGTAGAGAGAGCCCCAAACCGCCAGATGACTTGAAAAGAGACGGAATGCTGGCCATGGCGGCCGTCGATGCGCGGTCGTCCTCGAAGAAGATTGGCATGAGGTGGTCGTAGGTCATGGAGTGGTACGTGAAGATGGACAAGGCAATGATGAAGCCAACAACGCGCTTGTTCCAGATAGGTGCAGCGTCGCGAGGCTTCTCCATGGGCCTGTCGTTCCAGTCTTGGCTGGGCCCGTTGACGCTTCGGATGGTGCCATACGTCTCGGCTCGCAGATCCACGGCGGGTCGCTTCATGGCATCTGAGGTCTCGATCAGTGGAGTTTCCTCCGAGACGTAGGTGTCTGCTGGCAGCAGAACCCGGGGTTGCATGTCAGGGTGTGTCTCATCGAGGAGAAAGAATCCCAAGATGATGCTGACGAACAGGAGGAACGCGCAGAGAAGGTTGGGCAAAAGGTAGGGGAAGCGCTCAAACATGCTGCCCTTGGGAAACGCATCAGGCCACGACTCATGGGGGTCGGCAAAGGTGCCGCCGATGCACGGGCCGATGATGGTTCCAATGCTCCACACGAAGGGCATGACTGCAAAGGCTCGGGCTGTGTTTCTGCGTCAGCAAACGCACAGGGTTTGAGGGTCCGAAGTGAGAGAGGTAACGTACGTTCATGCTCGGGCTTTGTGACGAGCTCGCCAACCATTGTCTGGATGACGCCGATGTTGCCGTTGAGAAGTCCACCTATGGCTCTTCCGAGCAATGCAATCCACATGTTGGAGGCGAAGCCTACCATGACCATACTGAACATGGTCCCCACACATCCCAGCATCAGGACCGGCTTGCGGCCGATTCGATCAGAGAGGCCGCCCCAATACATGCCCATGAGGGCCTCGGCGAGGGAGAAGGACGAGATGAGCAAGCCAGCGTAGAAGGAGGCATCTTGCTCGCTGCCGATCTTGAACTTTTTGACCAAAGCCCAGGCATAGGGAAAGATGGAAGTCAGAGCGATGGGCTCGGCAAGGCGAACAATGGCTGCAGTTAGTGTTAGTCAGTGATATAAAACAGCCGGCGCATTCGGGTGGCACATACCCAGCAGGAAGAGTTGGAGAGTTGGAAAGTCATCAGGGTTGCGAAAGCGCGTCTGCTTGGTTAGGGTCATGGCTTCTCCACAAGGCGAGGGCTTACGACAGCAAGACACGTGCACGGAGCTGGTGATGGTCGGCGCGCGTGTTTGTGTGCGTATCCTGATCGGCTCTCGAGGGTGGCGTTGAGTCTTGACGATGCTGGCTTTGTGTGGGAGCAGTGGGCACTCTTCTGCCAACGAGACGACGGTTCGAAGTCTCGAGGCAGGCTTTGCAGTTTATTGCGCAACCCCGGAAAGGAGAAGATGGCAACGGATCGCAAGGCAAAAGAGGCTTTCCTGAAACCGAAGCACGAAACGAGAAAGTTTTCGAGGAAAAGTTGAGGGAGTCGAGGAGGGCGGAGCGGACGAGAAGGTGGGAGGGTATTTCAAGGTCGGGCCATCGGGGGACCGCACAGTCCAAGACAGTGCGGGATGCGGCGCTTGGGGTGGGGCGGCGCAAAGCCTGAATGCATCGATAGAAGCATGGAACGCCTGCAAGCGCAGAAAAGCTGTGGTGCATGCGCACCCGCAGGTGCAGGTGCAGGTGCAGGTGCAGGTGCAGGCGCAGGCGCTGATGCGTGTGGCGGGGCGGGTGAGACAGTGCGGTGAGTTGCCATTGCGAAAGCAGGAAGCGGCCCAGTCCGCGGGGCGCGCCTGCCCGGTCTCCCTCTTTCGATCCAATGTCTCACTGCCTCTCTCACTCACACTCACGCTCACAGCGAGAGTGTCTGAGACAGCCAAAGTCGTGCAGCGTCGTTGCTCGAGTCCGCATCCGTCATCCATTTGTTCCTCCACGAGGGTGTGCCTCTGTCTGGCTGAGGCGGCTAGCCGAGCGACAACGTGGACAATGCTGTGTTTGCTGGCGCCCCTTGGCTCGACAATGAATTGTTGCTTTCGTCTTGTGCAGGCGTAGCGTGCTGTGCTGCCCCTGGTTCTAGCACCAAAGGAGCAAGACGGGTTCTGCAGGACGAGCGAGACTCCGCACGCAGACCCTTGGTAGGGGGGGATGTTGCCAAGGTGGGCTATCTGTGCCTTGGTCGGGGCTGTAGCTCCGCCAGGCCGTTGATCTCGATGATGGTGTTTTGATTAATGGCACCAAAAACATTACGAGAGGACCGACTTGGCAGACCGGGCAGCCCCGGTTAGCCACAAACCCCGCCGACAATTTCTCGTGTCTGGTGACATCTGGCGCTGGCGCCGCCTGATAAGGGTGGATCGGCACCACGACATGCCACTATGCCGGATAGCTGCATATTTGTGGGCGACAGCGCGACGACCCAGACGCCAGACTCGGACGCCGTGGGGCTGAGGGAGCGAGCTGCAGAATCCGTGTTGCACAGACCTAGGAACCCCGCCGTCAACCACTTGCACGCGCAACCTCCCATCCTCCCATCCTCCCATGCCATCCTCCTCGCTCGTCTCGCCACAGTTCGTCCCTACTACTTTGCATGCAGCCCCTGCAATTGCGGTATTGATCATCCCGGGCGGCTCAAGTGGGAGCAGCAGAGGCGAACGAACTCGCGACGATGATGGCGCTTGCAAAGGTGCCCAGCGGCGGCGTGGCTCGGTCGTCGCCAACAGACAGGATCGCTCGAGAGGCTTCTGTCCGCGGGCCAGGATTCTGTGTCGTCTCGGCAATTGCAGCTGGCAATTGACCTACCAACATACAGACGACAGTACATACGGTAGTCGGCGTCGCGGGAGTTCCGAGTGTCTCGCAAGACCCTGCGGCATTGCAGTTGCAGCCAATGCAACCCTCGAGCCTGTGCAAGAGATCTGCTGCAGCCCTCTTCTCCTCCGCCACCGTCGCCGCTCATGTTTTGTGGATATCAGTCACCAAGTGGCGCGGGTCATGCGCGTCCGTCTCTGCCGCCCAAAGCGCAGCGAGCACGCGCAACAGCACATCTCACACCGCAACCGGAGGCACCCCGCACGACAGGCCAAACACGCAGCGCAAAACAAAGCCAGAAGCACGAGTCTCCGCATTGCCTCGATCTGGCACCTGCTGGCCGCGTACTGCATGCAGTCTCCAGACGGGCGCCGATGCGCTCGCGACTGCGGTGCAACTAGGGTCTGTCGCCCATCAAGGCGATGGCGGCCGCGCAACTTACACCAGGCCAATGGCGGCGCGAAGACGCCCGACACCCTGTCGCCTCGCCCAGGCACACGCAGCGAGGTGGCTGCTCGCCCAAGCCTCGGCCGACATGGCGGGTCCTTCGTGCCCTCCACTCCGTCACGGTGTGGGCATCCCGTCGACCCCCCGGTCCGTCTGGCGCAGGCGAGGCGCTGGGAAGGCCCACTTGGCCGACATCGCCATGCATCTACCGAGGAACAAGGCTCAGGGATCGCACTAGCTCCCGTAAATTATGCTGGGATTAAGTCGCACTGGGTGGGGGAGTTTTTCAACCACACCAGTTCCTCTCTGGTCGAGCACCCGAGTCGGATGTCGGAGGAGGCACCGAAGGAGGAGCGGCACGTGCTCACTGTGCCAGGCGTGGATGATGATTGAGTTACAGCTCTGGATCAAAGCAAAACGACGCGTACACTCATGGAAACCGAACGCCACTACCGGCTGTCCTGCCGTATCACCCCTTCGCGGTTTGCTCTCGCCCGCCGTCCCAATAAGTCATCCGCGACAACCAACACAGGCGCAGGGGACGTCTTGGAGGGCGACAGTCATGGGTTCGGTATATCATTGCCTGTACTGTACTGAACTAAACTTGACGCTGTCCAGGTTTGCCGTTCGACGTCGCACGATGCTCGCCAGCGGCAGCCTGCTTGAGGTCGCGAAACAGCCCGTCGGCCCTTTTCGCCAGCAACCCAGCGGACTCGTGTGCAGTCTTGCGTACCGGAAAGCGTTGGGCCGCCTCAGACAAAACCCGGCTAACACGGAACTCGCGATGTACAGACTATCTCGTCGTTTGACGTGTCATGTCGGCGATGGCGCGAGCCAGCCTCGCCATTTGTCGCTCGCATCCCATATACTGTAAGCCACCCGCAGCAGGCGGGCGGCAAGTGCAGCCGCACGCGGGCAGTCGCCGCAGCACCAAGCAAACGCCCGTTTCAGACGGACGCCGCCCGCAGCGCAGCTGCTTCAAGCCCCAGGACCGTGTAACGCACTGATGTGGCTGCGTCCCCATTGGGATTGCGGCGCACCGCGGCGGTCCCTCTCAATCGGGAACATAGTCTCCTCGGGCGAGAGCGAGGATCTGTCCTCCTGAGACCTGAGCGTTGCCGATGCGCATGTAATCCTTATGTTCAGAACTGGAAGTACAGAAGAGGCATGGAAGCGAAGATTTCGCCTGGCCGGTCAACGAGCCGCGTTCAAACATTAATTAGCTCTGGAAGACGAAAATGCGAGTTGCCCTGCAGACGAAGGGATACACTCTGGCGTTGTGAACTTGCGGCGCTCGGGGCAACGCGCGGTCATCACCGCCAACCTCTTACTTCACCATGACGCACGCAGCGCCAGTCATTAAGGTTTCTTCATGAAATACATTGGCCAATATTTTGCTTTTTAAGGCAACAAGGTGCTGCTAATGATCCCAGCTTCTACCGAGTTCCTGATTCAACAGTGATGAGCCGGCTTCCACGAGGTATATAGAGAGCCATGGCAATTGATGTGACCGAAACCTTCAGAAACCAGGCAACTGAGGCTTTACGCCTTCTTCACAGTTTCTAGCCCGCGCCTTGCCTCAGTCATCATGGCCTTATCTCCTCTGCTGGCACTCTTGCTCATCTCTCCTGGGCTCTCATCTGCCATCCCACCGGAAACCTATCCGAGGTTCAAAACAGAAGCAGAAGTTAGGTTCTATGCCAAACAATCCAATCGGCTCATCATGGGACAGCAAGTACGACTCGAGTTCCCTCCCCTCCTCCCCCCCGCCCCAAAAACCAAACAAATCTTTGTACCTGTTCGGGCGTCGGCAAGGCCATAACGCGCTGACAAGTCGAGCAAACAACAAGTGTAATGCGACGATACAGGCATGCGCGTACCACCGAATCCAAGTCCGTTATTACCCTTCGAGTACGCCCGAGCGGCCCTGGCAGGCAAGAGCGGACCGAGTAACCGTCTACTGCCAGGTGGGACAGGTAAGAGAGCACCGGTTGATGCGTCCACGCAACATATTCGTCGCGTTCCCCCTGCCCGTGCGCGTCACTGATGCACTTATACTGACTATTGTTTTCTTCCAGTGCACAGAAGGGGGCGGCTGCTTATTAGATTACAGTCAGCCGAATGGCCAGGTTATACGATGCTGGTAATGGGCAACGTATTGTATGTAAGCTGCGCATCTTCTTGCGCACTTGGATGTATTTTGTACGTGTTCCTTGAGAGTAGTGGTTTCTTAATTGCGGCATCCATGCGAGCATCCCCGCCACCGTCAGTGAACCTCTTACCCAATAATGACATGCCCAACGCCCACCGCTGCGATATTTCCAGAACCAAGTTGGCAAATAATGGATAAACAGTTGCTGTCGCCCGAATCTGTCCCCAGGAATCTTACTCAAAGCTAGTTTCCGCGATATATATATATATATATATATATAAGAAACCGCAATGACAGCCGCAGTGTCCGGAAACCTTTAGAAACCCCAGGGCCACTGCCAACTCACGTCTCTTCCCAACTCTTGACCTACATCTTCGTCGTCGCTCAACATGGCTTGGTCTTCGCTGCTCGCCCTCCTGGTCCTCTCCCCGGGCCTTTCATCCGCCACCGACTCGGCGCTGTGGATGCCGAGTTTCGCTTCAGAAGAGGAAGCCAGGTCTTTTGTCCTCAAAATGAACGGGGTTCTTTTAGGGAGACAGGTACGATTTAGCCCCGCCCCCCCCCTCCTATACGTTCTTTTATTCGAGGCTCGTTCACGTCCCCTCCCACTCTGCGTCTGTGTCGGTTTTCCACACGGCCCACAGCACAGGAGAGAAGGATGGGGGAGTGGCGGCGTCGCGCTGACAAAAGTCTCGCAACAAAGTGCATTGTAGAGACGCAGATCTGCCACTTTTACCGATGGGAAGTCCGACCCTCCAGAGCCAATGCGTACAAGCAGGCAGGTTCGGCGGATCGGCGCTGGAATGTGTCGAAACGTTCAGGATCCGCCCGGTGCTATGCGGGAACCGTACGTGAATGCCCATTCTGTCTGCGAATTCGTCGGCGCTGCTCGCGGTCTGGTGGGCGGGGAGAACGTACTGACTTGCCTTCCTGGCTCCCACCTAGTGCACGGAGGGGGGCGGCTGCTTGAGAGACGGCAATGCTCCGTGGGGGGAGAAGGCGCGTTGCTGGTAATGAAGGGCGGATTTGTGTGGTTTGCGGATTTATTCCTTGTTCGAATATATGCCTTCATGTTGGTTGCGGCCAGGCGTCTCCTGTGCCTCCATCGTCGTCCGTCAACCCCTACGCCGTGATACCCTCAGCGGGCGCTTCGACGACTCGTTCAGAAAATGAGTTGGCCGACAATACATGGAGAGTGCCGTTGCTAAGCTGTCGCGGACATTTTTGACTTGGCAGCGATGCGCCAACTCTATCCGCCAAATGCACCGAGGGAACGGTAAGGGTCAAAACGACCATCGCGCTGCCCCTACCTGTTTGCATGATGCCGTATGTTGACAACCACTCCTCCTAGTCCACAGCAGAGGGCGGCTGCATCGTGGATGACTTGATTGGCGAGGGTAGAAGGGCAACATGCCGGTAATCGAAGATGGCTGCGTCTGAGTGTTGAGTCTGTATCTCCTGCTCTCTTCTACCGACTTAGTGTATTCGTCCATTGCGGCGTCCATTGCAGCCCTCGATGACTGCAACCAAGAGCATCGCATACCATAAAACTCCAACAGCCGCATCGTGTGCCCATTTCAAGGCCATCACACCCCAGCCTTGGTCCCCGTCCCCGCCACAAACGGCGGCGGCTCAACCCCCCTCTCCTCCTCGTACATCTCCCGCAGAACCGCCCTATACCTCTCCGCCTCCTCATGCATCTGCTCCTCCGTGCGCACATTCCGCGCCACGTCCTCAATTCGCGGCATCCCCCCGCCCGGCACCGGCCTCGTCGCGGTAACATCCCACAGCGCGCCGCCCACGTTCCCCTCCTCGCCCGCCATGCGCACGTAAATCTCGTCCATGGCGTCCCCCAGGTCGCCCCTCGTCCGCGGGATGACGTGCACGTGCACGTGCGGCACCGTCTGCCCCGAGTCCGGCCCGTCCTGCACCGCCACGGTGAAGCTCCCCGCCGAGGGCTCCGCGGGCTTGCCCTTGCCCTTGCCCTTGTCCGCCTCCTCGCCGCCTGCGTCCGGGTCTGTAAAGTAGACGCGCGCGAGGACCCGCTGCATGAGCTGCACCGTCGTGAACAGGTCTGCCGTCTCTGCGGGGGAGAGCTCCGTCAGGCGCCGGTGCGGGGCGAGGGGGCACACGAGGACGTGCCCCGGGACGATGGGCTTGAGGTTGACGAGCGCGAAGGAGAGGGGCGTGACGCAAAAGACCTGCGCGTAGCCTGGTCAGCAGCCGCCGCGGTGTGGTGTCGCAACGAGCGAGGACTTTTCGTCACTCGCGGACATGGAGCTGCTACACTCCTCAGTCCTAGGAGCCCGGCAAACTCACCTGCTTCGTAACCACAAAGGGCCCGAACCTGACCTCCTTTACGTCCGGCGCCGAAGACATGGCGGCGGCGCTCGCTATCGCAAATGATGAAACAGGTAATACAGGTCGGGATCTAGCGAGGAGGAATGGTGGTTTATGAATTGAATGCGGAAAGGAGGCAGCTCTCGTGGCGGCTCTTGTGCGCAACCTGGCGGCGAGCATGCTCCGATGGATCGACCGACTGCGTGCCGCCCCTCGTTCCTCTTATACGACGCCGAGCGGGAAGCGAACCCGCCAAAAATATGTCAGAAAACAGTATGAGGTAGTGAGGCTGAGTGTGGTACCTGGAGCTGCCTGGAGCTGCCTTGGGTGCTGTCGGCCAGAGAGGGACGGGAGGAAGGACGTCAGCGAGGAGGGAGGGTGTGGCGCCGGCACACGTCACTGGGCGCCCGCTCGGTGGACGGGTCAATTCTGGGCGGTTCAATCAATCAGTTACGCCCACATTGGGATGGAAGCACCACCATTCGCAGCTTCGCGCAGAGCCACAACCACGAATCCTCGGCACGAATGCTTCATATACGACTTCTTATTCGTCCGCTACTTTTTGCAAGAGGCGGATGCCATATATGAGCCGGGGTGACTCTCCGTCTGGCATGACAGCCTCTGCGCGCGTCTACTAACGTCACTCCTCTTCCTCCGGTCTTACATGGCCCTCAAAGGTATCCCTAATCCAGCAACACATCGCTGCAAACTCCCAAACTCCACGAATCCCCAAAAAATGCGACAAAAAGAGATGCATCTACCCTACCGAAGGGGTACTTGGAGCGCGCAGCGCCTCACTGGACACGCAGCTGGTCCTCCTCGTCTACGGTTCGAACATTGGCGTCGGTGCTCCGCCCCTGTTGCGCATCCAGCAGAGGCGCGCGCTCACCCTCGGCGCGCTCTTCTTCCCAATGAACTATTACGCGGTATCAGCAGGGGCGTCGCAATATCAGACGCAGCGAATGTAACTTACTGTGCGTCTTGATCAGGAAACTTGACAGGAACGCAATCACAAACAAGCTGCCGAGCGCGACGAAAATGGCCTGAGGAAACGTCTCCACGGTGGCGGCATAGATGCCGTTGAACAGGACCGGCCCGACGACTCTCGCAAGGGCATGCAGCATCCCGATAGCACCGAGAATCTTTCCAACGCGGTCTTGCGGCACATGCTTGGTGATGACGGCCTGGGTCGTGGCACTGCCCAGACCACCCAGGGCCGTCATCATGCCGCTGCCGAAGAAGAGGGCCTCGGACCGCGTAAACACGTAGCCAGCGCAGCCCAAAATCTCTGAGAAGAGCGCGATTCGAAGAATCCAGGTGTCCAAGTGATCAGCGCCGTTGTTCTTGTCCTCGGGCGTGACACCCGAGAGCTTCCGTCGCCGGGCCGCGGGGCGCACGCGTCCAAAGTAGTTGACGACAGGAAAGATTCCCATAAGTACGACGACTCGCACCATGGAAATGGCCGAAACGAAACGGGAAGTTTCAAACGTGCCCCAGTTAAACATGTACTCGCTGTACAGCACAATGCACGACCCAGCGGCAAAGGCGCCTCCGAGGATGCAGGCGTCGCAGATGGCGAGCGCAACCAGATTCAGGCGAAGCTTGGTTGAAGTGCCGGGCCCCGTCGGCCAGAGGATCCGAAGCGGCTCGAACGGGTTCGAAGACTGAATCGTCGACAGCCAGGATCCCACGTGCAGAGCGCGCGCCTCCTTTTCCTTGCGATGGGCCTCTCGAGCCGCGAGCTGCCTCTTCTTGGAGACGGACTCGGGGATCACGAAGCCAGCGAACAGCATGAAGAAGGTGTGGCAGCCGAGGACGACGTAGAAGATGGCGAGGAGGCTGCCGCTCCACTTGACGAAATACCCGGCAATGAGCGGCCCAAAGGCGAGGCCCGTAAAGAGGCACGCGTGGATGTAGCCCATGGAAACGGCGCGCTTCGAAGGGGGCGTGCAGTCGCTCGTGTACGACTGGCACAGGATGCTGCCGGCGGTGAAGGATCCCGTCAAGCCGTCGAACACGGCGCCGAGGACCAGCCAGCGGTAGTTGACGGTTTCGGGGAACCTGGCGGCGAAGATGGTGATGAGCTCATTCGCGAGCCCGCCGCAGGACGCGAGAGCGAGCAAGCGTCGCCTCCCATACCTGTCAGACAGGTGGCCGAGCTTGGGGGCGATGATGGCGCTCAAGCCGCCCGTGACGAAGTTGAGGACGAGGATGAAGGTCGCGGCATGCTTCTGGACCTCGGGGATGCGGCACTGCGGGTTATCGCTGCCCAGAACGATGGGGTGCTTTGGGTCGATGAGGGTCTTGTCGGCAAAGTATTGCTTGCAGACGAGGTCCAGAATCCTGCATCGACGGGTCAACATTCAGATCATGAATGGAGCCGAGGCCGAGAGGATGGCCACTCACAGGTTAAGCTTGGGGACAATGACACCGCCAAAGGCCAAAGTGAAGACGGCAAAGGGAAACAGCAGCCAGAATACCTGCGTCAGTGTCTGCGTCAGTCGCCGTTGTGCACCGATGGTAGAGTTTGCCCGCGCACGGGAAGCTGCATACAGAAGGCGTGCGCCACCAAGGAAGACCCTCAAAGTCGTCGAACCCGCTCCAGCTGCTCTTGCGGCCGTTGCCGTTGCCGTTGCCGTTGCCGTTGCCGTTGGCGCCGCTCGCCTCCTCGGTACCGGTGCTCAACAAAGTGGTCGACTCGGTCGTATCATCGTCTAAGCTGTATGGCCAGGTCGATACAGGTCGGGGCTCGGCGCCCTCGACGGAGCGACGGCGCGCCATGGTCGCGAATGAAGCGCTTGGTCGACAGGAGAACGCGCCGCGGACGCAGAGGTGTCAATTGCGCAGGCAAGGGCGCTATGATATAGCGCAGGGCTCGCGCTCGGCCTCAGGACTGGCCAGCGTCTCGCCGTGTTGGTCGAGACGGCGGGGATCTTGGTGCAATGTGACGACGTGCGTCCGATCCCATGTCTCGTCGCGCAATAGGCCGAACAAGAGGGGCTTGGTGGTACGCTTCGACGGGAGCTTTGTGGCACATACGGGTTATATGACCTGGAGCAAGAGCAGAGCAGAGTCTGACAAGTGGGAAGAGAAGCAAAACAAGCAGAGGATGGAATGGAGGGCCGACGATGATAAGTGGCCGACGTCTGGCAGGAAAGGGAAGGTCTAGCATCAACTGGATCCATGCAACACGCAACGGAGCAGGGAGCCGAGGCGCCACGCGAGCACCTTGGCGGGGAGGGGGCCAGTTTGATCGGGCTAGCGAGACGCTAAAAGGCCGTCCCAACAGTGGCTGCTTGGGCCATTTGCCAGTGGCAGTTTGGGCTGCAGCGACGGACCTGACCCGGGAGAACGGGGCGGGACTTGGAGGGCGTGCGACGCCCACGACACAATGAACGTATTATGACCGCCTACATACATTCGTACCTCACCACGGTGGCCTTTTTTGTCTTGTCTGCGCTGTCCACGAGCCAAGGGGGGTGGCCGTGCCAGAAGACGGACGGACGTGTCACCTAGAAACGGCGATCAACCAGAGCCCAAACCTGCCTGCTGCTGCTGCTGTCGCCGCCGCTGGCATCCATCCATGTTCGCTGGTACCGTACCAGCAAAACAGGGCTTGGGGTTCCGCTGTCTGGCCGAATCCCGAAACCCCAGAGTGCACGCGCGGACCAAAGCCTCCCAGCCCATGCCACTTGTCTCTGCCAGCGAATCGATGACGCGGGCGTCGTGGGTTGGGGAGCGCCAGCAGCAGCCCGCTCAAGGTGCTGATGGGCGCCCACGGGGGGCCCGCTGGGGCCGCGCGCGCTGATGATTGCTAATCGTTGGAATTTCGGCCCAGATCCCAGCGGTCCGTTCCTGACGGCGGCGCGCCCACCCACACCCACGGGCCACACACACCTATCACTGGCCTGGCAATGGATGGATAATAAACCTGTACCCAGCGGACTTTGCGGAGAATCGTCGCCCACGTCTTCCGACAGGCTTGCACGCGCGGAAGCATGGAGGAGGACCCCGTCTCTCCCCTCCCCCCTCCAGCCCTGTCGCTGCAAGGTGAAAACCTTCTTTTGCGGCGTCGGGTACGGTACACATCACCCCCAACGGAAATGGGAGCTGATTGTCAAGATATTGGTGCTTGAATGCGGGGAAAACGAGGACGACGACGTCGGCTTTTGACGACGAGTGAGTGAGTGAGTGAGTGCATGAGTGTGAGTGAGTGAATGCATTTCGTCACTGGCTGTGGCTGGAAACCGTCCCTGGACCTCCGCAGGTGTGGTCGTGTTGCCTCGAAATGGCTGGCTCGATGCATGGCCGCGTCGCACGTACCTGGCATGCATGATAAGAGCGAAAAGCGAGATGTCGTCTTCATTGGGTTGTCGCGGCGTACCTACATCCGGTGCTCTGCAGGTGTCGGCTCGAATCAGCTTCGCGCTGTGGCAACACAGACTGCCTGCTGACTGGAGGCATGGCTTATGCATGAGAGCTGTGGCTCAGTATCACAACTTGTACGAGGCACCTCAAGATTGTGACGTTTTCATGCCTAGGTGGCTTTAGGGGGAAGAGTTCTGAGATGCTTTTCGTGAATAGCCTGGCGCGATAGCTGCACAGGTGCTATCACCACCAGCAGCGCGAAAGCTCCGTACCTACATAATAAGGTGCCGGCTTATGCTTTTGGCGGCGGGTTGAGCTCCGGGCTTCAAGGGAGCAGCAGAACTCCCTGAAGGCCGTGCCTGTGGGGTGGTGGATCCACTACCGTGATTGCTGCTGCAGCACCTCAGCCCGTCATCCCCCAGCACGCGCCACAGCAGTGGCTACCTATCCAAAACGCCACAGCACGCATGACTCAGCAGGCTTCGAATTTCAGCCTCGCTGGACATTTTCCATTGTCGCGTTTCTCTCGCCAGACGTCACGGCAGCCGCGCACTGCCCACCTGCCCCGACCCGTCCTCGTCCTCGTCGCGCCCGCGCCCGCCAGCCGCCATCATGCCTGTCGTCAAGGGAGGAGTGTGGACCAACATCGAGGACGAGATCCTCAAGGCCTCCGTCTCCAAGTATGGCCTCAACCAGTGGGCGCGCGTGTCCTCGCTGTTGGCGCGCAAGACGCCCAAGCAGTGCAAGGCCCGCTGGAACGAATGGCTCGACCCCAGCATCAAGAAGATCGAATGGAGCAAGGAGGAGGACGAGAAGCTGCTCCATCTCGCCAAGATTATGCCCACGCAATGGCGCACCATCGCCCCCATTGTCGGCCGCACCGCCAACCAGTGCCTCGAGCGCTACCAGAAGCTCCTCGACGAAGCCGAAGCCCGCGAATCCTCCGGCTTTGGCCTCACCGGGCCCGAGGGCGGAGAGACGCAAGCTCCAAGCGCCGATGACGTGAGGAGGCTGCGACCCGGCGAGCTGGACCCGGACCCCGAGACGAAGCCCGCCCGCCCCGACACGGTCGACCTCGACGAGGATGAGAAGGAAATGCTGAGCGAGGCTCGTGCCCGCTTGGCCAATACCCAGGGAAAGAAGGCCAAGAGAAAAGCGCGAGAGCGTCAGCAAGAAGAGTCGCGCCGCTTGGCCTCGCTGCAGAAGCGGCGAGAGCTCAAGACCGCCGGCATCAACATCAAGGTCACGACGCGCAAGAAGGGCGAGATGGACTACAACGCCGACATCCCCTTCGAGAAGAAGGCCGCCCCCGGATTCTACGACACGTCTGATGAGTTGACCCGCAACGAGCTCCAGCGCCAGGCGTTTGATCCCCGGAAGCAACAGCTGGCGACAAAGCGAAAGGGCGACGGCGACGAAGACAACGACCGCAAGCGGAGGAAGAACGAAAAGGACGGCATGTCAGAGTCCCAGAAGGCTGCCATAAAGGCCGGCCAGATGCAGAAACTGCGCGAGGCCGAGCAAAACAGCAAGCGCCGAGCTCTGAACTTGCCCGCCCCGCAGATCAGCGAGGGAGAGTTGGAGGACATTGTCAAGATGGGCAAGATGGGAGAAGCGGCCAACACCATGGCGAGAGAGAGCGATAATGACGCAACAAGAGGCTTTGTCAACGACTATTCGACGGTCAATAGCAGCGCCCCGATCCGGACACCGAAAGCACCCGCGCAAGAAGATCACATCGCCAACGAGATTCGGAATATAAGGGCCCTCAACGAGACCAAGTCGGCGCTCCTGGGTGGCGAGAACACGCCGCTACACGAAGGAGCAGCCTCCACCGGCTTTGACGGCATCGCGCCGAGAAAACAAACGGCGGCGACGCCGAACCCGATGGCAACACCTCTGAGAGCAGGCGGCGTTGGTGCCACGCCGGGCCGGCCGGGACAGACGCCTATGCGGACGCCGCGCGACACGTTTGCGCTGAACAGGGAGGACGGCATGTCCATGGTGTCGGCCACCCCGAAGGACATAAGGATGCGGGAACTGGCCGGCCGCAACGAGCTCCGAGCAGGGCTTGCCTCGCTCCCGAAACCAAAGGATACCGAATGGGAGTTTGAAATTCCGGACGAGCAACAGGAGGCGGCCATGACGGAGGAGGCTCGGCAGGAGGACGCTGCTGAGCGAGACCGGAGGGAGCGCGAGCGCAAGGCCGCTGAGGAAGAGCTTGAGCGCAGGCGCAGGACTCAGGTCATGCAGCGCAACCTCCCCCGGCCGACCACCGTCGACGTGAACAGTCTGCTGAAGCGGGCCGAACAGGAGTCTGATCCGGCCGAAGCCCTCATCGCCAAGGAAATGGCAGCCCTCATGGCCAACGATGCGGCCAAGTACCCGCTACCCGGATCCAAGCTGAGCGGCTCAGCTCCGCCGATGGATGACATCGACGATGAGGCGCTCGCCAATGCCCGTCTGCTCATCTTATCTGAGACGAAGTCGCTCCCCAGCCGGGAGAAGATCCAGACATATTTTGAGAGTCGGGCAAAGGATTCGACACTGCTTGGCCTCGGGTGCTACAGTGAAGACCCAGCGGAGCAGGAGGCCGCGATGCGCGCTGGCTTTGATGTAAGCCCCCAATCTGCCGTCCGTTTTCCTATCATCTTTGCTAACCATGTTCAGGCTGTACAAGACACCATCATGGCCTCGGCCGAGCAAGGTGCCAAGCTGGAAAAGAAGCTCGGCCTCCACCTCGGCGGGTACATGAAGCGGCAAAAGATGCTCACGGACAAGCTCAACGGCGCCTCGGACGCGCTCGACAAGGCGCGCAACGCCCTCGGCGCGTTCAACACGCTCGCCATCTCGGAAGACGTGGCCATCGATAGGCGGCTCGCCGCCCTCAGGGAAGAGGTGGGCTTCGTCAGCCGGCGCGAGAGAGAGGCGCAGGAGGAGTTTAGGAAGGTTCGGGATGAGTTGGAGGCGCTGCGGGCGCGCAGCGTCAACGGCCATCACTAAGCTGGTTTGCGGGGATTATCAGCGGCGAGCTTGCCTTGCCTGTTCATGGGACCAGGCGGGCTCCAATCATGCGTGTACTATTTAGCGGGGAATGAAGCAACAATGCTCGGGACACGAGCAGGTGAAGTTTAGGAAGGTTGGGTATGCATTGGAGGCGCTACGGGCGGGCAATGTCAAAGGCCATCACTAAATTGGTTTCTGGATCAGATCAGCCGTGAGCTTGCCTTGCCTGTTCATGAGAGATCTGGCGGCTCTAATTATGCGTGTACTTTATATTGGCGGGAACGGAGCAAGAATGCTCAGGACTTGCGCATCCGCGAGACGAATGTCAACCATAGGGGCACACAACCGTTGGCCATCCGAACCATGCTACTACATATGCACGCTCCGTCAAGACCTGGCATAGTCAACACGCACGTTACTTTGCATGTTTCCTGAACGCAAGTCGGGGCAGCTTGGCGGGCACAATGAGCAGGTAGTTGACAACAGCCAGACCGATGCAGCAGACGAACGTGAGCCTCAGAGCCTCGTCGTAGCTGCGAACGACCTGCTCCCGGTACGGCTCCTCGAGCTGAGCAATAGCCTCGACAGACGCCCTGACGCGGGCAATCACGCTCTCCCTCTGCGGGCCCCGGACATTCACACCGAGGTAATGCACGAGCGCATTCTGCACGACGAGGCTGCTCGCCGACACGCCGAGGACCATGCCGAGGCTGCGCCACAGGATGAGGGTGCTGGTGACGACGGCCTGCTCGGCCTGCGACGAGCAGGCGAGGATGGCGAGGAAGGTGCCGGGGAACTGGAAGCCCTGGCCGAGCGACGAGGGGACGAGGACGAGCAGGTACGTGGCGGCGGAGAGGTCGCGGCGGAGGAGGCACAGGCACGCGGTGCCGGCGACCTGCAGGGCGGCGCCGAGCGTCAGCGGCCACTTGAGGCGCCGCGTCCAGGTGATGGCGAAGCCGGTGCTGGCGCCGGCGACGGAGGAGATGAGCGAGGGGAGGACGAGGCGCAGGCCGGACGAGGTGGCGCTGGTGAGGAGGACGGCCTGGAAGTAGAGGGGTCTACAAAGTACGCACAGTTAGCCGTTCGCCCCTATTCACACTCAAAAGGCATCACGCACAGAAAACCAGGCACTCCTGGCGACGCAGTTAAACCATCATGACGAGCAACAACAAAGGGGTAACAATACAAGAGATGGGGAGCCAAGGCTTACATGTTGAAGAAGATGGAGTTGGAAATCATGGCGGCGAGAAAGTTGGAAAAGATGAGGTTGGAGCGCGGCGCGTGGCGGATCAGGCGCAGGGGCATGATGGGCCGCCGGACGCGCGCCTCGACGAGCAGGAAGACGGGGAAGCAGATGGCGAAGACGGTGAGGGACGCGACGACGAAGGGGTGCGACCCTGTGAGGTGTCAGTAGAGCGTCATGATGGAGCCGGTGAGTACGACAGGACAAAGGCATGGAGAGACAAGGCGGGGAACTTGGTAGGGAGGTAGATGGACTTACACGCAAGGACGTTGCCTCCGAGGTTCTATTTCCCAAACAGCGTCAGCATCTACATCCATGGTACGAACTTCAGGGACAAGAATAGAGCGATAGAGGCACGAGAGACGGCTCCGAGATGCTCATACAGCCGTCCTTCCATCTTCCCAGAGGCAAGGGTTCCAACGGCACTCACCAGGCCCAAGATGAGAAACGATATCGCCCCCGTCAGGAGCAGCGACCCGCGGGCGTCAAACTCGCGCAGCGCCGCCCACACGCCCTTGCGCTCGCGCCCGCACTCGACGACGCCCAGGTCCGCCGGGATCGCCACGGCCGAGACGCCGATGCAGAGGAGCAGCGGCGGGATCTGCACGCCAAACTCCCACCGCCAGCCGAGCGCCTCGGCCATGGCGCCGCCGAGCGCGGAGCCCAGCGCGGAGCCGACGCCGAAGGTGACGTTGATGAAGGACTGGTACGCGCCGCGGCGTCTGTACACTCATGCCATTAGCAGATGTTGCTGTGCGGTTGGGGACGTATGTGTTGAAGTAGTTGTCACGGGAAAGGGGTTGGACCAGAAGGACTGGATGAGAGAAGGGGCGAGGAAGGGGGGGGATAGGGGGTGGTGATACGAAGGGGCAGCAGGCATGGCTCTGGCGACAAACAAACAAACAGAGTAGAACAGAACAAAAACGCACTCTATCGGCACCAAATCACTCGTGATGATACTCCCCAATGTCATCGCCCCCCCAGCCCCCAACCCACACAGCGCCCTCCCCACGATAAAGCTCTCGATGCTGCCCGCCGCCGCACACCACGCCGTCGCCAGTGCAAACACGGCGTTGCACCCGAGGAAGAGCGGCTTGCGGCCCACGGCGTCGGACAGGCGGCCCAGCAGCGGCTGGAAGGCCGTCGAGGTGAGCAGAAAGGCCGTCGACAGCCACGACGCCGAGTTGGCGGCCCCGAAGTAGGACGTGATGACGGGGTGCGACGACGCCATGATGGTGCCGTCGAAGCAGCCGATGAATTGCGAGAGGAGCAGCTGCGAGAAGATGAACCAGAAGCGGCCGGGTGAGACGCCGTTGAGGTATGGCGGTGGCGGACCTTCGTCACTGTCGTTGGTGGTGTCGTTATCGTGGCCGTTTACGTGGTTCTTGCTGAGTGTCGGCTCCGGAGAGAGGGAGCTGTCCCTGGGCGGCAGAAGCGGCGACGTCTCGGTATGCCGTTCTTCACGGTCCATCTCATCGTGATCCTCCTCGTCTATATCAAAACCACCACCACCACCCAGCGTGCTTTGATCTCCCTCGCTGCTGTCCCGCCCAGACTGGCCCGACGCGACCGGCCGCAAAACGGCAACGACATCACACGGCTCCGGCTCCAGCACCGGCCCCGACGTGGGCAGCGACCGCGACAGCTGGCCCAGCGCATCGCCGTCCACCTCTTCACGGCCCTCGCTGCCCGACCCTGCGGCGGCCGCGGCGTGCGAACGGCGCCCAAACCCCATGCTTCTCGACAAGACGTCGTAGTCCGTTTCGGAATCCCCCCGCGTCGTGGGCCCGTTGCCGCCTCTCGACTTAGTAGTGGTAGTAGTAGTAGTCGTAACAGGCATGCTCCCGCGTCGGAGGAAGTCGTCGTTGCTTCTCCCCCTCGTTGTTCCAAGAGAGGCAGCGGAAGGGAGGGTGAGAGAGCGCGTGTGCGCAGGGGACTGGAGGGTGTCGTTGGGCTGCTTTCACGGGGAGAAGGCATCCCGAGAACGGGAGTTACACGAGGAAGGAGCGAAGGAAGCACCGCCACCGCCGTTGCCAACCACAACCACCACACACAAACTATAACGAGCTCACCGGTGCACGACGACCCGCGCCGCCGCCGCCGATGTGCGTCCCGACCCCCGGAGCGACGTGCTCCCCGTCGATAAGTCTGCTCGCTACTGTCTGTCTGTCTGTCTGTCTGTCGACCACCTGCACATTGCCTGATCCACCCGCCCGCAGTAGTCCCACTGCGACCGACCCGGTCCCCCCGTCATCGGCCTGCGTGTCTCGGAGGACCCTTCTTGTAGAGAGGCGCAGCGCAGCGTTCATGCTGCTACCGCGGTCCGGTCACTCCACGATTTTAAACTTCTTTTCGCCGGCGGTGAGAGTCGTCTTATTCCTCATGCCAGTGTCGGCTTGCCTACAAGACGAAGAATTAGTTGACAAGCACATTCGCCATCAAGGAGCCGCACAGTAAAGTGCCGGCCACCTCCGATCACAGCAGGCCAAAAAGCCGCATAAGATGTCGCCATCTGCGCCATAGGTTCGTTATCCTGCAAAACAAGGCTGCTCTACATCATGCCAGACCCGACACCACGGGTAGACCTAGGTCGTCCCAATCCAATTCAATCCAATCCAATCCACCAGGCGCGTCCCGCCGTGGTCCTCAACGTTGACCCCGCCTCCGTCGTACGTCCGAGGTTGGACAACAGGAAGCAGCCCGGCCCGTGACACCCGCTGCATCGACGTTGCCCGCACGTCTCCTGCTCCTCGTCGCTCGGCTTCAGCCTCAGCCTCATGTCTCCAGTTTTTTACTCGACATGGCTGCGGCCACCAGGATGCCGGCTCCTGTTATCCCTCCATCATGGCATGGGCTCAGCGCCACTCGCAAAGGCGTCTTGTCTCCAAATCGTTTCCTCATCAGCGCGTCCACAAACTGCTGGCAGTCCGCCAGGTAGTCTTGGAAGTGAACAATACAGCCGCCCGTGTAGCCGACGCCTAGCTCGGTAACTGTCGAGTCCTCCAAGGCAGACCCGTGTGCGGGAAGCTCCTCAGCCACCGTCAGTAGAGCGATTATGGCGGCCGCTATTATGCCCGCAGCCCGCAGCTCGATAGCCTTTGCAATGTGGTACAAGGCTTCCGCGAAACTCTCGGTCCACGCAAATCCCACCGGCTCCGGAAACTCCTCCTTGAGCTTCGACACGAGCGCCGCAGGCTCCAGGGGCTTAAAGTGGCTGAGAAATGTCGTCGTCAAGCTGTGTCGTTCGAGAAGCATCGACGGGAGCGTTTCAGCAGGCAAGCCCAGCGTCTCCGTCAGGTAGCTCAGCATCATCATCCGCCCCAGCTCACCCAGATACCTCCCTGCCGTCATGTATTCGAGCGGCTGGAACCCGGGCCTCTCGTTCTGAGCGCTGAGAGCGTCGTCCCAGCGGGTAATCAACCCCATTTCTCGCATGGGAGGCGCTGTGCCGTTGATGCTCCACTCTGTGTTGACGGCAATCTTGACGTCCTCGGCCTTCTCTCCAGGCAATACGCTAACCTTTTGCTGCTGCTTGTTCGGATGGAGGCTGTTCAACCTCAGTGGAACGGTGGCGTTGCTCCCGGTGCCGAGGATCAGGCCCATGGTGGCTCGACGGTGCGCCGCGCCGTCAAAGTTGAAGATGAAGGAGACCAGCGTGGACACGGAGTCGTTGGCGATGGCGGCGACACGTATTGGCGGCAGGTCCTCGGTCTTGAACTTGTTATAGCCATGCTGAAGCCGCGCGCCCAGCTCGACGTCCGGGGGTATGGCAAAACCCTTGCCCATGGAGGTTATTGTCGCCTCAGACAAGGAGTGCTGGTCGGTTGGGAAACTAAAGGTCACGCCGAGCGGTAACGGCTCGTCGCTGGGAATGTCGAACGCCTGGCGCCCTTGCGCTACGACCTCGGCAATGCACTTGCCGATCCAGAGGAACAAGCTGTCGGCGTTGTCGTTCTTCAGGTGGTTTGAGATGGGCCACGATTTCTCTAGATGGCGCCGTATGCGGCCGGACGGCTCGCCCTCCTGGTGCTGATTGCCGTTGGTCTGGCCGTTTGTCCGGCCATTGGCGTGGCCGTTGGAGTGGCCATTGCTGTCTCCGTTGACCTTGACACCGTTGACTCCGTCTTGAGACTGCTTTGCCGCGAGTAGCTCAACAAAACCTACCCTCAAGTTGGTTCCGCCACTGTTAAGATGTCAGCATGAAAGGGTTCAGAGGGGACTAATTCATCCGGCACATAAGATGAGGGACTGATAAGGCCACCGCTTACATGTCGATTGCGAGATGTCTGCAGGGATGGGTCAGCAACAAGCTTCATCTACGGAAATGACAATAGGGGTAACGCCGGTCACTGCTTACCGTCCTTGGCCATGGTCTGCGATGGGCCGCAGGATCGATTGCGAAATAGGCGTGGGGAGAAACTGCTCCTGCGACTCGGCGGCGAGATGGGCAAAGTTGTCGACGAAGCGCTGAGAAAGGGCATGGCACGTGTCCACGTCGACGTGGAAGGGCCGGAGGAAGTTGTTGAGGGCGGCCGGACCCTCGTCCGACGACGATGCCGTCATGGTGGTGCAGCGCTATCTGTCTTCCCCACGGAGTCAAGGCCGTCGACCAACAACAGCTTTAGGCGATGGCGGGGGTCCCGAGTCCGAGTCCAAGTCCTGGCGGTTGCTGCGGCAGTAGTGGTATCATTCCATGGGCGCGCCGGGATGTCGCGAGGGGTCGGGGAGGATGTCGATGTGGATGCGGATGCGGCCTGGTGCTTATATGCACGCCGTCCCGTCAGTGTCAGGCACGAGGTGCGCGCGGTCGGGGATGCAGAAACGCGGAAGCTTCCATGACATGGACCGATGCGTGGGAAGACGATCGATGGTGGGGTGGGAGGTTGCGCCCGGTGGGACGGGATTGGAGGACGCGGGCAGCCCTCAGCTCCCGGGGGGCTCCAGGGCTCCAGGGCTCCAGGGCTGCGCCTCGCACGCGGGCCTTGCGGCACCGAAGCCTGAGGTAGGTGGGTGGCCCGGCCGCCTGTAGGTTCCCGAAGCATGGACGGGGGGGGCGTCCGTCCGTTCCAGTGTTATTTTAGCAGCAGCCCCAGCACCAGTAGCACCAGCGGCGAGTACCTGTTGGAGCTTCCATACCACCTGCAGCAGGGCAAAGAGGGCAGGGGCAGGCCGGACGTGGACAGGCCACGCTGCACTGGGACTGGACGCTGGACACACGACGCCTGGACAGGGCAGGCATCAGGGGACTTGTGAGCCCGCCGGCCGTCCCACTACGGTTCGCTGGCTGCTCACCCGCCGGCCGACTTGCGGTCCCGTCCTCGATCCCCCCCCCCTATACCTAGGCCCCAGCCCAGCGTCCTGCAGCCAGGGAATGGTGGGCGGGCATGGGCAGGCTAAACGGCGCTCGACGGGCCCCAAAAAAACACAAAGGCCCCCCTGGTGATGAGGCAGACTTCCATGCTCAGCGAGTCGGGGGCTGCTTCCAGGCTGCGCGGCCCAATCACACACGGCGCGCAGGGCAGGAAGGAGCTCTGGTGGGAGGCAGCTTGGCAAGGAAGGGTCGATGCAACGTGGGAGCGAGAGCGGGAAGGCGTCCATGTGGGCAGGCCAAGGTGGGGGTGGAACCGCGATTTGCTGCCCCAAATGCGCATCCCCCGTCTTTCCATGCTCACTCTCTCGGGTCGCCTGCATCAGATTCCAAGGTTCCCGGCCCTGTAGGTGCTCTATTCCCGTCGTCTCCGATGCAGATGCCATGTGCACGGATCCCCGGTTCGTCTAGGCATGAATGACTTGCTGCTGTTCAGGGTCAGGGTCCGAGTCTCGAATCCGGCGGTTTGTCCCATTCCGCTTGCAGGGACCCGAGGTTGCTGTCGCGTTGGCCGGCCATGGACAGCCCGCCTCCCTCGACAGCTCGCTACAGCTCTCAACACGCCGAACCGAGCAGCGCCAGAGGCACCACCACCATCTCCCACCAGCAAAAGACCATCCTCTTTAGCCCCAGCGCGGTCGACGCGGCGGCTGCCACTGCCCTTCTGGGTGGATGCAACCTTGGTCAGAAGGGGGGTTGGAGATCCCGGGCGGGAGCTCGTATAAGACGACGCGGAACAACTCTCCCGACGGCAGATTCATCAGCGCTGCCATCCATGCGCACGAGGACAAGCAAGGCACAAGGAGCGCCCTCGCACGAAGTAGGGCCGTCAAATATGCGGGGCAGCGCCCCAAGGTGATCCTAGCAACCTGTCTATCTATCATGCAGCTCACCCCATGGCAAACAAACATCTTCCGACTACGGACTCGCCACGCGACGGCCATCTGTTCGCTTCACAACTTGACTCGTAATGGCACACTGGCACGGTAGCACTCTTCCACGCAAGAAGACGAGCATAATATGGACCGCATGTCCAGGACATCTCCCGTCAGCACTGAGCAGTAGTCTTTGCTCCGGCATCTAAAGCCGCCCCGAACTCTCTTTGATTACGGTGGGAAGCCGTGTAAGCCGCCGTCACGCATCTCGACGTGTCGGCCACGCTGGATGTCTGGGACAATGGAGCGACACCGGAATATTCCGGTCAGTTGTATTGTACTCATGCCTCCTCTCAGTCTGTGCATTGCCCGAGGGGTGCAGGTGCATGTTGCAATGTTGCGTGAGAACCAGGAAGCGCGTGCCATGGCATAATGGCTCTTACGTCTGTGCTTTGTCCAGAGACAAGCAGCCTCCGCAGCGACTCGCAACTTCCAGAGCAACCCAATCAACAAGGCATTTGATTTGGCCGGCTGGGCGTCGGCCAAAGCGCAGGTGCGGCTCAAGAGGCCCCGACTGGCTGCTGCAGCCCAAGCTCCAACCTCAGGCTGAGAGGGGCGCCCAGTCTCCATTCCCCGTGCCGCCAAAATGCACCGCGGCTGTTAGCCCCCTCCACAGCTCCCGTTGTCGACTCCGCATCATCATCGCCAGCATTAACCACATTGCGCCATCGACATCCATCGCGATAATACCGTTACCCACTTGCGACTGCATTTGCCATCCCCGCCCGCCCATCGACTCGACATCTGCCGGCCCTGTCACGGACCCGGACCGTAGCGGCAGATCATCGTCACCCGACACGCAGACACGAGCAGCTTCGAAACACGACCCTCGCACTCGCCCGCCGCCACCTGCTGCTTGCGGTAGGTAGCATTCTCCTCTGCCGCGCACCCCAAACGGTCCGCCTCCTGCGCCGCCGTCCATCGCCTCTCGACCATCGACCGACCGACCGCCCGAAACACGTGCAGGGGCTGCGGCACCACGTCGTCCACCCTGCCTGCCGTACGGTACGAGCCACCATCATCAACGCCCTCCACCACCATGGATGAGAAGAGGAGTCGCAGCGCCAGCCAGACAGAGCCCTGCCCGGACCCCCGCGGCGCCGCAATGCCAGGCCGCTTCCGCCATGCCCTCCGCATGGTCTTGTTTCTTGTTGTTCTTTCCGGCGTCCTCTACCACGTCTGGAACGGAGCGCCGCATCTGAGCCGGCACGGCGTGGCTACTAGCCCAGTCTCTGGCGTCACCAAGGCGAAGGGGCTGGTCCCTCTAGAGGCGCACATCATAAGCAAGTGTCCGGACACGAGGGTAGGTGGCTTCCAATCCCGGCTTTGCATCGTCTCCCCCGCGGTCTAGCTTGGACTGACAGAGCCTGCAGGATGCCCTCAGGCAACTCATACTCCCTGCGATGCAACGCGTTCACGACAAGGTCGACTTCAAGCTGAACTACATCGGAACGTAAGAAGAGACCGCGCTCCCTCCTTTCCAGTCGTGTACCGGCTAACCCAGGGTCCCAGCCCGACGGCCAACGATGGAGTCGAATGCAAACACGGCCCCTCCGAGTGCCTCGGCAACATCATCGAGCTCTGCGCCCGCGAGCTGTACCCGGACCCCAAGATCAACCTGGGCTTCATCATGTGCCTGACTAAGGACTACAAGCACATTCCTGAGCGTGCTCTCATCGAAGACTGCGCTCTCGAGCACGCCATCGACTTCCAGTCTCTCAACGAGTGTGCCACGCGCGACGACGGCGCACACGGCCTGGAGCTGCTGCGCACGAGCGTCGAGCGCACTGCCGAGGTAAGGAGACATCACCAAGAGACATCACCAGGGAGTTGTTTGATCTGACATAGCCAGGCTGAGGTCACGGTGAGCTGCACCATCAGGCTCAACAACGAAGTCTACTGCGTTCGCGACGGCGGCGAGTGGGTCGACTGCCCCAACGGCCCCGGCGTCAACGACCTCATTATCGCTATTGAGAAGCTTGCCCGCACTTCTTGATGGGCTCAAACACGTCTTTCCACAGTTCGCTCGCCTCTCCTAGCGTGTAGGTCATGGACAGGCCGTCCATACCCGCCTCGTCGCCCCCCGCCATGGCCTTGAGGGTCTCGATGATGCTGTCGAGACCGACGGCCTTGCCCGTAGCCTGCGTGGCTCCCGCCTCGAGTGCCACGTGCACAATATGGATGTGGAAGTGGTAGTAGGTCGGTTGGTAGTGCACGTACAGCTTGAGCTGGTCCGGTTCCACGGTCGGGTACGTCGACGTCGTGGCCGAGACAAGCTTGGCGCGCATGTGCTCGAGCCACGGGATGTGTTTCTTCCTGAGGTCGCGCAGGGACCAGATGTCGCGCCGCTCGACAAGCGCCAGCAAGTGCAGCGCATCGAGGGTGCTGCGGTCCCAGTTGAGGTCGGGCAGGAGCAGGAAGCCCTCGTCGCCGGCCTCGCCCAGCTTTGTCCTGTAAATAACGTCGTCGACCTCGGTCCTGCCCTCTATAATGTTAAACACCCAGTTGAGCCGACCCTGCTCGCGCTTGGCCTGCATGTACGGCCGGATCTGCTTGCTGTAGATGTCGGGCGTCTCGGTGACGAAGCGCACGCCCTGCTTGCTGTACTTTTTGACGTGCGTCTCGGTGCACGGGTATATCAGGTTGATCTTGAGGTCCGCGAAGAAGTCGTCGCCGCCGTTGTTGCTGCCGCTCTTGTTGTCACCATCGTGGTCCGGGCTGCCCGTCCGCGCCATGCTCCAGCTGTAGACGTCGTTGGCACCCAGGTTGCGCAGCCGCGCGAGGCTGCGCGGCAGGCGGCCCAGGTACGCCTCGGAGGCGGGGAAGGGCGCGCGCTCGAGGACCAGCAGGGCGGGCTGGCCGTCGATGGTGCCGTACATGCTGGTCCGGCGGCCGGCCTGGTCTGTTTCCGGTTTTGGTGAGCTGGTCAGCAGCGGACGGGCGAGATACACCAGCTTCGCTGTGTGTGTGGCAGTAGATACGGGACTTGGAGGGGTGGACGCGCTCATACGGCTGTCTTTTATACACCTAGATGTGTATAAGAGACAGGAGGAGAGGGTGAGTGCGCAGTGGGTAAGTGAGAGTGAGGGAGGCAAGGAGGATACGAGGATATATCCCAAACGCAATGAAAGCAACGCAACGCACCTTGATTAAGCACCCTCTCGAGCTCAAACCTCGGCACCAGCCCCTCCGCGCGCTCATTAAGGCTCCGGTCCGCCGCCATCGCGTCTTGCGTCTTCCCCTCTTTCTTTCTTTCTTTCTTTCTTTCTTTCCTTCTTCCTACCTGTCTACTAGGCGTCTGTGCGTGCGCGGCGGCGCAACTTTCTGTCCACTCTCGGAGGCAGCAGCAGCGCGCGCGCGCGAGAAGAACAACTCAATTAGCCCGTGTCAGGGGAAAGGGGGAGGAAGCAGAGGGGCCGACGGACGTGCAAGATATACTTCGCACGTTAGGTAGGTGGTGTTGAGGAGTGAGTGGGTGTGTCGTTTGACGGAGCGCGTTTGGAGGGGTTCTCGGCGGTCAAACAACCCCGCGGTGGGGAACCGTCGGTGAGGCCCTTTCCACTCTCCCTTGCCGTGGCCGTGGCCGTCAGGGCTCCACCATTGACTGCGGACGCGAGTAAACGTCGCTCGAATTACACGACATCACTCCAGCTCCCCATTGCCGTCTCTCCATACTACGCACAGGCACGTTGGCACGCTCAACTCTCCAGGGACGCATCCATTGCTATCTAAACTAGCTAAGTAAATCGGGAGGTGCTCCTCCACAGGTATGTCAATGTTTAGGTTCGGCCTCTAGGGCAGAGAAGATGATATCGAATGTCACGGCAGCCTCCCTCCCGACCCCCAGAGTCCCCATGACGCCGCCGCTTTGACAACCCCAGTCTCAGGGACAACTCTTTCTGCAGGTCGATTATGTCGTCGGGACCCCTTTTTGCCACTCTTCGCCACAAACAGCAGTACCACCCCTCATTCATCCTCTCCAGTCAAGCCTCCTGTGATCAGAGTCACGGGTATTTGAAGAAAAAAGAGACAGCACGCTCGAGAATCGGAAATCAAGTCGAAACCGCCAAACGGCCGGGTATACTGACAAAACAATTAAGCGCGCACTTCGTTCATCTCGTCAAATTCGCTCGCGCGGGCAACCGGGCTAGGCTTTCGTCTCGCGGCAAAGCGTGGCGTGGTCATTATGCGCTTGCTGTTTCGTCGTGATGTGATGTCGAATGTAGAGTACGTATGTACAGCGTCCGGGGAACGAGGGAGGCGTCGGGCACGTGGCGCCGTGAGCAAGAAGACGCACTCCAGCCGTGGCTGACCGTCGCCCTAAACTCGTCACAAGCTGCTCGCGATCGTCGACGTGCCGCGAGTACACATTAGGGGACATGATGCGATATGTATCTTGCCCAAGTCGGGAGAATCTGTCGCGCAAACAACGACTGAGTCGGTTGACCAAAACGCCGTAGCCAATGCGAAGTTGCGAAGCGCCGTCATGAGGCCGTATTCAAGAGCATGCTCATCGTTGGACAGCACGGCCAACTCATCAGACATTTGGCGGGGCGTTTGCAATGCCACTCCCGTTCGTATCGGTCGATCCGTCTCCCTCGATTGTCTTCCTCCAGTGCTCGGGTAGGCACACGCAGACCAGCGGGAACGCCTTCATCTCGCCGTGTGTGGCAGCCGGGGAGCTGTCGCGCGGCTCTGACGTGTTGGAAACGCCGCTGTCTCGTTGCGTCTGTCGCCGAACCTCCCACTCATCTGCCCGCTCGTCCAGCATGACGCCGGTGGCCCAGCCGTCGTCCCAGATACCCACGACCTTGAGCATGTCTCCACGTTCGAGGGCGAACTCGTCGGGGGCTCGTGGCTGGTATGCCCACAAGACGGACACCTTGTCGGCAGGGTGGATATCGTCCTGAGAGTAGTAGTCCTTGAAGAAGGGCAGCTGCTCTGAATTTTGGCTGGCAACACCCAGCGGCGAAGAATAGTCGCCACCGCTGCCGGGCGACTGAGGGTCGCTTGCGAGAAGCGATCCGCTCGACAGGGAACCTTGTCTCCGTGACGCGGGCGGCGGTCGAAGGACGCCACGAGGCTCAGACTCAGGGCTCTCCCCGTACTCGTCCGACGAGGACTGCGTATCTCCGCCCTTGCCCCGTCCAGCCATGAAACCAGCAGCCGCAGCGGCAGTCGACGTCCCATTGCGGCTGTGGTGTGTCGGGGAGCCGCTTGAGTGTCCCTCCAATGCCGACATGCGAGCGACGCGCCCGCCTGGGAGCACCTCGTATCCCTCCGGTGGGCTCTGTCGCATCTGGGACATGGAGGGTCCTTTCCTAGCCGGCGATGGCTGGTTGAAGATACTGCCCGATTGGCTTCCATCTCGCCTCCTCAGTCTCCGTATGCAGAAGAGCAAGAGGACAGCAATAAGGGCAACTCCGGCCAGAGATCCCACAACTATTCCAGCAATGGCGCCACCGCTGAGACCACTGCTCTTGTCATGGCTGCTGCCGCCATCGCCAGCAGGCGATGTTGTGGAGGTGGGCGTCGAAGTAGTGGTCGGTGTGCTGAAAGTCATGGTCGCCGTGATGGTCGGTAGCTTCACGCCTTCGCAACGCTTCTCGGCATCGGCGTTGTAGCAGCACGTGTCGGTCGAGTTAATGCCTCCGGCTTTGCAGTACGAGCAGAGGCCTACGGTGCTGTTGCCAAAGCCGCAGTTTTCCGGCTCGTTCTCGAAACCCGAAATGCATTTACCCTGCAGTGAGCCTTCGGGAAGGGAGCAGACGGTGAAGTCGGCTCTGATGAGCTTGGTCAGGTCAGCACCTGGTGTTGAGCAGAGGTCCTTGTCTGCCGTGATGAAGGCCTCGCTTTGGGCAAAGTCGGCACACGTATCGGCACAGACTGGGCGTGATGCATCCTTGGAGAGGCCGCACTCGCCGCTGGACTGCTGAACAAGAGTGTTGCACAGCACCGTCGTCGTGTAGCGCGCATACATGCCGCTCGTGTCTGTGAAATTGATGCCGCTGCAGCCGAGGACATTTTGATATCTGATGATCGTTAACAACGATCCCAATGCGCCCTCCGAAGGCGTGCTTACTTGTCTTTCACATAAGATGTTTTCACGTAAGTTGTCAACTGATAGTCGAATGAGGCACTATCGGAGACGAATTGCAGAAAGGGGCTGAGGCAATGGTAAGCAAAGCGACAGGAAGCGGAGAAATGGCGGCCTCTTCTCACTAGGTCTTTATTAAAGCCGCGTTTTTGGAAACGGACGCAGACGCAAACGCGGGGCAAGCCTTGGAGCCGCTGAGAGAGACGCAATTACCGTTGGACTGTGCAGCTGCTAGACTGGAGCCGGCAGCCAGAACAGCCCACGCGGCACGCCTCATCGTTGACGATTGTATTCTGCCGCAACGTGTGGTTCGTTTTAGAACGCCAGACTGATGCCGCCGCTGCGAAGCGTCGCTGACAGTGTGAGGCCGCATCGTGGCTGGCGTGATGGGCGGCGAAGTGGACAGGCGGGAACAACAAGCTCGGACCAACACGCGGTGTGTCCTGTGTCCTGTGGCTGTTGATGGATGCTCGAACGTCGGCGTGTACGACTGCGGTGTTCAAATGTCCATGCAGGGCGTGATCGGCGCAGTTGGACAGCTTTCTAAGTCGGTGTTTACAGAGCGATGCTGAGGAGGATTAAACGTGGTGACCAAAAAGTCAGAGGTCGAATCGCGTGAGGCAAAGCCTGACCCACGGCCTTGGCGGCACCACGCGTGGTTGACGAGGTAGCAGTGGCTGAGCGGAAGGCGAAGATGAGGCACAGCAGACGGGGCACGGCCTGAGGTCAAGTGCAGTCCAGCAAACAGCGGCGCTGCAGGCGGGTATCGGCGGGCTGGTGGAGAAGGAAGCCGGCGACAAACGTCGAGTGGGCAGCGGCAGTCGTGGCGGACGTGTCGCTCCCGTCACGCCGTCGGCGGTGTCGTCGACGGCGAATTAAAGCAGGCACGTCGGGCCAGAAACTTCGCAAACTTATGTCAGGTCACGAAGAACTGCACACGAGTCGACAAGGGCGGTGAAATTGACGCAATTGCCGTCGAGGTCGGTGTGGCCGAGAGCTCCGCGGTAACTCCTGAGGATTCGCCGAGGCCGAGAAGACAAGGAAGGGAACGTGCCGAAGAGAAAGAACAGAGACGTAGGTCTGGAATACTAGGGATCAATCAGGCAAAGTAATGAGTGAGTGGATGCGTCGTAGCTGGTGCGTGGTCCGTCGGCGTAGGAGGATGCGAAGTCGAGGAGACGACCCGGCAGACCGCGTCCAGGCGAGACAGGCAAGCAGCCGTTAGCAGCGCAAACGAGCAGCGGCAGTGCCTGCTCGTAGATGCGTAGGGCCGAAACAAGAAGGGAATGGGGAAAAAGGGAAGAGAGTGCGCTGGGTGGAGAGCGAGGGGCGGACGAACGCGAGGGCTGCGCGCACGGAGACACGGCAGTCTTGGGCTTGGGACGGGAGAGGCGACGAGAAGGAGAGAGGGTGGAAAGATGCGAGGACAGACGGGAGGGTGTGGTGTGAGTCCGGCCCGTCGTCGTTGTCGCAGCATTCAAGGTGCAGTGCGCGCAGTGCATGACTTGGTACCGAGTACAAGGACAGGCACAAGGGGGAGCCAGGGCCTGCTGGTACCTTGGGCTACCTATTATGTACCCGGCTGGGACCGCGTTCCCAGGTTTTGGCAGCGGTGTGGTGCGAGCCGCCAGGGCCCAGACGGTACCCCTTCTGTACCTCCCGCTCCCAGCTCCTCACCTTGGCACCGCGCAGCTCCAGGTACGAGGTACCTTTCCGGGAGGTGCTCGAACCTCGCCGAGGTGGTGGGGAGCGAGCGACGTTGGCGGTAAAACAGCGCGGCCACCGTCCCAGGTCGGGACAAGACCAGCAGGGGGAGCTGTCGCTGCAGGTCGGCGGTGCCTTGCAGGTCGTCTCGTCTCGTCACGTCCAGCTGGCACTGGCGCAATCTCGCTGCTGTGCGCCTCGAGCTTGCTATGATTTCCCACCACCGGGGGTCCGGCAGAATGGACATCCAACTGCGGCGCGGCGTCGACAGCCGGGGGGGGCCTGGCAGTTGGTGATGAATCTTTTCTTACTGGTACCTCGCGAGCCAGGAACCAGGTGGTACCGCAGCGAAGCCGTGTCGTGTACCGACCGCGCTCAAGACGGCTCGCTGGGTGACCTGACGCTTGGACGTTGCACTAACGGCTCCCGCAGGAAGCCCGGCTGGTGATCCGAGATGGGCGAGGTACCTCACCAAGCTTGTCTGGCGGCGCCTGCGGGGCCGTGCAATCTTGGGGCCCCAGCAAGGGGTGGGGGCTCCGGCGCGGCGCGCAATAGGCGTTTGCGTTTGGGACAGGCTCGCACAAGGGTCGGCCTGTTTCGATTGGGACGTTTCGGTGGGAGCGCAATCTTACTGCTCGTGGCGCGGTCGGGGGGTCTGGTGCAAGTGCAAGTGAGTGGTGGTCCGTAGCGGCGGGCAACGGGCCGGCAATCAATTGGCAGAGGCGACGATGATGATTTGCATTGCGGGAGTGGGCGGGCGGCCAAGAGCGCAAAGGGCTCGTCTGTCCGGGGATTGTCGTTTCGTACAAAACCGAAACGACTTCTCCCAGTCGCAATACGTACCTGTGGTGTTCAGGCAAGAGCCGGTTCGTCTCCTCCTGCCCATTGTCCACCACGTGGGGCTAGGCCCGGTCCTTCCTTCCCGCATTCCAACCGCCGTCCGCCCTTGAAGCTCTAAACTCGACGCAAAACGCCATTGCCATTGTCTTTGCCTCACTGTCGACACAAAATATAGCAACAAGAGAACAAAACGCTCACCGCGCCCTTCTCCCCCGTTCTACGCGCACATCCCCAACGCACGAGAACCTTGCCGCGCCCGTTTGATCAGCCCAAACAATCACGCTCCCCCTGCCCGCGGATTGCCGTGGGGCGCAGACGTCGTGGTCCCCGGCAGCATGCATGGTTTCTTGCTTGCTTGAATGCTTGCTTTTCCCGCGGCTTACACGAACATTCGGGACCGTCGTACGAGCACCCTGGGCGGCGCACCCAGACCGCGTCGCACCTCCCCCCGAGTGAGTCCAACAGGGACAGACAGTATTACTTCGTACTGCAGCAAACCCTCTGCGCCGATCCACCCAGGGGCCGACATCAGCTTCTCTGGTCTCGACTCGCGTTCCCCCCCGTAGATGAATGAACACGAGAGCGCGCGCGCGCTGCGTCGTGACTTGTATCGTCTCGCACGCGGTGGGCTCTGATGAGCCGCCCTTTTCGACGAGACAACTGCCGGCGGCACTGCCCTGCTTGGTGTCTCAGGCGCCGGGCACGCGGGAATTGTCGGCCATCTCGCTAGTTTACGCGACGCGGTTCCAGACGTGGCGGCCATCCCGTCCACACGATCGGGGCTGTTTCCCTGCGGAGTATGAAAGTTACCTACGGGAGCAGCTCGCGCTGTGCTCGTTCAAGCAGCCATTTCGGTCTGCACGCGAAAAGAGCAGTCGTCGCGCGCTCCCGCCCCCGGACTGTCGACGGTGGCGTGCGAGCTTGCTTTTCTGGGATCAAAAGTGGGTGGGCTCTTGCACAATCGCCCAACACCATCTTGGGGAGAGCGTGCCATCGTGACCCCAGCCCTGCTTTTTTCTTCTCCCTGTGCTTTTTTGTTTGATGTCATCGGATCCTGCCGACTGCAGCCTACGTAGCCAGTGAGTTACACTGCCAATTCACCAGCGCAGGTTTGCCAATGGGGGAGCGTCGCAGCACATTCCCAAAATCCGGTTGATGCATATACGAGCCTACCCTGAACTGCCGGGACTCGATGGGTGCACATCGGATTGCACGTGCTTCGAGACGTCAATGGGTTGAAGCCATTTACGAATGGACTGTCATTGAAAGGAAGTTTGGTGATTCATGCACTTTAAGTTGCAGACTCGGGTTGTGCTCAATACTTCATCGTGTCACCATCCCGCCCAGTTGCTTGCTCCCAGTTCCTTACACCTATCTGATGATGCAGAAAATTCCCGGGCACGATGACCTCAGGCCAAGTAATTCTGAAGTCGTGATGTATAAGCTCTGCGCCGGGCGACCAAGCGTGGCGCCGAATCTGTCAGGTACCAATCCAGTGCACTTAGACTTCAGCCCGTACCAGGCATCCATCCGGAGGCCCTCTGACAACCACCCGACGGGGGCCACGGCCAGGCACCCACGAAATGCCCGTCCCGGACTGGCCCCCGCCAACGTCAACGTCACGAATCCCATCATTGTCAGTACGAGCTCCCGAATTGCTGCGTTGGAACGTCGATGACCACGCTCGTCCGATCCGATCCAGGGGTGGTATCTGCCCGTCCGCCCTACGTGTATACGACTCCATGTGACTGCCGGTGGCGTCTGGTGCCTGATTAACTCGAAGCGGACGATGTACTCGTAGTTGATGGAAGTGCGCCTCCATGGAGCTTGCCGAAGCCATGGTGCTGGGAGAGTGTGTGCTCGTGATGGCTTGCCGTGGACGGCACTTAAAAGCCTGTTGATCAACAACACGCTTCATACTACTATCATACTATGACAAGCCTACAACAAGTCGGAGGAAAACGTTCGAATATTCTCTTTAGACTTTGAGACTATAAGAGAAGGGGGAGTTTTTACTGTGAATCGTTCATGTTCAACCACTGGAGCATCCACTCCCTCTCTTCTACTACGACACTCTCCACTATCGGACCCTGTCATTGCATCTGTCCATCACCCAGACACATGCCGACACGATGGCCGACAGAGTCGACAACGAGCTCCTGGAGTTGATGATGGACGCCCAGCGCGTCCACGACCAGGCCGCGGCGGGCCAGTACGTCGACTACGAGGTTGAGCACACCTCGAGCCGCGACTCCGACACGGCGGTCGGCTCCATGGCCGCCTCAGCCATGGGGCAACAACAGCAGCAGCAGCAAAAGGAGGCAGAGGGATCGGGAGAAGAGACCAGCTCAGACAACGACGAGTGGCTCAAGTCGTGGAAGGTGACGAGCCCCCTTCGGCGAAGAAACGCCTTCCGCGGCGTCTCGAGATGGCGCAAGGCCCTCGACTTGGACGCGGCGACGATCCGCCAGTCCGAGTTCTGCGGAACCGTGACGGTCCAGCGGTCGCTCGACGCCGTCCCGTTCGCGCAGAGCAACAGCAACAGCAGACGGGCCGCGGACCCGCTCGCCTTCTGGACCGACGTCTGCGCAGAAGGCTACCGGCTGCGACCGGCCGGGTACGCCGTCTCCTACCGGGGCGTAGACGGCGGCAAGTGGAAGTACAACGTGGTCCGGACGGAGGGGAAGAAGAAGGAGCACCTGGAGACACTGGCCATCCGGTCGGCACTCCAGACGGCACTCGAGGAGGTCGGGGAGGCGACCTCGGCGGCACGACAAGCCCCCTCGCTGGTGAGAGTCTTCTCGGACTCTACCCCGGTGCTGCGGCGCCTCTGCCGCATGCAGGGGCCTTTGTTCCTCACCATGTCCATGGAGGCGGAGGAGGTCATCGAGGCTACCCGGGATATCTTGAACCTGGCGTGGAGCCTGAAGGGGCGGGGAGTGCGCCTCGAGCTCCACTGGGTGCCCCGGGGCAAGGTGGACGGAAGCCGGCTGGCCGACAACAAGGCCAGGTACACGGATGAGGAGGTTGTCACCGGGCAGGCGTGAGGGCAGGCGGACATATCGCGGTGGAAGCGGTCCCTGTTTTCACAGGTCAGTGACCTGTCATAGCTGACGCCGAACCCATCTCGAGCTGGCAACTGGCGGTTCAGTCCAAGAAGGCATCTGGAAATCGACCCGTCAGTGTGTTTCAAGGCCCTGAGGCCACAATGTACTGAGGGATACGGGTCAGATAAGGACAGTGTCTAATCTTGGGCGGAGTAGGGACAGGAGTTTTGGAGTTGAGGTGTTGACCGGGGATTGGGACGGCGCTAGGGTTCTTGGTCGATTCGCAGGCCGTGATTTTTTGATCTCCTTTGTTGGATTCGTAGACAATATGTGCAATAAACATGGAGTAGTCTCCCATCTCGTCACAACCAACATCCTAACTGCCGTCAAGGGAGCGTGAATTCGAGAAGTCGTGGACGGGCCCGTCGTGTCGTCTCTCACTCGATACGAAGTACTTCGCTCACACAACATCGATCCGGTGACGAGGTTGCCGCGCGCGTGTGCATCACCATCTGACAAAGCCTCGAGGCGCATCCGTGGACTTAATTCTCCCGAGTCCGAGAGTCCGGTCTTATGAACGCAGCTGGTTTTTCGCGCGTGTGTGCAAAATTCACGGTCGCAGGAGAGGCGCAACCCAGCCCGCGCCTTCCCTGCGCTCCTTCTCACTCCCGCTCGCATGAAGTCGGAGCGTAACCCCAGGGAGGAGCCAAGGGGAACGGACAAAGCCCCACACCGAGAACCCAGGCTAGCCAATGTCGGCGCTTCGAGTCCCCCCAGGCGCCGGCGCTCGCGCCCACCGCAAGCTCCGACCTCCGACCACCGACCTGATCCTTTCCCTTTTGTGTCGGTTTTGGTCTGGGTGACCTCTGTCAATCTGTGTTTTAGCATCGCGCCCCATCCCACCCCGTCGCCGTGGGAAGCGGGAACCCGTCATGGACGCCACACACGCACGACGTACCTACCGGGTGCCCGCTGAAAAGCTCTCCTAGCTCTGCTGGCGCCACAAGCGGTAGAGTCTTTGTCGACACTCGGCGACTGGATTGGATCGTGGACCAGGGCTGAGGCCGATGATGATGATGATGATGATGTCCTCTGCGTCACCCGCCGGCGCAGCAACCCGTTGAAACGATGAGCTGCCCGCCGCGGTCCGGCGCCGCCTCGGGCGTTTCACCCACGCTGATGCAACACACGCATCGCATCTTCGACGCTTCCAAGGTTCGTCAAAGACAACAACCTTACCACTTCAGCTGGGAGACCCATTCATCAACGAGACGGGTGCTTCAAGAGCCCGAGATAGATCCTGACGCGGTCCCGCCTTCCTTCCTAGCGCCCGACCACGAGGCCCCCTAGCCCCCAGTCAGCTCTCCCACTCCCACCTGTTTCCCGCTAACAATGGGTGGCGGGCCCACACCCCCGGATCTCACGACTGCGCGAGCCCCGACCGCCGTCCGTGGTGGACTTGAGCTGCGAGCTACCTACCAGTTGCACGCCGGGCGAGAGAACGCCATGGGGGAGAGAGACCACGCGCAGGGCGTGCGCCCCGAGGGCGGGAGGAAGCTAAGGGCAAAAATTAATGCATGCTCGCGGCGCCGGCGGCGTGTGGGATATATATTTATTAGTGAGGCGGCTGTCTTTCGTCCCTTTTTATTTGTGTGTCTGGCACTTGGCAGCGAGTCTTGCAAACCGAGCTTCCATCAGCGTGCTATCTACCCATCGTCGACGTCAACAACAAGCCACCATAACGGCACTGCACCGTCGAGATACCATTGTGGCGTCGTCTTCGCAGATATACAGACACGGGCGTAGCCAACATCGCCACGACAACACTCTTGTCGCCCAACGGCTGGGGAGCCGCGAATCTACAACACCATGTCAACCAACTCTCCGCCAAGCGGCCAGGGCGGCCAGCTTGAGCAGCTGAAGAAGGCGGTTCGTAACCTTTAACCCAAAGGCACCCAAGCAGCATGTGTGCCGTCACTCAGAATACACCATCGTCTAACATTACGTCTCAGGGCCCCCCCTATCCTCCGCAGGGCGCCGGCCTCGGCGGCCAGCCCACCAAGGCCGTCGACGTGCCCATCTCGGCCGTGCTGCTCTTCCTCTTCGCCGTCTCCGCCGCGCTCAACATGACCATCTTCCAGATGAACCGGCGGCGCGGGCACAAGTTCGTGCTCTCGGCCGTCGTCTTCGGCTTCTCCATGGCGCGCATCAGCGCCAACGTCATGCGCATCGTCTGGGCGTGCTACCCGCGCGACGTCTCCGTCGCCATCGCCGCCAACATCCTCACCAACGCGGGCGTCCTCCTCCTCTTCATCGTCAACCTCATCTTCGCGCAGCGCCTCCTCCGCGCGTACCAGCCCCGTCTGGGGTGGAGCCAGCCCCTGCGCTTCGGCTTTCGCGGCCTGTACGCCGCGGTCGTGGCGTGCCTCATCATGGTCATCACCGCGGGCGTCTACAGCTTCTACACCCTCGACGTGTCCAAGCTCACCAAGATCCGCGACGTGCAGCTCTTCGCCGTCACGTTCCTCGCCACCCTCGCCTTCCTGCCCATCCCCATCGTCGCGCTCGCCGTCCTCCTCCCGCGCTCGCAGCCCATCGAGCCCTTCGGCACAGGCAGCATGCGCACCAAGGTCATCCTCGTCCTCTTCACCGCCACGCTGCTCGCCCTCGGGGCTGGCTTCCGCGCCGGCGTCGCCTACATCAAGCGGCCCGCCGACCACCCCGCCTGGTTCCACCACAAGGCCGCCTACTACTGCTTCAACTACACCATCGAGCTCATCGTCGTCTTCACCTACGCCCTGTCCCGCTTCGACCGCCGCTTCTGGGTCCCCAACGGGAGCTGCAAGCCTGGCGACTACACGCGCGGCGGCAACGGGGACGGCGGCGCTGTCCCGGACGACGACAAGGACGCCGTCGTCGAGGAGGGCTTCCGCGCCAGCACCGAGGAGCAGCAGCGGCGAGAGCAGCACCGCGAGCGGGACTGGGAGTCGCGGGCCCAGGCTGAAATGGAAAAGGGAATCTCCTCGTGAGATCGGACAAATCTCCTACTCAACGCAGGAAAAATATCCTGTTGATTCAGGAGGGTAATATGTATGACCATCATGACACATGTCGCCTGAAAAGAGCGGCACCACTATAGACTAGGCGGGCATGGCGTCCGGGAGAGCTCTGGCGGTTTTCTCTTTGTCCAAGGCAGATGATAGCGATAGCGGTACTGAAACTGCACAAACGCTTCTCCGTTGTATTTAGCCGTAATAGCGAAAGTCACAAACTCAAGCACAGTGGTCATCCCAAGCGTGTGAGCGTCGATACCGCACCTGCACCCCTGATTAAAAGTATCACTGCGATTCACTCGCCACGAATAGCGACACAGGAACATCATCACGATAACTCGCACCGGATCCATTATTCGCAACATTTTTTTTCTTGTGTTCCTGCCTCGCAGATTCTATGTCATGCGTCGCCAAAGCCGGGAAACCGCCCGCCCCCTCTAGACCCCATCCCATATTGCTCAACCACCCCATGTCCCCGCACACAACGCACGTAGACTCGCAACTGTTGTTTCCTGTGTCCTCTGTACTGGTGTCAAGATTAGTCGTACACAGTTTTGGAGCCGTCTCCCACGCCGTGCTGTTGCAGCATGTGCCTCGAGCTTTGTGTGAAGGTGAAAGGTCATGCACGATTAGAGGAAGTAATCCGGCGTCCCTATGGCGAGTTAGCTTCGTGCCACCTATGTTACGAGGGACCTGAACATACGTCTGGAGACCATGGGTTCGCCCGCTCTCGGGCAGGGGTCAAATTGCAGGCTGTGCCTTGTTAGCGTTTTTGTTCGTTGGTTGAAGTCCGAGGGCAGAACTCACAAGGTGTATTTCAGGTGCTCGTCAATCTCCATGATGGCAGCCTGGTTGCCGCATCGGTAGCAGTAGTTGGGGGCTTTCATCAGTTAGCAGTAGTCGCACACGAACGGATGGCATAGACGTACCAGAGAAGATGGTCACCACATTGCGATCCTGGGACCAGTTGTAGCCCTCCATCACAAGTTGATGCGCCCTGGCAATCAGCGTCAGACCGTTGTTGTGGTTGAAGGCCTCCGAGATGTCCTGGCCGAACGTGTAGCCCGCACCACGGGGAGAGATGCCCCAGCCGCAGCGGTCATCGGGGTCGGACCACAGCAGGTCGCACATGGGGCCCTCGTGGGGGACCTCTTGGATGCGGTCAAGGGCGCGGATGTTGTCGAGCGTGTCGATGCTGGGCGACAGGCCGCCGTGCAGACAGAAGATCTGGTTGTCGATGAGGGCGGTGAGTGGGAGGTAGTCGAAGAGGTCAGTGAAATATTTCCACACGTTGGCGTTTCCGTACTTGCGCAGGCACTCGTCGTAGAAGCCGTAGACCTGCGTGATTTGCCGGGACTCGTGGTTTCCTCGGAGGATGGTGATGCGTTGGGGGTATCGGATCTTGAGGGCGACGAGGAGGGTGACCGTCTCGACCGAGTAGTAGCCTCTGTCAACGTAGTCGCCTGGGGAACGTCAGCGTCGGCCACGCCGAGGATTGTTGCGAGGGAAGTCACGTACCCATGAAGAGGTAGTTGGTGTCTGGGTTGGGGCCACCAATCTTGAAGAGCTCCATCAGATCGTGGAACTGGCCGTGGATGTCGCCGCAGACGGTGACGGGGCATTTCTGCAGGGGCATCAAGTCAGTCGCGTCAGGCCATTTCATCGAAAGAGGGGTGTCACGTACCACGGGCTGCACATTGGACTCCTCCTGCAGAACCTCTCGCGCCTATTCAATGGCAAGTCAGCACGGGTGCCCAACCCCTCACTCGATCACGCGAGCGGTCGACGACGCAGAGAATGGAGCGCGTCGTGGACAGAGACGGACGGTAAAGCCAGCCCAGGCGAGGGCGACTAAACGACAGTCGTGTCTACCGGGGGGCAAACCGCCGCCTCGAAGCTCGATGCAGTTGCAGGAAGGGGGGATGCTCACCTTATCGCAGAGTCTCTGGACGTCGGCCTCGGCCAGCTGTTTGCAGTTCATCAAGCTCTCGATCCAACCGTCGAGTGTGGGGATCGAGGCGGGCTCGTTCTGGACGGGCGACACGTCGGCGGGTGCCCTTCCGACGTCCTCCATGTTGGTGTCCATGATGTGCGATGCCGCTGTCGGTGGGGGGCGCTGCGGTCGAGGGACGGAGGCAGACGACGGCGAGAAGAAATGACGTTGCGATCACGCCCGGGCAGAGTCGCGATCCGATCGGTGGGGCAACAGCGAAGCAGGGAGAGAGGGAGACAGAGGGCTACGCCGCCAAAGGGGGACGCAGAGGATCGTGGGCGTTGGAAGCAGCGGCCAGCCAGCCAGTGCAAATTGACCTCGAGGATGCGTGAGGCTCGTCGCGATGGTGCAGCGCAGGGGCGGAGATTCGTTCGTGGGCGGTTCGTGGCGGGAGGAGTGGCGGAGGAGGGTGCTGAGTGATGGATGATGCTGATTCTGAGGCAAGGCCAGCGCAGGTGCTGGAAAGGTAGAGGTCCCGCCCCGTCGAGGGGGAACCTACTAAGGGGG